AATCATTTCATGAAAACTACGATTCTCGATCAAGTTCCTCCTCCGCACTTTTGTTATTGGCAGAACCTGAGTCTTTTCTGTCGGTTTCAGTAAATAATTTTCAAATAGAGTTTTTCCTTTTGGAAAAGAAAGGAGCAACATACTCATTTTAGTTAATCCACGGGCTTGATCCCTTGAAATATAAAAACAGTATGGTGTCATAAAGTATGTCCATTGCCAAAGGAGCTAAAAGAGTCGTAATTGACAAAGTTTTAGCTTTGGCCTTTGGATAAATAATGGAGTAAAAAATGGCACATTAAACTTCTTTTGCTTCTTACTTTTAATGATGTTTTGGATAGTAAATGTAGTAATGCATCAAGGGTCTAAAGAAACAGCCTTTCTCTACAAGTTGGGAATATACTGGGTTGTTGTTATGGTGTCAAAAGGCATGGTAGTTAATTATACAATGCCCAATGAGCATAAAAGCATTTTCTTCTTTGGTAGAGCTACAAGGAGGAGAATACAACATTATAAAACATATAAAGCTAAGTAGAGACCTCCACTACGGAAAGAAGATGAACAGCATCGTGCCCAATGTTACCCTCACTTGTAGTGGCAGGTGTAAGTACATTAACAAGTTTCCTTTGAATAACCTGCAAGAAATACATTGTAAAATATAAATATTTTCCAAGGTTTCATCTCAATGACAAACAACATGAGTATCTGCTATTCCGGGGCTGGGCTTGGGAAATGAGAAATGTAGAAAACTCGCTTTTTCTTTTATTTTTTGTAGTACACAAGTAGAGGACTAAGAAGTAAAGATCCAACATTACTTTATTTACTTCCACTATTATTATTATTATTATTATGATTATTATTGTTGTTGTTGTTGTTGTTGTTATTATTACTATTACTATTACTATTATTATTATTATGAAAACTACAACAGTAAGAATATTTCAATGCAAATTAAAATATGTAATGCTGCACTTACAGAAGTAGAACCCCGAAATTTGGCTTGCTCTGAGGTTTCTAGCTGTTCCATTCGCCCGACTTTATACCTTACAATTAATTACGAAAAGATTACTAGGCAGAGAGTAAGATGTTAAACTGGAACATTCTTAAGGTGCTGTCAAATTCATATGAAAACAAGTCATACACTCAAACAAGTGAGAGCTGAAGAAAAGTTGTTTCCTAATGTAAATTTTTTCACGTCTGGGGCACTGCTTATTAGATAACAATGTGAAATCTTGAAATAGCTGTCCTACCCTAGAGCTAGCAACTTCTGGACAGCATCATCAATCCCACCTTCTGGTATGCCAACCTGACAAAAGTGAACTGAAAGTCAAATAGTGTTTCACAGCGTTGTTTCCAAAAGAAAATTAACCTCACATTCATCAATCATATAGAAATGTATACCAAAGAATCCGTTCATGGAAATGAAAATACCTGTCTACATTTTCCCACACCACTCAAGGTTATCTTCCAATCGAGCTCCTTGTGGCCAATATCAGCATCCAGTTCATAAAGCTCATAAAACTTTCCCTGAGATGTTCGAAAGTTGAGCTTTTATCATTTTTCAAATTAAGATATGTATAGAGAAGAGAATATTAAATATTCACTGAGAAAGATTAAAGATATAAACCAAAATCAAGGTCTGCCAAAAAAATGATAGAAATTACAGAGCATCTAAATCATACAAAACGGGAAAAGGTGGTGATGGTCTATGAGAAAAAAAATGATTTTTTTTAATATCAAGTCCAACTTTCTCAAATATGTATTAGCATAAAGCTAGCAATGCAAACCAATTCAAGCCAAGGATGACAGTATATCAAAGAAGCACAAAAAGCTACTATTCAAGTTATCTAGAAACACGTGCAGTGAGCTAGATGTCTATAATTTAGACTGCAAAGTGCAATATTACTCCCTCCGTTCCCCTAAGATGTTCTCATTTTGACTTTTGGTGATTTTAAAGGAGAGTTGAAAAAAGGTGAAAGTTTACAATAATACCCTTAATGAAAATGGGTGGAGTGTAATAAATGAGGTGGGTGAGGTGTCAGGGGCGGCTCAAAGGAGGGACAATGTGGTCATTTGGCCAGGGCCCATTTTTGAATGGGGCCCAATTTTTGTATACCTACATGTATATATTTATTTATATAAAATAATCTTGATTTATTTTTAAAAATACAGTTCTAAATCATTAAATCTAATAAACTATGAAGAGATGATCAACCTATTTTCTCTCAAGAATAATAGAACAACTTCACGAGTCTTCAATCAGGTATCAGAGTTCGGAGTATATAATTGCAAACTTATAAGACTCTGAGTCTGACATTTTATTATTACTACAATGTTATATATTATTAAAAAAATTAATTGATAAATTTTAATTTTTTATCAGACAATGACGCATTTTCTCCGTGTCGGACAGGGCCCCTAATTTCTTGGAGACGGCCCTGTGAGGTGTAATAAATAAAGTAAGTAGGGGTAGTTGTGGTATTTTAATTGTTAAAAAATGAAATGAGAAGATCTATTGTGGACAAAGAAAAAGGGCTATTGGGAAGATCTATGGGGGACAGAGGGAGTAAATCACAAAACTGAAACCTTCAAACATCTGTAGGTGAAAAGAAATTCACAATAGATATGCAACTGAAATATCACATTTAGCTAGACACCCCTCAAAGTTTTGGAGAGTAAAATCATAGAAGTAGATAAATAACTGACCACTTTAAAGAAAAGCACCACATCCATATATCGGCATTTAACCTCCCAATACTGTTTCTGAGTAGCCGACATTTTTCTCAAAGCATCAGGTGGAATATAAAGTGTTGTTTTGTCAAATAAAGGATCACTTGGTCTTCTACAATTAGCATCTCTAATTTGAGAAGGATGAAGCCATTCAAACTTGCTAGTCGTCTCAGATTCCATATTAAGGCTCTTACAAACACCAACAAAATCCTTTTGGGTTCTAACCCTCTTGTTCATATTCAAGGCAGAACATTCACCCTTGTCCGGAAGACTGAAAGCATCATCATGAACTCGCTTAAATCGAGGAACCAAAGGACGTGTGTCTGGTGTTTCGGGTTCAAGAACATCATCGTTGGTGTCAATAACAAAGGAGTTCCTATTGTCCCCTTGCATGACTGTTTTTTTGAAACCTTCAGCATTTTCCTTTGTTAAGAGTTTACCCAAAGGCGCATCAACATGTACCTCTGACCTTTCGCTTCCACAAGAAGCAGAAGACATCTTTAATGAACCGCCATTTCGTAGGCTCCTATTCATTGCCCCAGATGTTTTGATTAAGATCAATTTGAGCTCACATAAAGTCTTAAACAACATTGCAAATACATTGTTTAACATATAGCAGATATATTACTATATTTATGTGTTCAAAACCTACCAGTACTACAATTAAAGCCTTATATCTCGTCAAATATAAGAGAAGCATGAAGCATCAAAGTGAAATGATAACTGTCCACCTTGAATTGAAAGTTACTCTTTTGTCTGAGCTGTTTTAGAATATATAGAACTAAAATTACAGCAATATATACAAATAAATACTTAATCAGTTAATCTTATTTAAAGTTATGCTTAAAATTGTTGTACTTTGCAAAATACATTATCCCAGCGCAATATTTAACCAAAAAAATAAATGCTGCTTCAGACAAAATAGTGAAAAAAACACCTGTCAGACGATTTTAGTCCGCCATCAAATTTGACGAACTTGTGCTTAATACTCGCAAAAATCGAAGGCTTAGTTCCCACATCGTCGTCGTTCGTCGGGAATATCTGGCGCGGTACCTTCTCAGGAGGAGTCTCGATGCTCCGGATCTCTTCAGTGAAGTCTAAGTTGGTCGGAGGTGCCTCAAGCTTGGTAGGCGGGGGAGCAGTTTTATTGCGCTGGAGCGGAGCAGCTTGGTGGCCGCCGGATCGTTGGTCCCCCGGCGAGGGTTTCTTCAGAAACGAGAGTATCGATGCTTGACGCTTCATTATTGCCAATGCAGAAGCGCGTCGAATCGCCGCAGCGAGATGATGAGAAGGAGAATCAATTGAAGCGGTAATGTTGGCGGGAAAGCTCTCATTCCAGTGGCTGCCACACTTGGCGCGGGAACTGAATCGGGAAGGATGGGAATCCGCACTGAGCGATAATCGTTCGTTCGGTCACTTCGGTGACAGAGAAATGAGAATACGGACGGACTGTTCTCAGCCGTTGGATTTATTGGGCTGGACTATGACCGGGATTGGTCTTTTGCTGGTTTGGGCTCGCTGAAGCCTTTCCAAAGAAATGAGATTGTGACGATTTCTCTTTAGAAAGCACCGATTGAGATTGGCCGAGGCTTTGCCTCAAGCTTTATTTTGGATCAAAGACAAAACCATTCCAAGAATTTCAGGTTTTTTCGGATTGCATGACTTTAATTCGCTCCATCAATAATCATCGGTTCGTGGATTCATCTTTTGAGGCGTTGATTATTCTTCAGTGCAAATCGCTTATGCAATCCTTCAGTTTTTGTTCTTGTGATTTTATTTTTCGTCATTTTAATTTCTCTCATATTTTAGCCTCTGAGACTTTTGGTCAACAATCCTTTTCGTCTTGGGACTTTGTTCCATTTGATTGTATCCCGATCTCTTTAAATTAATGGAATGTTTTTACTTCAAAAAAAAAAGAAAGCACCGAGTGAGGAGTGAATTTGTTATACATAAATAAACTAGGCAAAATGATTTTAAAGTGTACTCCGTAACTTTATTTTAGGGGGGATTGAGTAACACATTCATTTAGCTTATAAGCTTCATTATTGAAGTTATAGATAATGTAACTAACAATGTTTAGAAATACAATACTCCTTATTAAACATGTAAATATTCCATAAGAAAAACAAGAAGAAATTCCGAAATAAACATGCATGAAAAGAAGAAACGATATTTTTTACTTTAAGGGTAAAAGAGGAGGGTAGTACATTTAGGGAATAGTATTCATGTTGTTTAAGTTTACATGCAAATGAACATAGTGCATCCCCGTCGATGGGGATGCACTATGTTCATTTGCATGTGAACTTGGCCTCCTAACACAATAGTTCTATCGGGAATATAAAAACTGCAGAGTACCCCTCTGTCCCGAAAATAAATGTATATTTTAACTTCAGGAAAGTTAAGAAACATGGTGAAACATGAGAGGTGTTTGGATCGTAGACGTTATGTGGTACAATACCAATTACACACACAATGTTGCATCAATAGGCAGCGGGCGTTTGGGCTTATATAGAAGGCAAGCGCTCTTCGTGCATTTTGCCTTCTGAGCTGCTTCCTCTTGATCAAATCATTTGCAGAAGTTCTCAGGGAAAATACAAACTTGGGCGCAAAAGATAGATGGATCAAGGAAGCTGATTTGATTATAATCCCATCATGAAATTCCAATGGGATTTCGCGGTAGAAGCTGCTAATTTTGTTTTATATTTCATTCCATCATCTTGATGAGAAAGGCCAGCTCTAATGCCAACTCCTTGCAATGCAGATATCTGTTTTCCTCAACTAGCTCAACCGTCAAATTTAGTAGCACCGGGCGCTTAGGATCATAAATGGCGTATTCACGCACCCGAGCAACCCACTTTGCTGCTTCCCATGCTCCAAACCTAATATTTCAAAAATATTTGGATGAGGATATATACTACTCCCTCCGTTTCACAAAACGGTTCTTATTTTAACTTTTAGAAGAAATAAAAAGTGTATATTTGTGGTTGATTTTCTAATTTTGTCCTTGATGTGACAGGTAAAAGTTAGATGTGATGGATATATTATTAGTAAAAAATATGATGTGATAGGTAAGGAAAGAAAAATTCAGGGTTAAATTAGTTTTTTAATAGAAAGTGGAAGTGTTTTGGAGAAAACAAGAAAATGAAAGAGGAAGTGTTTTAAGAAACAGAGGGAGTATGTATGATTTTATTACGTACTTAGATGTATTCATACGAGTAATAAATAAGGGCAAATTCTCATGTGGCCCTTGTGTGCACACTCATTTTGTGGACTTTAGTGTATAAACAACATGAAAGAATTGGGCCTTTTGTGAGAGAAAAAAATATACTTGTCAGGTCATGAAAAGCATGAGAAAATCTATATTTTACACGTGGACATTAGGCCACGGAAGCATAACTCATTAATAAAATATATGATTACCGGGTATTGAATGATGATGTCACCAAGACAGCTGGGTAATGTGCATCTTTTTGTATATTGTCATAAGGTGAATATTTTCGTATTCCTCGGAAATCTTCAATGTCCCCGGGGTACCCAAACTCCTCATAATCAGCAGGTGTAAGTGGTAAAATAGGAGAGTTGAGTGTGTTGCTCGGATCCAGAAACGGAACCTTCAAAATAATGTTAATTTAGAACAAGCAAGAGAGTATTTATTTAATACGGAGTATCTCCATGATAGCTAAAATCTCTAATGTTTAGGCACACCTTCAAAATGGCAGCACGAAATAAGTTTGGGTTTGAATTAATGGCGGATGCAACCAATAGGCCTCCAGCACTGTATCCCCAACCGGCTAGCTTTGTGTCTTCAACAATTTCTGCATCTATGAGATACTTAGCACATGCTATATAATCATGAATGGAATTAACCTTTTTTGAGCATTTGCCGTCTTCATGCCACTTTCTACCCCCGCCACCTCCACCCCTGATAAATAAAAATACAGTAAATAAATTCATGCAACCATAAAGTTGCACATTAAGCAGGCCATATCAAACTAAACTGCGCTGGTCTTTGGGCGTGGTTTGATGATGTGGCGATTTATATTTCTGATTTGGGTTCAAACAGTATGTGTCTTGATTGGAGAGGGTAATGTGATTTGGGCAGCTTATCATCAAAAGAAAAGAAAGTGGTGAAGTTTACTACAGATACCCTTCCGGTCACAACCTAAGGAATAATGAGATGGAATTCAAAAATGTCATGATAATAGGATATTTCCAGTAACATTGAAAATGGGAACGAGTTGAGATACAGAGTGGTTGTTATAGTCATGTTCCATTACAAGATTGACATTATAAAAGCCACCTGCATATCATGAAACCTGACCACAATAAGAAGACAAGTGTGAGTAACCAAAACAAACTTAAAATAAACCTGACATCAGCATATGCGATAACCCAACCACGATCAAGCAGGCTCTTCAATTCAGTACGCCACCGTTTATCCAGGATCTCACCATAAGCCCCGTGTCCATGAAGTAACCCGGGATTTTGTGCTTTCTTTTTCCTGCTTCGAGAATATATAACTGTCAAAGGAACGGCTACCCCATCATAAGAAGTGACATCATAATGTTCACATGCATAAATCTCAGAGAGATCATTCCATGGATGATGATTTTCAGCACCAACAACTTTACTGAGGCATATGGTAGATGACATCTCGTCACTAAAAGAATCTGATCCATATAGTGATCTTGTTCTTTCATAAAACATGTTTTGTTGTTGAACTATATTCCAACTTCCAGTGGATAAGTTGTAATCAACAACAGCATCAGGCATCTAATAAAATAAGCAAGTAGATGACAAATTATCCTTTGCTCGGGGAGAAAAAAACATAACAAAACAAAGAGTATTCAATATTACAGTGCTCAATTTAGAATCAGGGAAATTTGGTGTTTGCAACTCATGTTTATGCACAATATTTTATTTTGCACCATATACGTTATTTTCTTAAACTACACACCCGAGTAAGGGTGCAAAATCAAATATGAAGGTATACCGGCTCAAGTTGGGCCAATTAAGGGCAGAGTGGGAACGGACCCTCACTTGTCCACCGACAATCAATTAGTCTTTAAGGTTTAAGTTAGACATGCTGGAGTGGCCCGATGGCAACCACTCTACACTTAAGATTCTCTCCTTGTGGGAGGTCTTGAGTTCGACTCACCCTACCAACAAAAGGGACTTACTTTCACCTATTTTTGGGTTTGTGAGTTTGACTCGGCTCTCGTAGGTATCGCTAGTACCGATGCTCTCAAAAAATTCCAGTCCTAGTTGGCTTATCGCCAAACGAGTAAGGGCAAACAGTGTACATAATCAACAGGTCCAAGCCAGAGGTCGGGTTTCTTGTGGTGAGGCTGCAATGCAATGGGCCGTCTAGTAAAAAAGTTTACCCTCCAAAGTTTTTGCCCGCATGGGTAGTGGTCCTCAGGGAGGAGTGTTAAGTCTGAGGTCTCATTCCTGGCAGCGGCAGTGTGGGAGTTTTATCCAACGTGATAGCTCCTCATGCACTCCACTACCCCAGGCACGAGATGACATCTCGAAGGGCAAGACTAAGATCATACCGTGATTTACCATCTCACTACTTCGTCGGGCTGGGTGTGGGGGGCGGGGTGGGCGTTCCACCTTTTGTCTATAAGGTTTAAGGGAAAGTTATATGAGACCATTTATAAGGTCAAATATAATATCATATATTCAGTTATTACTCCCTAGCCCCAGAAATGTGAATTAAGTCATACATATCAATGTCCACTTTTTCTTTTATTCTAAAAAGGGACAACTAGTATAAAGTTTAGTTCAATGTATACTTACATAAACTAATTATTCAGTTTAACTAAACTTGGTGTATAAAACTAAACAGACTCTCTATTGGAAAATCACATCAGAACAGAGGTTTATTTGATCATTTATGACTCCTTTAAGATAACATTTTAATAGGGAACTGATAAATAGCCATAATAAAATCGTCACACCAATAGGTGAAAACCATCTAAACCAGGTCATCAGATCTTGCAGCAATCTGGCCGGATCAATCCTAAGCCAACTGTGCAACTGTAAAACAATCCTCCTCTAACCCAAGCCCGGTCTGCCCAATGATTGGTCTGGCTCCCAAGACCTCTTTCATAACACTTGACAAAAATTCAATTCACAAGTCACAACAGGGAGATTTGTGCAAACTATTAAAAAACACCAGATATTAAAGATAAGTCAATGAATAATATGTTGGTCAGTGCATGTTTTTTATGTTCGTAAAAAATGTCCTTTGCTCCATCAATCGAACCTCAATGACTTCCATATATAATTAAATCCTTATAATAGTGTTGTTGCATATTTCTCTCATTTATTATTTTAACTAACATGAACAGCATATTTGAAGTTTTGAACAAAACCTTTGTGGTATTTTATGGTTCTCTACCATTTTCATTTTAAGTTATACTCCCTCTGTCCCCAATTTGATTGCAATTTTTTTTCTCTCATCTCGATAACTTTTCTTTGTTTACGCGATTTCATTAAGTATTTGATAAAATAAAATATTCTTGTCACCTCTTGTTTTGTAGAATTTTTGACGTAGTCTTTTAATATGTAATTTTTATTTCTTATCAATATACCGATTTGTAAATAAAATGATTTCAAAAAGTGAGATATTTCTCCTCGTAAACCCCAATTTGTAATCAAATTGGGGACGGAGGGAGTATTATTCTTCAATTGTTGGCATAACCAGGAGGAGTGTGTCTTTCTGTCAGGGATTACAATAAGCTTTTTAGATAGAAAAGGATTAGCTGGTAAAATGGTAAGTCCAAATATTACGCGATACATAAGACACTAAAAAGTTAAAATTTATTTCATCTAGTTTAAATGATTTTAATTAATCTCTCCATGTTCAAATACTAAGATTACTAACAAAGATTTCCTATAATTGATGAAAATCACACATCGTATATTTTTTAGTGTAACTATCAAGTGCGATAAATTGAACTAAGAAAAAAAAATCTGTACTTAAATCAAAAGTACTGAACTTCATAGAAAATGGTTTAAAATATCAAGCTCATTGGTGTAATGTAATGGTTCCAAATAATGTAACAAAAGTGTACATGCACTTACATAGCCAATGCCCATGAAAAATTCACATCAATAGCTTTAAAAAAGAAATAGTATCATGTCAATTTTCCGTTAACTCTTAGTAACAAAGTTACTGTTGGTCTGATACATGAAATCACTATAAAAGGTGGGATTATTATACATAACCCGACGAAAGATGAGATTATTTTGCTCTTTACAAACATAAATATTATTTTCACATCAGTATTCCATTAGTTTTCCCATTTGGGTTTAACACCAGCCTACGATATGCAACTACTCAAAATGGTAGCATTTCTTTGCACAGTGTCAAAAGATGAGATTATTTTGCGCATACTGGCCAAAGATAGAATTATTAGGTGCAATTTTGCAAAATTTAAATTACTCGGGGCGTGTTCTCTTCATCTAATCTCAATTTATTAAGATCTCATCTAATCTAAACTAGGATTCTAGATAAAGTTAAAGTTGTTTCTGGTGTAGTGTGATCTCATGTGGTCTGGTGTGATTCCAATAAGAATAACTGAATAAGCAATAAATAATAAGAATAAGTTGAAGAGAATAGGCTCTTACTCCATCCATCCCAAAAAAAAGTTCCTATTAACTATTTGCGGAGTCAAACTTTGACCTCTTTGCCAATTTTAACTAATCGTTTGATTCAATAATAAAACGTAGTCCCCTCTTGTTTTATAGAATTTTTCATGTATTCCGTAGTTCTTAAAAAAATATATATATTATTTTATTTTGAATTCTACACCAAGTTCTAAATAAATTGAGTTGAAAATAATTTCATAAACCACAACAAGAACTTTATTTTGGGATGGAGGGATTATTTATAATAATATCATGAATATGAAAAGCAGATGAGACATACCACAGGAGATAAAATTGTGAATCGCATTGTAGATGAACAAAAGTCATAATTTGGTCCCGGTAAAATTTGGCATACATTTCCCGGGAGAGGCAAAAACTGTGGATTAAGTTCTTGGAGTCGAACCCCTAGCTGCCAATAGAGAGTTTAAGAGAGAACGGTTTAGTATCATAAACAAAATAGCAGATAGGCAAAAATGCCGATGCCGATTAGTTTACCTTGCCACTTGGCAGAGGCAGAGGAACAGAACAAAGTTTATACGTTCGTCCCTCTCGCACTACAAGCACCATATGCGTGCTGCTGAAGTCAACATCTTCAATTACCACCGAATCATCAACCAAAACATTCTGCATCATGAGAAAATATGAATGATCATAAACTATAACAATGATGAAGACAAAAAAGGGGTGCTAAGTGCCTATACTCCAATGCTAATGGGGAGGGTATATGGAGATGGGTTGGTGTGGACGGGAAGAATCTAGGCTAAATTCCCCATGCCATATGCAAGGGAGTGGATTCTAACCATAGACCTCTGCCACATTGTGGGAGAGAGCCTAACAATCTTGCTTGACCCACCCTACAAGTACATGCTCAAATTTATGCATTTTATACATTTACTGCATACACCAAAAACCAAAGAGTGACAAAAGGCTTCCTGCCGAAAACTGACCTCCCATGTTTTTTGATCTAGTGGATACTTGACAGGAGCGTGTAAAAGATAGTAAGAATCAACAGGTTTGCCATTTTTTGCAGCATTTGTGAACATGTAAAGACAACCATGATGATGTTCAACTATGCAATTGGCTAGCCCTTCACTTTCCCAAACAAGCTTAAGGCCCGATAAAGGTTCAGAGCCATCTATCAGAAAGACCTAAGAAGAGTCATTGGGATAAAGTTTGTTCCAACAATAGGCAATAGAATATCAAAACTTTTGCCACGATATTATTACCTTAGAAGATGTGCTTGCAAGCACGTTTACTGTGACAAAGAGAAAGTCCTTTGTATGCCTTATGTGCATATTTACACTAGTACTAGGCTCTTCGAAAAGCAACACATCTTTGCCTGTACCAAGCATATTACAATATAACCTAAAATACATAAAAACTAATAAAAACATTGTAGGGCATCAAACATATATGGAAGCAGGAACTTGTCAATAGCAAAAATTTCTTACCTGTAAGGCTTTTGATGATCAGTAACAACATAGAGTAAAGCTTGTCCATTCATTGCCCAAGCTATACTTGTTACATGATCAGCTTGAGGCTTATTACACGGAGAGCCCAAATTTAAGTCCCTTACAGATAATTTAAATAAATCATTTTCTTTATCGTACATAGTGTATGCAAGATATCGGTGATCAGGGGATATTTCAGATAATTCTTCATATGCATAACCTGTAATCAAATAGTTAAATCATAAACCAGAACATGCTTGAGTGAAGAAGGCACTGGGGGTGGGGAGTGGGGACTCACAACACCTCCAAATCTTTCAGCTTCTTGGTTGTAATCGAGCAGTTTTTGCTCAATTCTCTTTCCAGAAGTAAAATCAAACCCGGATGAGGGAGATACGTGAGATATGAACTCTGCATTTGTGCTAGCTAACCTCCTGCACAGAACTGGATATTGTTTCCCCTCTTCTACACGCCTATAGTACAACCTGCGCAGACCAAATTCCACCTCAATAAAGTAAAGAAACGCACTTGCAATTCGAAATTCCAAGCAGCCAAATGATTTATGAAGTTGACCATTGAAGTGGTACGCTTTGTTCAATTCTCAAGCTTCTAGATTCTCTAAAATATCAAATGTAACATTGAAGCAAAACTTCACTTTGAATTGCCTCGGGAAGCAATACTCATTCCTCCTCATTTAGTAGTCTACTCCCCAAAATGTACCATTGAATGTTTAATGACACACAAAAAAAATGAAATTAGTTTGCTCTCTACAGGCTATTTACAAAATCTAGTTTGCAAAATTTGGTAAGTAGACATTCAATCCAATTCAGTAAGCCCAACAAACATAGTGTGAACAACTAAATCAGGAACTAATGAGTAGATATTAGGAAATTTGTAATTGTGAAGAACTGAAGCATTTACCAAGGGCCCCACCGAAGTGGAGGGGTTGAAAGATCATTCGCCATACGAGAAGCCATTTCCGACTGAAGCTTTGACTGAAGGCGTTCGGTGTCAGACATGACTGCTTCAGTGTACTTCTCCTCTTGCTCCATGTAAACATCCATGTGGCGCATCGCAACCTTGTCGTTGAGTTGGGACATCCAATTATATGGGTCCTCCCATGACTCGCCGTGGAGGGTGAAATTCGCCGGCTTTTTGGGGGGTTTCGGCGGAGATGGTGGCGATGGAGCCGGTAGAGGTTTCTGCGGCCGGTAGTACGCGATAGGAGTGCAGTTGATTGGATGTGGTATACACTTGTGACACCGGGGGTTACGGCGGAAAGCGGCAAGGAGGTAACGCATGGTAGCTGACTGGCGGAGTCAGAGCGGCAAAGCATGTATGGGGACCTCTTTTTTCTTTTTTGAACGACATCTAGAGGCAATTGTTGGGTGTGACCACTTTCTCCAATTGAGAGAACCAAACTAACACATATTCAATAATACAAAGACACACTTTATAAAATAAGTTTGTATTACATAAAGATAGGTATAAGAAAAATTAGAACTATACGAGTACATGGAATATTACACTTCACTCTTTGTATTAGGAACACTTTTCTACAACTCACTCATGAGCACTTTCAAGAATCCTTATTGATGGGTCTTTAGACTTTTCTTACTCATCATTGCCAAATGAGGCATCCACACTCCTATTTATAGTTACATGCTTGACTTCTCTATAATACTACACATATCTCTATGTATGTAGAATCTTCTAGAAAGTCTCCACAAGCTTCCATAAAGTTCTAGAAAATTCTAGAGAATCCCACGTACTTCTAGAATATTCTAGAAGACTCTACATTTTTAACATACTTCTAGAGAATTTCACACTTCTCTAGAAAGCTCTAAAATATTCTAGAAACTTTTATATTATTCTATACATTTTTAAAGACTTTTACATTTCTCAAGAAAATTTCACAATATTCAGAGAATTCTACACATCTCCATCAATTTTTGAAAGTATTGAATTCATATCCTAAAAGAGCAAAATATTGTTCAAATAAGAAGTGTTTTTGAAAGAAAATGGGGTAAATTTCAAGAATGGTACCTGAACTTTCACAAAAATTTTAATTTAGTATCTGAACTTCAAACCTTTCACAAGAGTACATGAACTTTTACCATCTTTTGACTAAAAGTGCATTTGCCATTACCAGATGGTCAGCAGGTCACTTTCAGCCAAATTGTAAAATCTAAATTTTTATTTTTTTAACATTGACCCCCCACTTCTTCTTTTTCTTATCCTTACACTCCCATAATTTATATTATTTTTTCCAACCCACTTCCCTTTCTTTCTCTTCTTTCTTTTTCCCCTTTTTTCTTTTCAAAGTGTATCCCAGGTGGGTACCCGTGTCCTCCACATATGTTTTAGTATAAAAAAATGAATAAAAATGTAGGGTTACAAAATGAATATAATGGTGTACAGTGTTAGACACCACACACACCTTTAGAGGAGGTTAAATAGAGGTGTTCTCCAAAATGATCAATTTCTTGGTGCGGAAGCATTCTCGATCAAAACCAACGCACCACAAATAAAATAAAGTGAATGATACATTCAGTCCCCAAGCAAACGTGTATGAGCCTTCACTACCAACCCATCAAACTTAACAGAGTTTGACAATTCGAGTACAACTCGAAATTTTGATCTCACAAGCCTCTTATCTTACAACTGAATCCTTGATTTCAAAAGACTCGGGATTTCTTCCACCTAACGTTTGATTTCACAAACCGTTAGAAAATTTACCACTTGGTGTAATCCCAACACCAAGAATACAAATCCTTTATAAAAAGTAAAAACAATCACAACATTACAATTACTCTCACAACAGTAAATTGCTACAAATACAATAAAATCCTATAGAATATAGTGAAATCTCTAAAGCACCCAAATAATGAGGAAAAAACTCAAGCAAGAAAGGATTGAGCAATCAAAACATATATTTTGTTTGAATGTTAAAAGGGGATTAAGTGATATCTCTTTGTATATTCAAACGATGTTTTAATGAATGTTCTTAGAGTTCTTGAATAAGGGAGACACGAAATGGGAAGAGTTAAATAGGACATAGATGATGTAACTTCCAAAAAAATTGAAAAAGCTGATGGTTGAATGGTTGGACATTTGAAACTTCCAAAAAGTTTGAAAATTGATGCTAATAAGTGTGTCTCCTTTGTGAAAATAATGCGATATGTAACAAAAAATTCAAATCTCTAGCTCCAAGTATCTGGAGAAATTTACATTCTCCAATAATAGAGTTGAAATATGCACAAACACCAATCGAGTGATTCCTTAAGTGTAATGGCATTTACTTCTCTTATACCAAAACTCTCTCTACATCTGACGTTCTCGGCAGCTATGAACCAACCTTTGTGATCACACGCAATGAAATCCAAGCCCATTAATCCATCAACGAATCCCATTGAGGCATCCATGTTCACCTTGAGATAAATCACCAGTGGCCTCTATCATCAAATCGTAACACCAGCCCAAACTCTAATGTTAGTCAAGGTATGACGCGTCGAAGCCACCACAACACCACCTTCCACTAGTCTTTAAAAGTTCTGCAAGTACGCAACCACACTCTAAAATGGGAATATGTTTTGTTTTTCAAATCTTAACATTTTGAGTAAAGCAGGTCATCTAAAGAAGGTGTGGTGTTAAGCCTTAATTGTGCTAGTTAAACAGATTTGAAATTATCAAGAGCCAACCTTGGAAAGATCCAACAAATGGAGCATATAATCCAAGAAAGGAGGTACTCCAAACTTGTTGTGCTAAGGGACAATGCACAAAAATATGCAAGACGGTCTCTTCTGAAGCATGGCATAGTGGACAAACATCTTGAAGTGTTACCCTCATCGCCACCAAATCACTAAGGCAAGGGAGAATATTTAGACGCCCTCCAGATAAGGTTGCACACCTTAAGGATAACACAAACTTTCCATAACTTTTTTTGAAGCATCTGATTTGTTCCATGCCTATCAATCGTAGCATCTTAAGTGAGAACTTATTGCCACTCTTCACAGTGTAAATACCAAATTATCATAGACCCAAATCATATTTTTACTCGTTGACCCTGCAAACGGAATAACTTCAATGCACTCATTAATGATTCTTAACATTAAAAATGGCATAAATATTTGGCCAATCCCAACCATCCAAAGAACGGGGATTGTTAACTCGAATTAAGGCAAATAAAAATGAGAGAATGCATTGAGTTGGTTGATGGAGAAGAAGTTATTAAACCAAAAGATATGGAAAGAGAAGAACCATAAGCCATCAAAGGCTAAAGGGAACAACGAATTTCAAAAGACCATCAACTTGATAATGTCATTGGTGAAGTATCTCAAGGTGTGTTTATATGTACCAATATTTTAGGAAGGCTATTAATCAAATGACATTTGTAACACAAATTGAACCAACAACCGTTTTGAATTTCATTAACGAAGAACATTGGTCTGTACCAAATCACGAAAAAGCTTAACCACTTTAATCACAATGGCGTTTGGGGAATTCGTGTCTCGACCAACTGATCATACAATTATTGGCACAAAATGGATGTTCTCTAACAAACTCAATGAAATGATATCACTAAAAAAAATTTACAGATTCTTTTTAATGTAGTTTTAATTTTTTTAATGAAAACATTCATATTAATACTTCCAAAAAAATGAGGTTTTACACGAATATTCTAAGATTTTGTAACCATCACTAACACTCCTTGAATTTTGATATTTTAAAAATAATACTCCAAGAAAATCTTTAGTTTACATGAATCCCTCTAGTTTTTGAGGTGTATCTATGATCAACATTGTATCTTGGAGTATTATTATAAAAATAATGAATTAATGTGAAGAAGGGTGATAATTATGCAGCATTTGAGCATTCATGTAAAATTTCATAATTATATTCTAGGAGTATTGACATCAACTTTTTCCTTTTTATTTACAATTTTTTTTATCATGTACCAATTTTAACTGGTACTCTTTAACTCTATTTTTAAAATTCAAATTATTAAAAAATTTAATTTAAATTTTTAGTTTAAGTAAATGTTAAAATTTAAATTAAATGTTAAAAAATACTTCGAAAAATGGAAGGGAAATGAAAATGAAGGGAAGTGGAATAACACCCCGAAAAGGATATTAAAAGAAGTTGCTATATCATACATCCGGTTGTATCTAGAGCAATCGATGTACCCCCGGCGAATATTCATATCGGAGTTACAAAATTTTAATTTTACATTATGTTTATTTTAGTTCTACTTTCTAGAAACGCAATACTCACTTTTACACATTTCCAAATATATGTATAAAAAATATGTCCATTACAAGTTTACAAAATGAATATTAGAACACTACAAAATCCACCCTTATATAATAAGGGCCTATGTTGTTAGGATAGTCATTTTTCCTTCATTTTTTCTGCTTAAAGTTAACGTAGCTAGAGTCAGCTTTTACCACTTTCTTTCCCATATTTCCCTTTCTTCGTGATCTGAGACTCCTCTCTCATGAATCCCCCATCTGTTAGAACTTAGAGCGCCAACCAGGAGTCAATCACGGCATAGTACGTGCGGTACACTAGAGGCCCCCTTCAATTTGGGATTATGGGGTATGTAATCAGTGATTCCTAATGCGTTCTTTTTTTTCTATATATTGAATTCTAATTTTTTAGGGTTTGATAATTTGTTGGTATTTGACTTTTTGGGTTTTGAATAATAGATGTTTGATAAATGAAATTTTTATATAATGATGTTTTATTGTTACAGTTTCTCAATTTGGGGTTTATTTCTTGGTTTCTAAATGGATGTTAATTAAGTGTCGATTGTAATTATCAATTTGGGAATGTATTTTCATTTCATTTTTTATTGAAATTTAAGAGTCCAAATGGTCTTGAGCTTCTTCTCCCTCATCCCGGATTGCTTCATAGTTCTAATTCAAGAATTGATGTGGAATTAGGTAATAACTTTGGCTTCTTTTCCCTTTCTTTCAATAAGATAATCATATTAAACAAAAGTCTTGGTGATGTCTGTCTACCCAAGTTATGGCACGTATTTAAGTTCAATATTACAGTATTTTTCATTGAACAAGTGATCAAATCGATATGAAGCTCAAATTTCAGCTTTGAGTTTTTTCTTTAAGGGAAAGCAAGTTCAACTTTTAGTTTTTAAAGCTTCAATTCTTCTATTAACTTCTATTTCAATTCTTAGAGTTAATCAATCCCATCCGCCTAAGGGGCAAGAATAGATGAATCAAATGAATAAAAAAAGGTCACATATGGAATGCCTTGATGCCATTGACATCAACAAAAAAAGTTGGCTGATAAAGTAAAATAACTTTTTTTTGCACTCTCTTACATGCCTAAGTAACAAGCACCTAAACTACTTCTTTTGCACTCGTTTGGTTTAAAGAAAAAAAATTGAGACTGCTCCCTAACCCTCCTTTTTAACTTGCAATGCTTTCTTGGTTGTAATTAAATCCCTTACTCCCTTTACTGTAAGTTAGAAATTACCTATGCACTGCACTCTGGGCACCCTCGCACATTGTGCGTTCCCAGCTAGTGTTCAAATATATCTCCTTTTCATAATGTACGAATACCCACAATCCAAATTATATCATCTTCATCCTTTCATCTTGTGCCCTTACTGATCGAGTGTCCCCGTTGCATTAGAGTAGTTGTCAGTCGAATCACCGCCTAGAGAGTCGCTATTGTAGAAGAACCATCATTGCTGTAGCCATCATATTGGGTGAGGTTGCCGCCACTATGCGCTTTTCTTTGTCGCATCAAGGGTCTCTGTGATCAACGCAGGGTTGCGTGACTTTCTCCCAAATTTAACGCTGACTGTACTGGAAGAGCGATACAACTGAGTCTATGAAATAACTTATAGATGAAAAGGAGAGTAAATGAAAAAATTGATTTGGCACTTAATTGGGAGTTGGAGAAAAAAGGGGAAGAGATGAACTATACCTTATAGCCTAACCAATTCTAAGTATACATTTTTATATTACAATACTTTCTTTAACTGTTGATTGGTCGGTGAAAAAATAGTATCAAAGAAAGAAAAATGAAGATGAGTAAACATAAATTTTAATATAGTTTCTAATGTTTGGTTGAGAAAGAAAAGGGTGAAAAAAGAAAAAATAATGTAGGACCCTTGCCAAAACATTTCTAGTTGATAAGGATGAGAAAAAACATCTTCATTACCTTTTAATATTTTTTCACTATTTTCTTATCATTCTCTATCTATTCAACATTGAATTTTTATTCTCATCATGTTCTCACTATTTACTTTCTTCTTATCTTATTTCTTTTTATTTTATTTTCCCTAAATTTTTCTCCTCATCCAAAGAAATCATTAAACTTCGTGGAAGTGAGAGTGAAAAAATTTTTATGAGATGAAGAATGTATACTTAAAAAATACATAAAAAAATCTTATAAAACATGTGATATGATTTTTATATACTACAGAGTGTAAAACAAGTAATGAAAACACTTCCTAACAAATAAAGTCTAAGTGTTTGAATAAAAAATAATCATTTTTCTTCCAATTTTCTCCTTTCTTTTTTTGAGTTTTTTTCTTCAATTCCCTTTCCTAATCGATTAATTTATGCACAACCATGCTAGATATACCCTAAAGATTGTATCTTAAAATATACTAAAAGAATTTACATTCTTATTTTGATGACTTACGTTGATACAAAATACTAGTACAATTATAAAACTTTACACTAATATTTTCTGTGGGTGTAAAACATCAATCTTACAATTATATCAACACAAAACCAAATCTACATTTACACCCACACAAAATATAATTTAAATTTTTGAAAGAACATTTGAGATAGAACTTTTAGAATAGAAGTAGATTTATCATTTATCCATATAGGCATGGAGAAGAAGTCATATTTGACCATAGTTGCCAAACAAGAGCTCCTCGAACCTTCTAGGCATTCATTAGCTCAAATTCCGTTTCCGTTTCAGATTATATCCGAATCTTCTAGAGGAACCCAGACCAACCTCCATCCCTCTGCAATATATATCTCTCGTCTCCCTCTCCTTCACCCAACCCAATCCAGTTTCAATCCATTTCATCGACGCAATTAAAGTCCTCTCTGTTGATTAATCGTCCAAAGCAAGATGCCGACCCGTCCGTCCGTCGGAATATCGCGAGACTGGGAGCAGGTGGTGCTCCGGAAGCAAAAGCCGAAGGCGTCGGAACTCCGGGACCCAAAGGCGGTGAATCAGGCGCTGAGGACGGGAGCTCAGGTGCAAACCGTGAAGAAATCCGACGCCGGATCGAACAGGAAGGCTCCGGCGACGGTCGTGAACGCGAGGAAGCTGGACGAGGCGGCGGAGCCGGCCGCGCTGGACAGAGTCCCGGCTGAGGTGAGGCTGGCGATTCAGAAGGCGAGGATCGAGAAGAAGATGACGCAATCGGATCTGGCGAAGCAGATGAACGAGCGGATTCAGGTGGTTCAGGAGTACGAGAACGGGAAGGCTGTGCCCAACCAGGCGGTGCTGGCGAAGATGGAGAAGATCCTGGGAGTCAAGCTTAGAGGAAAATCCAAATGAGCTATGGCGGAATTATTATATGGCGGAATTATTATAAGGTTGATGTGTACGTACTTAATTAGCTGACTGAAAATAATGTTCGTAGTGAATGTAATCTTGATGGATTCGAATGCTTGTAATCATTTGGAAGCCAGAATTGCTCTGATCTAAATGGAATTGATGTAAAAAATCTCAATTGATATGAAAACGATATTTGCACTCTTATTCTAAGATCTTCAAAAAAATTGTTCTAATTTTTTGGTTGATTTTCTGATTATAAATTAAACACTCCTAAATGAGGAGTACTTCGTATAACATGTAAAAATTATGTTTTAATATAACTCAATTATATTGAATTTTTTTGAAGCAATTATATTAAATACATTGAATTCAAATTTATATTAAATTTTTATTATTATTAAACATATTGTTTTCACAATTTATGATAAAATTTTTATTGACTAATTTAAAAAATTAAAATTAGGATAAAGTTTTAGAATGGGAGGAGAGTACTATTTACTTTCTCATCAATATCATTTCTATATCAAACCATTTTCTAGTTTCTCGGGTGTGTTTGGTTTAAGGGAAGTGGAAAGGGTGTTGTTTGGTTGAAGAGAGGTGGGAGAGAACTAAATCAAAACAATTCCCCCCTCTTTGGAGTGAAATGGGAAGGGTCAACTTCTTCAACCAAACAAATTAGTGGAAGTTCAATTTTCACTTCTCTCCACTTCACTTCTTTCCAAATGTACACTTTCCATTTTGTTTTCACACATCTTTATTTATATTTTTTTATCACATGCATAAGTGTTACACCAAGATGTTGTATTAGAGAATTTAGGGTCCATGAGGTACATCAAGATGTACCCTTAGCGTTTTTCATTTGGGATAATACAAAAGTCGGGGCATTGCCCCTAAACCTTTTTTTAAAAAAATAAAATGTGATGCATCAAAAATTGTTGAGAAAAAAAGTAAAAAAGCCAAAAACATGATTCATGTATGTTAAATATATTTAATTATTTTAATATATTTAATATTATATATTATAATTATGGTTGTTATCTATTATAGTTAGAGTTATTATTATATAATATTATCTTATATAATTAGTCATTAATGTGGAGGATTCTAGAATATATTCCTCCACCTATAAATACATACTTTGTATTCCTCTATTATTCATTCAATTAATAAAACGTTCTTTGTTATTTTTACATGGTATCGGAGCTTTGCTCTTGGTGACCTAATAGTTTTTGTTTCCGCCGCCGCCGCCGGAGGTTTGTCTGGCGACGGCGGCCCCACTTTTACTTTAGAATGTTCTTCCTTTAATCATAATTCTTTCATAATTCCATCTAGCAAAAAAATATATTTCCAGCCAACCACAACCGTCTGTTTCTAGATCCCTCACCGCCGCTTCTTGATTTAAGATGAGATTGTCACATCAACTTGCTCAGGAGGCATATCTTCAGTTAACAAGCACCCCTAGCAACACTTCATTCTTTTTGTTTCTCTTCTAAATTTGTCGTGCACGACTCTAGCGTACATCAACATTCTCCCTCTTTTGACGTCAGCAGCATGAGACTGTTCGCAGCGACTTTTCTTCTCTCCTCATCAACACCATCAGATCTCTTTCCTTGCAATCTTTCTTCTTCTCTTCTGGGCCGGATGCATTCAGTGTACTCAAGCCAAAGATATGCCTCGTTAGCTTCTGATTACAATTCTGGTCACGATTCAAGTAAAAGTTGGTGTTCAATCTTCACCTTCCAAGACGTTGGTAGTATGTTAAATATATTAATTATTTTAATATATTTAGTATTATATATTATAATTATGCTTGTTACCTATTATAGTTAGAGTTATTATTATTATATAATATTACCTTATATAATTAGTCATTAATGTGGAGGATTCTAGAATATATTCCTCCACCTATAAATACATACTTTGTATTCCTCTCTTATTCATTCAATTAATAAAACGTTTTTGTTATTTTACAAGGTACCACATTATGACTTAATTTACTATTATTCCCTATACTTTAAATTTTAGATTTTACTTTTGGTTTTTTAAATGGGGGGCGAGGGGCTTATTTTTAAATGGAGCACTTAGCCATTGTTTTTGTTTGATGAGAAAAAGGTGGGTAAAAAGAGAGATACAAGAAACCACACATTCCAATACAATTTTCTAATGTTTGGATGAGAAAGAAAGATGTCAGAAAAAAAAATTGAGCGAGATCTTACCAAAAATTTTCTCATCAAGAAGGATGAGAAAATCGCACAATAGGAAGAGAGAACACGCTCAATCACAAATTTGCCATTTTTCTATTTTCTCTCTTTTCTTATCATTTCCTATCTTTCGAACAATAATTTTTTACTTTCTATTTTCTCACTATTTTCTCTTCTCACTAATTTCTTTCTCATTATTTTCTTTCTCATCATTTTTTTGTACACCAAAATAAAAACAAATACACAAAGGCACTCAAAGTATATGCATGCACATACATCAAGTATCTGTTTTTGTCTTAGTATACACACCATATGGGATTTTCCAAATATTTTCCCGTTAAATATTTCATCTTAAGATTTTATTCTTTTAATACTAAAGATTTATTCTTTTAACACTACTTCCGCGTCTCTTGGTGACTTTTATTTATTTATATATTTTTATTGATCATTTGATAAAATAAAATATTCATATAGCATCTTATGTGATTTTATTAAAAATTTTCTTTTATTGATCTTTTGATAAAATAAAATACTCAAATAAAATATTTATGTAATTTTAAAATGTGTAATTTGTAAAAAAAAAAGATAGATTTTACACCTCATTCAAATTATGACTATTTTTGGGACAAAAAGAGTACTTAAATATTTGACTTTTCTCATTTAACATTTTCGATTGGAGTCTAATAAATCAATGTCATGGGATGACCCGGGGTGCTCCACTGCCCCGTTCGTAAAATTGATAGTTATTACCCCTCAACTCGTCCCAACCCAAACACCCCCACTCCCTTCAACTGCACCCCCACCCCCAAAAGTCAAAATAAACTTGGAGATGCAATTGAAGGGAGTGCCAAGTGGGGGATGTGTTCAGCTCGGGACAGACTGGAAGATTTACCGGGAGAGTTAAGAGAGGTAAGAACCGTCAATTTTACGAATGGGGCACCGAGCACCCCCGGGTCATCTTATGACATTGGAAACCAATGCCATGAAAACCAAGCCCTACCATTATATTCAATAAAGATTTTGAATTAAAGCTCCTCTGTGATGTGGAACGTAAGTGTTTAAACTACTACTTATACTTTTTATACTTTATACTGAATTATACTTAATAAAGATTACTCTTAATCTCAATTTAAATTACATGTTTACTACTCACATGGTAAAATTTTGACAATGCTTTTTTACCCATTTTTTACCCATTTAAAAAATAATATAATTTTATCATCATTTGTTTTGTAAAACTTTTAATGTAATATTTAAATATAATTTTTTTAAATTCTATGCCAATATTCAAATTAAATTGGTACAAATGGAGTATAAATGTAAAAAAAAGTTTTACTCTCAACAGAATGAGTGTAGAGTTCGGGGTGAGCTTACCCATTCCCCTACCCTCTCAACAGAATGAGCAGCCACACTAACAAGTGTACCGCCTTATATAAAGAGCGAGATGTAAAAGTAACTTTAAAGTCTCTATCACAAAGTGTTTAGAGATGCTTACAATCAATAAAAAAAAAATTAAAATAAGACCGATCCATAATGACTCTGCAACCTCTTTATAGTCTATTTCCAGAATGACTCGCATCCAACCATTGACTATTATCCAAGTTTGGGCTTCCATCAGTGCAATAGCATCTGCCCCTCGAACTCCGAAACTTCCTCTGCACCGAATACTCTTAGCAAGTGACCATGATCATGCCGCGCAATGCACCCCAAGCCCAGTCCTAAGGCATACCATGCAGCCTTAGAAATGTATGGAGGGGTGTATGCCCAAACAGACGGTGATAATAATGAGGGTAGTTGACTACAGTGAGAAGCCCAGGCTGCCAAGGGAGGGCAAGCAACCAGAGTTGGGATGCATAATTCACGAAAGCTCTTAATATGAGGCAAAGGAGTCATGTTTACACAAGGCAGTGAGAAGCCCCAGGCCACCAAGGCTGGAACCACTAGGACATTTGGGGTTGCCCCACCAAGATATGGATTGGGTCCTCACACACCATAAAATTAGTAAACCTCGTATCATGACCGCCTCATCAGAGTTACGATAATAACAAGTCATTAGCATTTCTTTCTCAAAGCAAAATGTCACATTTGTCTCAAGCATAGAATACTTGAGTACTTGAACCAATAGTTGAGAATATACTCCCTCCGTCCCATAAAAACTTCATTGTTTGCCTTCCATACAGTTCTAGGAAAGTGTTGAAAAGTGAAGTGTGGTTGGGATTTGTAGGTTTCCATGTTCCACACATACACTCTCACACACACATGCATACATTCTGTGTGGGAAGAAAAATAGAGAGGTTGTTAGTTTAGAGGTGCAGAAAAAAACCTGAAATGGCAAACCCATCTTTGGGGCTCTTTTCTTATGAGGCTCAGAGCTACAACAATGAGAGGAATCTGCTGTGACTGCAATTACCAATTCATACCCCAAGATACGGATTGGTTCCACAAAATGCCCTAACATGACTAGCCATGTATCATCACCACTTCCTCCCGGTCACAATAACAACAATAACCCATTGCTTCAACTGAATTCTGTTGTTTTAGGATTAGAAAGAGAGGCTCTCCAGGCAGCAAACTATATCTTTCTTTACATGCTACTCCGTACATTGTTCTAGAGTTAATAGTACTGAAAAAAATACTTTCTTTACGTATTTTCATCGTTTTGACCAAATAATATAGTAATGTCACATCTTGTTTTGTAGAACTTCTAGGAAGAATCCCATATAGATACCCCAATCTGCCCCTAGGGCTCTTTTATTAAATGAAGGCTCAGCTTAAGACAGAATAAAAACCCGCCAGTACTGCTATTACCGATTAATGGAGGATTGCCACACCAAGATACATATTGGTTCAGCAAAATGCCGTAAAGAACAAACCAAGCATCATCACAACCTCTGTTATTCAGCTTTTCTTCCCTTTTCCTTTTAAACTGAACATCAAAACAACTATTTCGAACCATTTTTTTCTTTTCCCTTCTGAATTCTTTGAACCAAACTTCAAAAAGAAATCTCAGAGTCACATATCTCACTTCTTTACGCTCTGATATCTTTGATTGATACATACTTCAAAGAAAGCTCTTTTGATGAGGCTCAGAGTTATGTTTACACCAGGCATGGAGAAGCCCGGGCCACCATCGCTGCAACAACTAGGTCATTCGAGATTTTCCCGCCAAGATAAGGTTTGGGTCCTCACCCACCACAAAATTAGTAACCTGGATGGCATCATCACTGCCACATCAGAGTTACAAGAATAATAAGCCAAGAGTGTCCCAAATAATAAGCATTTTGTCTAAAATAAAATGCCATATTTGTCTCAAAGACATAAGGTAGTTGAGTATTTCAACAAATATGTAAATACTCAATAATATATACTACCTCCTTCCCATAAAACCATATGGGAACCTGAAACCCCAAACCTTCCTTTGGGGCTCCTTTCTAATGAGGCTCAGAACGTCAACAACGAGAAGAACAACCCGCCATGACTGCAATTAGTTTTTAATACTCCCTCCATCCCTAAATGAATTACACTTTCTGTTAAACGTGTAAAATCGCGCAAGTGTCAAAATTATTTTATTTACAAATTGGTATAAAAATAAAAATTTAAAACTATACATTTAAAAACTACATCAAAAGTTTTACAAAATAAGAGGTGACAGGAACATTTTGTTTTAACAAATGATCAATTAAAACAAACAAACAAACAAAAGGCTGGAATAGTAAAGAGGTAAATCATTTTGAAAGAGGACAAGATTGCCATGCTAAGATACAGAATGGTTCCACAAAATGTCGTGACATTACTTGCCAATTGTCATTACAGCCTCTTCAAGGTCACAGTACAACATTACCCCAGTGCCTCAAAGGCTACCGCCCACCATCGCGGAGTTGGGGGGAGGGGGGGGGGGTTAGATATACGTAGCCTAACCCCTATGTTTGAAATGTAGAATGGTTGTTTCAAGATGACCCTTAAGCATCAAGAGTTACATTGACTAAATGCTACTTCACTATTGTTGTGACGAGGTCAAAATAATAACAATAATTCATTGCTTCAACTGCGAATCTGTGGTTTTAGGCTTAGGAAAAGGAGTCTTCCTGGAAACACGCTCTACGTTGTTAGCTATTTGTATTAGCATTTAGGGTAAACTATTTCCGTTAACTTTTCGGGTATTTGACTCATTAAGTTATCTGTAATAAATATCGAGCTAGATGGGATTTTAGTAAATTAGGTGCTTGACCAAATTCCTAAAATAGTTTATTTTTAAATTAGGTTCTTGACCAAATATGGGATTTCAGAAAATTAGATGCATGACCAAATCACTATATTAAAAATTTCTTTTCTTTCTAATTATTATTTATAGTTAAAAAATATAATACGAACCTAACTTTGATTCCCCACATCATTTATGTAGTTTCAAATGCAATTGTTCTCAAACAAAAACAAGTCTTTTTTCAACACACACATGGAGATCATAAATGGTATGAACAAAATTACTATGTACAAGGTTAGAGAAAACCGAAAAAGAAAAGTTGAAGAAAAAGAAAATGACAAAAGAAAATAAAAGGATACCACATAGAAACCCCACATATACCTCTATGGCTATTTTCTTATGAGGCTCAGAACTATGACATTTAGAAGAACCCTTCATGACTGCAATCATCGATTACTACCTGATTGCCACGCCAAGATAATTGGTTCAGCAAAATGCCCTAATAAATTAACCAAGCATCAACACAGCCTCTTTTGCTAACTTTTTCTTTTCCTTGTGATTTTCTTTTCTTTTCCTTTTCTAACCAAACATCAAAGCTGCTTTTTCTTACCATTTAATTTTCTTTTTCCTTTATGAATTCTTTGAACCAAACATAGTGTAAGTAGTTTCTTTTCTTGAGTTTCTTGTGAAGAAAGATAGAAAGGGTCATTTGGAAATAGAGAGACCATGTGCCAATGAGAGGGAGGCAAGTAGGAACCAGCCCCTTTCAAGAAACTCCCATCCTTCCCCTACCTCAATCACTTTTTGTGATTCCTTCCCAACTAAAGCTCGTTTCACGAGGAGCTTTGCTTATACAAGGCAATGAGAAGACTAGGCCGCCATGGCTGCAACAACTAGGTCATTTGGGGTTGCCCTGCCAAAATACGGATTGGGTCCTCACACGCCATAACATTAGTAGCCTTGTATCATCACAGCGTCATCAGAGTTAGTTACGATAATAACAAGTCATAAGCATTTTCTTAAAACAAATTGTCGCATATGTCTCAAACACAAAGTGCTTGAGTACTTAAACCAATAGTTAAAAATATACTCCCTATGTCCCATAAAAACTTCACTCTTTGCCTTTCACATAGTTCAAATGTTGAAAAGTGAAGTGTGGTTAGATTTAAATATAAGTATCCATGTTCAACACACACACCCACACGCATGCATGATGCATACATTATGTGAGGACAGAAAAATAGAGAGGTTGTTAGTTTAGAAGTGCAGAAAAACCCTGAAACGGCAAACCCATCTTCAGGGCTCTTTTCGTATGAGGCTCAGAGCTACGACAATGAGAAGAACCCGCTGTGACTGCAATTACCAACTAATACCAGATTGGCAGATTGCCATGCCAATATACGGATTGGTTCCACAAAAAGCACTAACACGACAAGCCATGAATCCACATTGCTTCCTCTAAGTCACAATAATAACAATAACCCATTGCTTCAACTGAATTCTGTTGTTTTAGGATTAGAAAGAGGCTCTCTTGGCAGCAAACTATTTATTTCTTTACATAATACATGCTACTACGTACATTGTAATAGAGTTAATAGTACTAAAAAAAATATCTTCATTACATCTTTTCATCGGTTTTGACCAAATAATATAGTAATGTCACATCTTGTTTTGTAGAACTTATAGGAAGGATCCCATATAGATACCCCCAACCTACTCCTAGGGCTCTTTTATTATGAGGGCTCAGTGCTAAGACAATTAGAAGAACAACCCACCATGACTGCTATTAATGATTAATGCCAGATTGCCACACCAAGATACGGATTGGTTCAGTAAAATGCCGTAAAGAACAAACCAAGCATCACAACCTCTGTTGTTCAGCTTTTCTTTCCTTTTCCTTTTAAGCTGAAAATCGAAACAGCTTTTTCATACCAGCTTTTTCTTTTCCCTTCTGAATTCTTTGAAGTTTGAACCGAACAGTGCAAGTTGTTTTTCTTTAGTATCTTTCTTGCAATGAAGAAAGCAAGGGCTGTTTGAAAATAGAGAGGTCATGGGCAGATGAGAGGGAGGCAACTGCCCATTTCAAGAAACTCCCATCCCTCCCCTGCCTCAGTCCTTTCTAGGCTACAAATCCTAATGGTGCATCATTTAAGGGAAAGATTCACCAGAATGGGCAGAAAAAGGTTTCTCCTGACCTGGCAACATAGAAATGACAAAATCCTTAAGACTCTGTTTGGTACACAGAATTGGAATTGAAATTCTATGAAATTGAATTGGATGGAATTGAATTCTAATTCAATTCCAAATCCTTTGTTTGGTACAATTAAGAAATTGATATGGAATTGTATTACAATTCTAAATCCTTTGTTTGGTAACACAAAACTGTATATAGAATTGATATGGAAATGTATTATGATTCCAAATCCACATCCACATATCTTGATGCTACCAAATCCACATATTTTTGGAGTTGATATGGAAAAATTGGAATTAGAATTCAATTCCAAATCCGCATATTTTTGTGCTACCAAACAGCAGAATTGGAATTGAAGTCTCCAATTCCATGGCATCAACCACAAATTGAGGAAATGAGTCCGTCACTGGCCGGCAAAGGAAGGGCAACCAGCCAAAAAGAAATCTCAGAGTCACATATCTCACTTCTTTACGCTTTGATATCTTTGATTGATACATACTTCAAAGAAATCTCTTTTGATGAGGCTCAGAGTTATGTTAACACAAGGCATGGAGAAGTCCGGGCCACAATGGCTGCAATAACTAGGTCATTCGAGATTGCCCCGCCAAGATACAGATGGGTCCTCACACACAACAAATTAAGTAACCTGGATGGTATCATCATTGCCTCATCAGAGTTGCAATAATAACAAGTCAAGAGTGTCCCAAATAATAAGCATTTTGTCCAAAATATAATGTATATTTGTCTCAAAGACATAAGGTAGTTGAGTATTTCAACCAATATGTAAATATAAAAATATATATTATACACTACCTACTTCCCATAAAACCATATGGGAACCTGAAACCCTAAACCTTCCTCCGGGGCTCTTTTCTAATGAGGCTCAGAACCTTGACAATGAGAAGAACAACCCGCCATGACTGCAATTGGTGTTTAATACCAGATTGCCACGCCAAGATACGGATTGGTTCCATAAAATGGCCTGACATAACTAGCCAATTATCATTACAGCCTCTTCAAAGTCACAATACAACATTACCCCAGTGCCTCAAAGGCTCCCGCCCATCGCGTGGTAGGGGGTCAGATATAAGCAGCATAACCCCTGAGTTTAAAACATAGAATGGTTGTTTCAAGATGACAGTTAAGCGTCAAAAGTTACATTGACTAACTGATACTTCACTATTTTTGTGACGAGGTCACAAAAATTCATTGCTTCAAGTGCAAATCTGTGGTTTTAGGCTTACAAAAAGGAGTATTCCTGGCAACACGCTCTACATTGTTAGGGTAAACTATTTACATTAGCTTTTCGGGTATTTGACTCTTTAAGTTATTTCTAATAAATATCGGGTAAGATGGGATTTTAGTAAATTAGGTGCTTGACCAAATTCATTACTCCCTCCGTCCCACTCTCTTTGTCCACCTTCATTTGGGCACATAAACCAATGAGAAGGAATAAATGTGAGTAAATGACCATAATACCCTTCTACCTATGTACAACCATTATCCTCTATTTGTTCCATCACACAATCGTTGCCTCCCTAACCTAGTTTGCCAACTCCACCTCCTCACCTCGTCATTAGAAGAGAGAGATATATATAGTCTTCATTCAATCACGCAAGGGACACCTCAGATCTACCATCATCTTCATTGAATCAGACAAGCCTCCGATCTACCCTGATCTTGTCATCTTCATCGAATCTAGAAGATCCGTCTCAAAGGGTTAGGAGAGAGGACACTGTCGTTGCATAAGAGCATCGTTATCAACTGAGAAATTTCAGAAATCAAGATTCCACAACAGTAAATCTGTCTCCTGCATATGAGAAGCAACTTCAGAAATCGATTTAGAATCCTTAGTGGTGGCGAATATGTCTCTAACATTTGAGAAGAACATTGTAGTTAAGAAGCCTTGATTGTGATAAAATAACATAAATCAGAGAGAATTCATTGGGTAACTCAATTATGTCTAAGTGGGGGATAAAACTGTGACCACCGCCCACCACGATCAAGTAAAGGTTTTTTTAGGAAGGAGTAAGAGTTTTAAGTTAAGGGCAAACCGGAAAATTACTCATTTGAGGCTCAATAACTTACTATAAATAAAAAGTGGACAAAAACAATGGGACATCCCAAAAAGGAAAAGTGGACAAAAACACTGGGATGGAGGGAGTATATTATAAATTTCTTTTCACTTTTTATTTATTATTTAGTGTAAAAATATAATATGAACCTAACTTTGATTCCCCACATCATTTATGTAGTTTCAAATGGAATTGTTCTCAAACAAAAAAAGTCTTGTTTCAACAGACACATGGAGATCATAAATGGGGGATCAGCGACAAAAACAATAAGAAAACTATTCATTATGCACTTCTGTCAACAGCAACCGTTTCAAAAACCAAGCCAAATCATTTTATTTTGTACAATAAGTATTTTTAAGAAAATTCTAATAATTCATCAAAATTACAAAAAAATACTGAATCCCCTCCCCTGTAAAACGTTTTCAACTAATATGAACAAGAAAGTAGCACAAAAAAATCATATTAAATAGATTATAACTAGGATATGAAGAAAATGGACAAAATCAAACTTATGCTTAGAACAGAAGAGCATACGTACCTAAGGGTTTTACACAATTTTTGATATATTCCCTCAGTCCTTAAATAAACTTCAGTTTTTTATTTTAACAAGGTGTTGAATACTACTGTATATTACAAATTTATAACAAAGTATAAAGTATTAAAGTAAAGCAAATAGAAATATAGAACAAACACTATATTTAGAGGCTTAGACCTGTGTTTCCAGAGAGAAACGGAGAGCCCCCAAAACCACCATGGCTGCAACAACAAGGTCCATTTCCGGGTTTCCCCAACAAGATACAGATCGGGTCAAACAAATATCTCAAATTTAGCAGTCTGGAAAGAGGAGACAAAGAAAGGTATATCCATCCCAGCCTCTTCATAGATGGAAGCTCGTGATTCTTCTTTTCCCTTTTCTTTTTTGGGACAAAATTATATCACAATAAAATAAACCGAACCATATTAACTAACACTATGTTTGGTTTGGGGAATTATGAGAAAATGAAAAATGCTAACACTATTTATGGTTCAAGGAATTTGGAAGGACAAAAAGAAAATGGCATGAACAAAATTACTACTGATGAGGTTAGAGAAAAAAGAAAAAGAAAAGTTGAAGAAAAAGAAAATGACAGAAGAAAATAAAGGATACCACATAGAAACCCCACACATATCTCTAGGGCTATTTTCTTATGAGGCTCAGAACTATGACAATTAGAAGAACCCCCCATGACTGCAATCATCAATTAAAACCCAATTGCCACGCCAAGATACTAATTGGTTCCACAAAATTCCCTAATAATTTAACCAAGCATCATCACAGCCTCTTTCCCTTACGTTTCTTTTCCTTGCGATTTTCTTTTCTTTTCCTTTCTAACCAAACATCAAAGCTGCCTTTTCTTACCATTTTATTTTCTTTTTCCTATATATGAATTCTTTGAACCTCTTTCCATCATATCCGATGGAGCCAAAATTTCACCATTTTTTGGCTTTGGGGTGTGATGGAATAAATCAAAATGGATCTCTAAACTGTCTGCGCTTCTTTAATTAATGAAGTAGCAGTTTGTCAAGCAATGCAACTTTCGACATTGAGCCGGGGGTCTCTTTGGAAACAGTCTCTCTACTTTCGAGTAGGGGTAAGGTCTGCGTACACACACCCTCCCCAGACCCTACTCTTGTGGGATTTAACTAGGTTGTTGTTGTTGTTGTTGAATTCCTTGAACCAAACATAGTATAAGTAGTTTCTTTTCTTGAGTTTCCTTTTTGTGATGAAGAAAGACAGAAAGGGAAATTTGGAAATAGAGAGACCATGTGCAAAAGAAAGGGAGGCAAGTAGGCAACTGCCCCTTTCGAGAAACTCCCATCCCTCAATCACTTTTTGTGATTCCTTCCCAAGGAAAGCTCGTTTCATGAGGTTCAAACTTCAAAGCATTGCTTACACAAGGCAATGAGAAGCCCAGGCCGCCATGGCTGCAAAAACTAGGCCATTCGGAATTTTGCCCCGCCAAGATACGGATCGGCCCCTCACACACCGCAGAATAAGTACCCTGCCATGATATGGATTGCATCCTCAAAATACCCCAAATGATAGTAGAGTGTGGTATCATCACAGCCTCATCAGATGATAAACCCAAGCATATTTACTTTTATAAAATGGGGGATCAACAACAAAAACAACGAAAAAATATTCACAGTTTCACCCAGAGTTAGGCTATTTTAGTTATATAAAAAGAGACAAAATTAGACAGATACCAAAGACAAAATAATACATTTCTGTCCGACCACAATCTTCCTAAAATTCAAGCCAAATCCTTTCCATTTTGTATCACAAGTTTATTTATTTAAGAAAATTTTAATAATTAATCAAAATTGCAAAAGCATACTGAATCTTCCCCCTCAAGTGCAAAACATTTTCAACTGAAATGAACAGAAAAGATAGTTACACAAAAAAAACTCTGTATTAAATTAAATATATTGAAATTGGAAATGTAAAAAATGGACGAAATCAAGCTTGTGCTGAGAAGAGAAGAGCACATGTACCTAGGGGTTTAACAAACCTGTCATTAAACCAGGTTTTTGACCAAATCATGAGGGAGTAGAAATAAGATCAAAAATCTTCTCTTGGGAAAAGATTTTCAAGAACACTATTTTTAGCAAAAAATTACTCCGGGTACCCTCAATTTTTTGGTAATAACTCCCGGGTCCCACATTATCAAATATACTTTGGGGGTCCTTAAATTTTGTGGTAATGTACCACGAGGGTACATTCCGTCTATTTGGCCGTTAGGATTGAAAATTCTGTTACTTTGACAAATACTAAATTTTACATTGATAATCATTATTTTATTGAATTTAAATAAAATTCTTCAATTCGTCAAAGTAAAAGAACTTTCACTCATAATGCCTAAATTGACAGAATGTACCATCAGAGTATAATATGATAAATTTTAAGGACACCGGAGTATATTTTGGAGAATGTGGAACCTAAGAGTTCTTACTTGAAAATTGAGGGTACACCAGAGTATTTTTTAGATAATAATGTAAGACCTGGGAGTTATTACAAGAAAATCGAGGGTACCCCAAAGTAATTTTCTGCTATTTTTAGAGGCTCAGATCTGTGTTTCCATTGAGAACTTGATAACTGCAAAACCGACATGGCTGCAACAACCAAGTCCATTTCCAAGTTGCCCCGCCAAGATACGGAACAGGTTAAAATTACCTCAAAATTAGCAGCCCGGGAAGAGGAAACGCAGAAAAGTACATTATCACAGCATCTTTCCAAGTCTAACAATAAGAAATAATTGGAGTATTATAATACTGAGTAATAACCTTTCGGTTGCTGACAGATTGATGCATGCTTATGTTTCCCTTCTGAATTCCTTGAACCAAACATACCGTATGTATTTTCTTTCTTGTGATGAGGAAAGACAAAAAGGGCTGTTTGTAAATAGAGAGATCATGGGCAGATGAGAGGGAGGCAACTGTCCCTTTGCCAGAGGGAGGGCAACCGCCCTAAAAGAAATCCCAAAGTCGCCTCAGTTGTCACTCATTTTTTTAAAATACTTCTTCGAAACGTGATTCCATGAAAGCTCTTTTGATGAGGCTCAGAGTTATGTTTACACAGGGCAATGAGACGCCCAGGCCGCCATGGCTGCAACAATTAGGTCATTCGGGATTGCCCCACCAAGATACGGACCGGGTCCTCACAAGCCACAAAATTAGTAGCCTGGTATCATCACAGCCTCATCAGAGTTACAATAGTAAGTCACAATTTTCCCAAATAAGAAGCTTTTTGTCTAAAATGTCATATTTGTCACAAACGCATAAGTTATTTTAACCAACACTTCAAAATATACTCCCTCTGTTCCATGAAAACAACATTGTTTGGGTTTCACATACTTTAAGATAAGTGTTGAAATCTGAAGTGTGTGGTTGAAAATACAATTTTCCATTTTCCACACACACAAGCATACATTCTAGGTTGCAGAAAAATAAAGAGGGCGTTAGTTTAGAAGAGCAAAAAAATCATCAGATTTCATAGAGAAGAAGACCATAAAGATTGCTCACATATACGACCATGAGAAAAACAACCCACAATGACTGCAATTACCGGTTAATACCAGATTGCCACGCCATGATACGGATTGATTCTACAAAATGTTCCCTAACATGACTAGCCAAGTATCACCACGGCCTCTTCCAGGTCACATTAATAAATAATGTCAACCCATTGCTTCAACTGCAATGCTGTTGTTTTAGGCTTAGAAAATGAGGCTTTCCTGGAAACAAGCTCAAGTTGTTAGATATTTGTATTACTCTCCTGTCCCAAAATAAAAGTCAGAATCATTATTGACACCATCAAACTTATCTGCTTTAATCAATAATTTTGACCAAATAAAATAATCATGTCACATCTTGTTTTGTAGAACTTTAGGAAGGACACAAAATGGAAACCGAAACCTACCTCTAGGGCTCTTTTCTTATGAGGCTCAAAACCATGACATTTAGGCCCCGTTTTCTCAAGGGGAATTTACCTAAATTGTACTAAAATATAGTGACTTTTCCAATGTAGTACCACTGTTCAATGTCCACTAGACATTGTTCAAAATAAATGTCCGCCATCACTGGATCTCACCACTAGACATTATTCAAGTATTATATGTTTTAGTACTATTTAGTACATTGGGAGAGGACATATGTTTTAGTACTATTTAGTACATTGGGAGAGGACATATGTTTTCGTCCTATTTAGTGCAAATTTCACTTTTCTCAAGCTTATTTTTTTCTACTTGATCAGATAAGGGAAATAGCTTTAAATTAGATCAGGCGAATAGACCAGATCCTTGGAACAACCCGCCATGACTGCAATTATTGAATTGCCACACCAAGATACGGATTGGATCCTCGGTCCAAAACAACAGCTTTAGCCTTTAATCAAGATCAGGCAAAGAGATACAGCCCTAGAACAACCCGCCAGGACACTGCAATTATTGATTTGCCACGCCAAGTTACGGATTGGTTCCTTGGTCAAACAATAACTCAGAATTGTTATTCACATCACCAAACCTTGAGGGTGTTTTTCTGTGCTTATAATCTAGTCAAAATGACTTATAAGCTATTTTTAACTTATAAGTCATTTGACGTGTTTCTCTGTGCTTATCTAAGTTGGTGTTTCTTTGTGCTCGTGCTTATTGACTTATTACTTATAAGCAATTTTGAACTTATAAGTTGCTTATAAGTTTTAAAAAAAAATTTATAGATAAGATAACTTAATGATATTTAAGTCATTTAGGGATATTCATAATATGTGAGGGATAGCTTTGTAAGTAATCTGGTCAAAACCAAGAAATAAAAAAATTGACTTAAAAAAAGTAAGTACATCCTACTTATTTTTTCAGGTTTATAAACAACTTATAAATCAACTTATAAACACGTCAACTACTAACTTATAAGTTTAAAAAAATTTATAAATAGTTTTGACCAGTTTATAAGCACAAGAAACACCCACTAACTAAAAAAGTAGGTCTTTAAGCCAATTTTTTTTGTTTCCCCGTTCTGACCAAATTAAATACAAAATTATCCCTCACCTTTTACGTATATACTCATATGACTAATCTCTCATTTAAGTCATTTTACTTCCAAGAAAGAATATTTAACTTATAAATATCTTATAAGTTAAAGACTACTTATCAAGAATAATCCAATAAGCACCCACACATGAAAAACCCCTCTTTATCTTCTTTGTAGACATATTTAACCACATAATATATTCATGTTACCTCTTGTTTGTAGAACTCTTTGGAAGGAAACCATACGAAAAACCCCAAACTGACATTTGGGGCTCTTTTCTTAGGCTCTGAAAAAAGAGGCAGAAAAAAGACAGACATATACCATGAGGTATGAGACAAGAATGCACTTCTGACAAGAGCACTCTTCCTACAAACCAAGTAAAATCATTTCCATTTTGTTCCAAAAAAATATTCACTTGAGAAAAGACTTCAATATAGAATAAATAGATAGATAAATTTCCTTAAGTATAGAAATAGAGCATTACATTAGTGAGAAATAAACACGATACATTAGAAATTTTAAACTCAATTTCTAATTTGTTCTTTAAAAAAAAATTAAACCAAAACCGTGAGAGTAATTACAAGAAGAAATCAAAATTAAATACACATGATGCACCTGAATCGAACAAAGGGTTTCAACCAAAACCGTAATAGAACCTACAAAGATGGAATGGAAGAGAAGACCAGTTTTGTAAAGCGGCTCAGATCTGTGTTCCCAGAGGGAAATGAAGAGCCGAAACCGCCATGGCTGCAACAACCGGGTCCAATTCCGGGTCGCCCCGCCAAGATACGGATGGGGTCAAACATATACCTCAAATTTCAGTAGCCCAGAAAGAGGGAAACGCAGAAAAGTGCATCATCATAGCCTCTAACGATTGAATTGATTTGAGATACGATATAGGGAGTAGTATATCTCATCAGATTAAGCTGCATGCAGATCTAAACGGCTTTGTTTCTTGTATTTTCCCCTTTATTCTTGTTGATGTTTATTCCTCGAAAGAGTTGTGATGAAGAAAGACAGCGCTGTTTGGAAAGAGGCGTATAAAGAGATCATAGGCAGTGGATAGAGAGGCAACTGCCCGATCAAGAAGCTATCATCTCTCTTCCGTGCCTCACCCTTTCTGGGCTACATCATCCATTTGGGCATCTTTCCACGTTTATATACCTGTGTTTTTCTTGGGCCATGCGTTTTTGCTCCCCTTTCCTTCTTCCCCTTCTCCTTCCAATTAGAGCATGAACAATGGCAAGTAAAAAAAGAATGTCATAACATAAATCAACTAATAAAAGAAAGTCCAGTTACGGAATGCTAAGTGAGTATAGTGACACACCATACAGTGGTAAGTCGTTACTTGAGTCACTTTTTAAAATTTTTGTAATGTATTTTAATTATTAAAAATATTTTTTGCTCTTTGTTTCATTGAAAAAATACTACTTCCTTAAAAAAAGAGTATTCTTTTTCTCAAAAAAATAAAAATAAAAAAAGAAAAAAGAAAAAGAGATGTGGGGTGCCTTGGAGATGGCTTGCTCTCCGTTGTGGAATGACTTGCCTCTTCATGCTAAGCATGACAAATCTTTTTTGGGAGCTGATGTGGCAAGCGTGGCAGGCAAATGCCTCGCCCGCTGCCCATGCTCTAAATGCTTTCTATTTTCTCCTTCAATTTTTAATTTAAATAATTAAACATTTCATTAATAATTTAAAGTGACACATTAAAATTAAATTAAGAAACTTAGAAATTATAAAAATATAAAAAAAATTAAGATTGAAAGAGACAAAAAAACTAAAGAATAAAAAAGAAATGCAAAAAAGGAGAAAAGAAAAAATGAAACAAAAAGAAAAGGGAAAAGCACAAAAAAGCACCTAAAAATGCCTAGGAAAAAAGGAGGGAATGCCGCCTTTCTCGTTGCCGCATAGTGGGGGCGGTGTTCCCCTTCATTCCCGTTGTCAACTGGACTTCCCGCTAGCCCTTCCCGCAGGCACACCACATGGCTTTAGAGGTGGCAAATTGATTGGTTGGGTTACTTTGAGTTGGAAAGTGTATCTTCGTCACCTAGTATTATCGAGTGTAGATCAACCCAATGGACTTTGACCTCTTTTCACAATAGATTAAGTAACTTTTAGACATACTCTGTGTAAATCAATATTACGAATAAAAAACAAAACATATACAAGTTTTGAAAAAAATGTAAGATAATTATGCGATATCATTACATTTATGCGATATCACAAGTTTTCCCAAAAATGTAAAATAATTATGTGGTATCATTAAAAAAATTTGTGAAAATTTCAATTTATACACTACAAACGAGTAGTAAGAAAAAATATATAATTATAACCATATTTTTTATAACGAGTCGATCATGTAAAACCCCGACTTGCGTAACTCGAGTTCAAAGACTAGCGGATCGGGTTACCACCAGATTGGCATCCAAACACATTAATTTTTAAAATAATTTAAAATAATAACTTTAGAATATAATTTCAAACATTTGATGGAGTAATTAAAATGGTGCAGAAGCTTAACTACTTAATCCAAAACATAACTTTGGGTTCTTTAAATATAATATTAAGTTAAATAAACTACTTCAGGATTGTTTCCTTATTCGTCATTAATGTTACCTACGTGTAACAAGTAAACCCAAGGCCGGCCCAAGGGAGGGTCGAGCAGACCAACCAGACCGGGCTCAATATTTTAAGGGGCCCAATATTTTTTATATTATGCATAAATATACAAATTACGTACTCTAATATAAAATAAATACACCAATTGTTTAGAGTGAGGTTCAAACTTGAGCATTTTAAGGTATAAAGAGATACTCCATCCACATGAGCTACTAAATTTGTTGGTATACAACTTACGCAATAAGATATATATATTTATTGTATTGATTTTAATAAAACTTCCAATTATTTAGAAAAACAAACACAAGTAGTATCTAATATACTTGTTTAGTAATCTTATAAAAATAGTTTAAAAATAAATAAACAAAATTATTTATGTTTTATTTAAAAATTAATATGAATGCTTATACCTAAAAAATAATTTTTTTCAAAACATAAAATAACTAAAAATTTTATCATCAATAAAAATTAAGAAATATTAGTAATTATACCTTAATATATTAAAATTATTATTTATTAAAATTATTTTTTTCTTCTTATTTTTCTCATTCTAATAAACTAAATATAAGTGTAAAGTGATACATACGGATTAAATAATATTTTATAAAAACACATTGCCTAGCCTTTACTTTTTTAAAATATGACTATTGCCTTACTATTTTAGTTTTATTAAATACTCATTATTTATCTTTGATAGTAATAAAAATAATACAAATAGAAAATTGGAAAAATATGACAACATATGCAAGATGATATTGAAAATTAAATGGAAAAGTGAAAAAACGGAAATATAATATCGAATACTATAATATAAAATATTATTCTTTTAATTATAGTTAACTGAGTCATTGACCCTAGGATTGACCGGTTAAATCTTGACCCACTAGCTCATTCGAGTCAACGTGTGATCCAATTTTCAAGACATTTGTTTGGGATGGTAAGTATAAATAAACCTTTTACTATAATTTTGTATGTGATTTATTTATTTTGTTACATAATATTATACTATTATGTAAAATTGTTATTTAAATATAATTAGCTTATACACTTTAATTCATTAAGACATTAAGAATATGACCTTTTTAGGGTCTCTTTTTCTGTCTCAGCCCAAGCCATCGAGTTCTCAGGGACGGCCCTGAAAATACCAATACAGGAGTCATAAGTTTTTAAAAACCAAAATAGAAGTTCATACTGTCATTGTTACACTGTCACACTTACCATATTGTCACATTATAATTGTCACACTATCACCGCCACACTGTCATCCGTCGCCGCTGGCCACCAGAGTGCCACTACGATCGCTAATAGTTGACTGATCAAACAAACATATTATATTATCATCACTTTTTCATCACACTGCCAACATGTACTCTTATACCACACTGTCATTATACTCCTATTTTGTGTTAGATAAACGTCCCAACGCTAGAGGGGGGGTGAATAGCGTTTGAAACGAAAATGACGCAGGAATAAAAAATTAAAAGACGTAAAGTAAGAGCAAGGAAGAGGCACACCGTTTTTACCCTGGTTCACCACAACTTGTGGCTAGTCCAGCCTCCCGAGAGACTCTCTCGAGCTACACTAACAACGTTAAGGTTAACGGTGCTTAACAAACCCGTACAACTTGAGAGTTCGAGTCACACGAACCTCAACGAACCTTCGAAGGAAACAACCCTTCCTTCGAACTACTCAAGAGAAAAGCTTTCTCTTACCAAGTGTCTAAAAACACTAAATCACTCAAGACTAAGATTTAGGGCTTGAACTCTTAACTTCCAGTTTATTGCAATTCCTTCTAGTTTATTCCAGTTCTTCTAGTTCCTTATAGTTTCTTCCAGTTTCTTCCAACTATTCTCATTTTCTTTCAACTCTTTCTACTCTCCAACCAATTACTCTAAAAATGATATATTTTTAATGTGATTATTATTATTATTATTATTATTATTACAACTCCTATGTTCATAACTATAGTTTATAAATTATATTTTTCATCTCACTATTTTTATGATTCACACTCATTATTTTTTTCTTCTACTTTTTAATATGAATAAGACAACTTTTTGTTTATTAATATACATGATAAAATAGGAAAACATTAATATATTCAACTATATTAAAAAAATTATGGATAAAATAGTGACATAGAAAAAGATTAAAATATGAGTAAAACATAAAGAATGTAAAAAAAGGTTATGTCTTTATTCCAAGAATAGGACTTCAATGAAAATAAAATGTCAATCATGAAAGAAAAAAATATGTTTGATTACATTACGTGACATGTCTGATATTTAAAACAAAATTTTGTAATATATAAAGTATAATTCCAAATATATTATTTATAATAAATACTGCATAAATAAATCATGGTGAAATGTAACCACAATTTTTTAAAAAAATTCAATGTTTTTATATTTATTCTAGCTTTATATTATAATTTTTTTTTGCAAAAGTAGTTTTTTGTATTTGAAAAATAACAATACTTTTTTTGTATCTTAAAGGCATTTATTAAGATAACGTGATGATAATGATGATGATTATGATAATAATAATAATAATAATATAAATATAATAATAATAGCAATTTATAACAACAGGAATTTAAAATAAATTTTTTTAAAGTTTTTTAGATTTTCCAATTTTTTGAAGTTTTTCTTGTTTCTTCCAATTCCTTCCAATTTTTTCCAGTTTTTCGAGTTCCTTCCAGTTTTTTCCAATTTCTTCCAATTCCTTCCAGTTTTTCCAGTTTTTTCCAGTTCCTTCCAGTTTCTTCTAGTTTTTCCAGTTTCTTCCAATTTGTTCTAGTTCCTTCTAGTTTCTTCCCGTTCTTTCCAGTTTTTTCCAGTTTCTTCCAACATCCAGCTTTTTTCAGTCCTAAAGAATAGGCTCTTAGTATTCCTATTTTGGTATTTTTCATACTTTTTTACTCCTATCCAGGATGATTTCTTTAAAACTACACACTCTACTTTCACGATGAGTGAGAGGTTCTAACAGTAGAAGTCACACATAGGGTTATTTCAACATACATAATCATTCATAGTATTCCATGCACAAGTAATATCACATAATAACTTCAAGTAATATCAATAATATCATAACAAATCACACATTATGTTACTTACCTTGTTTACTTGGTTGCATCAATTATCAAACTTAGCATCCTTATCTTTATTAAAGTTCATCTCTAACACTTGCTCATAAGCTATTCTAGGCTAAGGCTATTTTAGTTAACAAACACAGACAAAACGTATTACAACACGACTTTACCTGTGAAGAAGTTCTTCGCTGGGTGGGTGGTACCCCTGTCCCCTTCGAAATGGAAGTTTGTGGATCCCGTACAGTCACCACCATAGAGGATAGCCAACGAAAGATTTGAATAGAGTTGTTGGTGAAGTTGAAAAACTAGTTTTTGGGGATAGCCAACGAATAGGACATGTGATAATTGAAGGCGAGGAACACAATCACCAATTCAAATAACAATGTGCCTATTTGAATAGGTTAGATTCAGTACTGCTGACTTATTTGAATAAGGCAGTGCTTATTCGAATATGCTCAAATTCTTGAAACGGAAAATTTTCAAAGTACTAACTATTGAACAATGTGCTATCATGAATATATATATTTGCAATGTCCTTTGTCCATTGTCTTTTACGTTTTTATAATGACAAAAAGGTGACAAAAGATCACCATCATATTGTGCATCAAGGCTAAGAATCAAAGCTACAACAAGTTCATATCCATCCGTGAAGAAGGGACTTGAGCATCGGTGGAAGGTTCGAGACCGAAGACGTTGTTTCCTTGGGTAGTCTTTTAGGTCTTAGAATATTTGTTAAAGAGTATGGCATATAGGTATTTCTCATTGTCTTAAAATGTTTTTCAAAATCATCTCTAAATGTTTTTGAGTTGGTTTCAAAATAGTCTTATCATTTTTGAAGTTTTCTAGGTCATTTATTCGAATAAATTTGCTTTTATTCGAACAAATAGTGTATGTCTTGTTGCCGACTTAGTTGAATAAAACTGTTTTTATCAGACTAAATATTATTCACTATAGCAGCAATGTTAGCCTGACTTATTTGAATAAATCCAAAACTATTCGAATAAGTCGACAATTTCAACTTCCAAACGGCTAGTTTTTTGAATGTATTTCATCCCTATCCACTCCCTAACATCTATAAACTCCCTTGTCTTGTTATTATCATGAGAAGAACACCAAGAACACATATCATAACATATCCTTTGAATATCCAAAGAGATTCTACTCAATCCCCTTCTAATATCTAAGCAAGGCAATTATTTTGATTGATAAATCCTTCCTTGCTTGAGTCTTTGAGAGATTTTGCCATATTCTATATGACTTCATTGTATTTGCAGAAAGCTACTCCGTGTTGGGAGAATTATTCCACTATGGTTTGTTTTTTTACTTTTTGTAAGGGGTTTGTATTTTTAGTGTTGGGATTACACCAAGTGGTAGAAATCCTAACGGTTTGTGAAATCAAATGTTAGGTGGAAGAAATTCTAAGTTTTGTGAAATCAAGACTTCGGTGGTAGGATAAGAGACTTGTGAAATCAAGTTCTCGAGTTGTATTCGGATTGTCAAACTCCGTTAAGTTTGACGGGTTAGTGAAGGCTCGAGCATGTTTGCTTCGCGGACTGGATGTAGGCATTTAGGCCAAACCAGGTTATATCGTGTGTTCATTGCTTTTATCCTTCGCTTAATATTGTTTGTGGTGCGTTGGTTTTAATCGAGTATTTGTTAAGGATGCTTCCGCGTGAAAAACCGGTCATTTGAGCAACAACACATCTATTTACCCCCCCTCTAGAGATGTGCAAGGCGTCTAACACTAACCTATTCTAATAGTCCAAACCTATTCAAATAGGGAAAATCCATGTACACCAAACTATTCGAATAGATCAATACCGATATGAATAGGACACCAGAGTTTTAAAAAACAAAGACTAAAACGACCAAGAACTATCCGAAGTGGTCAACAACATTTTGGATGATAAAAATTTGTTTCAACACACCCACAAATGATTTCAAAACCTTTCAACACAAAAACAGAAGGATTTGAAACGAACCGAGACTATGAGTGTTAAATTAGTGCCACACACTTTAACAACTAATCTATGACTCAAGAAAGATAAAACATGAACCAAGAAAATCTCTTCGTCTTTGATCTTTAATTGAAATCCAAATCTCATTGCTAAGAAAACCATCACTCCAAGTCCCGTAAGATGTTTGTCATTATCAAAACACAAGGATCAATACCAGTGAGGTAGCCGAAGACTTTGCATAAATTTGACTTAGAAAATGAACAAGTTAGACAATCTGGCCTAGTATGAGTGAGAAAGTTGAGTTTAATCACAAGACTTATATAAAGGGTGGGATCAAAAAGAGATTGTCCAATATTGACTTGAAGCTACAAATTTGCTTCCAAAGGACATTTGGGAGAAGAAGATGGATGACAATTAAAAGTAGCAAGTAAATCTAGAGTAAACTTGCACTTAGTGAGGATCAGACCATTATTGTCATAGATAGCTTCTAGACCAAGAAAGTAGCCCAGTGTACCCAACTATCCATACTCTATTTAAAAAGACATGAAGTCAATATTACGTTTTCCCGCCCAAAGAGTATGCCCATTACATATGGCAATTGTGAAGTTAAAATGGTAAGTGTCCAAAATTATAGTAATATAAAATGGTAATTGTGAAGTTAATATATTTATTTTTTTATAATAATTAACTGTCATTTTTAAAGTGTCCAAAATTATACTAGCAAGAAAGGTAAGTTATAAAATTGGAAAGCGTAAGTTTTTATTAAAATTAGAATCTTACGTGTGATTTTAATTATAGAAAATTTAATTAAAATTGTATATTGCGTGTGATTACCGTGTCAAATTCATTATAGTAATTAAATGTTAATTACCGTGTAAAATTAATTATAGTAATATGTGTGATTACCGTGTCAAATTAATTATAGTAATTAAATATTAATTACCGTTTAAAATTAATTATAGTAATTTTCTAATGGCTAGATTTTAATTATAGTGGCTATATTTTATAATGGCTATATTTTACTATATTTTAATTATAGTAATTTTAATCAAAAAAGGTAATAATTAATCAAGGTATTAATTATATAACCGTGTGACTACATAATTCTATACTCCGTATTAATTACTGTGTCATTTTAATTATAGTAATTTTAAATATAATAATTTAAATAATTTAAATATAGTAATAGTAATTGTTAAGTATTTAAAGATGGTAAGAAATTAAAGTACCCGAAATTATAGTAATATAAAATGAACTATAACTACTGTAAGAATTAAATATCCTTTAAATATATATATTTACGTTTAATAGCGAGAAACTAGAACTGATCAAAGTGCGGGCCGAGACACTACTTTACGAAAATTTTCTAGCCCGAGCCCGGCCCGGCCCGTATAACAGGCCTAACAATTGAAGCCCAAGCCTGGCCCGCGTGGTTACCCACGGGCTTCGGGCCGGCCCGTCCCGGTCAACAAAAACTTCTAAATAATTTAAAAAATAATTTTTTTTAAAAAAGTAACAAGTTAATATATTAGATATTTGATATAAAAACTATAATGAGTAAATGAAAGAAAAATTGATATATAAATATATTTTGTTTGATATTGCTACTATGTATGGAGTACAAAATATTATCTATTGGAATGTCATAATTAATGTGTGATACGTTGCAAACAATACGGAGTAATAAAGATGTATTCATTTTATTATATATACCTATAGTTTATTTTTTCTCTCCATAGAAGTATGTATGTGTGTTTATAATAATTTGAAATAGGTTTGTTCTTTATTATTATTATTAATGCTGTTATTGTTATTTTATTATAATTATATTAATAATAAATATTTAATTTATTCGGGTCAGGCCGGCCCGTGCGCTTGAGCATAAACCCGAGCCCGGCCCTAAAATATTCGGGCCACCATTTATAAGGCCCAAGCCCGTACCGTACCCTAAAATGTCAAGCCTAAGCCCTCTATTTTGCGGGCGGGCTTTTGCGGGCGGGCTGGATACCCGGGCCAGTGATCGGGTCTACGAGAAAGGTAATAACCAAGAAAGGTAATAATTAACTCTCATTTTTAAAGTTTCCGAAATTATACTAGCAAAAAAGGTAATAATAAAAAAAGGTAATAATTGACCACAGTATTAATTATATAACCGTGTGACTACATAATTGTATATTAATTACCGTGTCAAATTAATTATAGTAATTTTAATTATAATAATTTTATAATAGTAATTTTATAATGGCTAAATTTTACTATATTTTCATTATAGTAATTTTAATCAAAAAGGTAATAATTAACCAAGGTATTAAATAATTGTATACTCCGTATTAATTACCGGGTCATTTTAATTATAGTAATTATAAATATAATAAATTTAAATAATTTAAATATAGTAATAGTAATTTAAATTCAGTATAGCACTTTGAAAAATGAATAAATTTCAAAAATCATATTATAAATACATCTATTTACAAATCTTTCGTAGCCACTACATTCATTGTGAATTTTTTTCTCTACGTTTCAAAATTGTCATTCTTATGAAAATGGGGATCTTAACTACTTTGAAAAATGTTGATGAGAGGTCATCAATGTTAATGATGAAGCTACGAGTAGTTAGGGTTTATCACAGGTTTTCGTAACAATAATCCAACATGTTTTAGTCATGAACAACTCTATGTTGCAGTTTTAAGAGTAACTAATTATAGTAGGTTTAAGATTCTGATATGCAATGAAGACAATATTCCCACAAATTGTACAAATAATGTAGTTTATAAAGAAGTCTTTCAAAATTTGTAAAACAGTAATATTTTGTACCTTAAAATATTATAAGCTCTATATTCTATTGCATCTCATTTTTTATCATTGAAAAATAATTTGAATTTAATAACATAAAATGACCGTTGCACGGGTGTGATACTAGTTTGATCTTGAAAATATCATGCAAATGTGATTTTAAAGCCGTGATTTCCTCAAGATGAATAGTTATTAATTATACCTTTGACCAAGCCTACTTTGTTCTTTGCAGATAAGGCTATCATCATCCACTTTTTCCAAGAGCCAAATCCTTCACATTCAAACCTTTTCGAGATTCATAGCAGACCTGGATGATCGGAAGGATGAAGGTAAAGTGGATTGGAAGGATCGATCAAATTGGAATTATTGTTCGTCACCATTAAAAATGTCAAAAAGAGAAAAAAATTGATGAAGATGAAAGAGCTGGGAAAAAATCTTAATGAGATGGAAGTATGATGCCATGTTGAACTCCATTAATGATCACGAATGTGTAGAACACAAAGAAGATGAATTGAATAAAAGCATTTCTTTTGGTAATTCTTCACACACCAGCAAGGAGTCTAAAACAAGAGCTATATACAAACTAACAACCCTAACAAACTACCAAAAAATCTATACTCTATACAAAAGCAAAAGATTTTGGGGGGAAGAAATAAAAAAAAGAGAGAAAAAAAAATCTGGACCGTATAACTACAACCCATGACAAATCTATGGTTATAAGTGTTCTTTGGAATTGTTGACAAAAAAGATAAGCCGCCCACCACCATTAATTTCTAATACTCCGTATCAATTGTGTTGTCCTTTGGGATTGTTGAGGAGACCTTTGCACTTCTCACTTTTCTTTCCTCATCAATGACTGAACCGGTGCATTATTTGCTCTAATGGATATGAACCTGAAATTTTAGATTAAAAAAGTCCATTCAACAACTCTTTCCTGCATAATGTGTGTTTTTTCCAATTATATTAATTTAAATTTATTCATTGCATTGAAATAAATAAATAATATAAAACCATTTTATTTATCTACAGATTTATATATATGTACATATTAATAAATAAATAACATAATACCATTTTATCTATCTACAGATTTATACATATATATATGTACAAATGTACAGATTAATATATATTTTCAAAATTAATGGAAAAAAAATGAAATTTTTGTTTTAAAAATACCATTCGTTATTGGATTGGATTTTATGTTCTCTTAAATATTAAAAAAGAACATTCATTGATTATTCTATTTAAACCTTTGGTCTTCTCAAAGCATATTTAAACATGTCCACCATGAGATGTTTCCCATTCTGAATTTTCGTATCTACACTTTTTTTTTTAATTATTTACCTATTTAAAGGAGTATACCTGCAACTCAAGAGTACCTTTTACAATACGTTAGTGTAGAGATGTTTTCCGCCTTAAAAAATATTACCCACTCGCGGACCGACTGGATCTTGAGGCTAAGGGCAATTCGTGTCTATCATGTGCCGGCAACGGAAAGGCATGGGAAGACAATGGACGTTGTATTTCACGACAAAGAGGTTGCTCAAATATACTATATTATATAATTTTGACATTGTTGTTGAATTTTTATTATATTTGTTTGTATGTAATTTGCTGTACTTTTGCTTTGTTCCTGCAGGGTAGCCGTATCCATGCTCAAATCAAGGAATCCCATATTGAAAAGTATGAAGATTACATCAAAGAGGGAGAAATATATGTACTAATGAATGTGTTAGTTGTGGAGAACTACCTACCATACAAGACTACTAGGCATCCCTATATGCTGCAATTTATGACCAAAACACAGTGCAAGAAGCAAAATGTCTCAAATTTTCCAGTTTATAAATATGATTTTACAACATTTGACTACCTACTTCAACAAAAATGGCTTGTTGGCAAGTTTCTGATACGTAATGCCTTTATCCTTCCATATTTTTTTTCCTTAATGGTTCGTGTCTGGAGTGTGAATTAAAATACCTACTAATCAACTATTATTTTAAAAAATCAATATTAAAAGGACGAAAAATTAGAAGTTAGAAACTAAATTAGATGTTATCAGAATTTTTTTTTGTAGTTCACAATAAAAATAATAACTCAAGTACGGGGTATTTGTTGTTATTTAAAGCAAGTACGCCGGAAAGAGTTGTTTTTTCCAATGATAAACATGTAGATAATTCTGCACTATTTTATAAAACATTATCAACTTGCGCATTCGGATATATGTTACATCCCAACTTTCATTTTTGTAGATGTTATCGGAAGAGTTGTTAGTAAAAATAAGGAAGAAATAAAAGATGCTCATGGAGGTCCAACCAAGCTCATGGAACTTACCCTTGAAGATGCAAAGTATGTGTATGCTTATTTTCTATGTGTTTCTTTTTTTACTATTTCATTAATTATACCTATTGTTATTTCAAATAAATTTCATTTAGTGAAAAGCAAATAGGATGCACTCTGTGGGGTGAACATGTCACTAAGGTGAATGAAGTTCTCCAAAAGGGTTCAGAAACTGTTATTCTTTTATTGCAGATGGTATTCCCCAAAAAATATTTAGGTTAGTGGTATTTTTATTACTTTCATACAATTTGTCTATAAATCACCTTTAATATTAAATTTTTGGTTGTGTTGGAAAATAAAATGTGATCTTCTTTTAGGGAAAGTTTACGTGTCAACTGCATATAATGTGAGCAAGGTGGTTATCGATGATGACTTGGATGAAATTCGCAATTTCAAAGAAAAGTATATTTCTCTCTTTCTCATTTTTTCTATAATAATAAGCTTCTATCTATATATAAATTTATTGTTTTATACGCCTTTAGGTTTGGTGTTCTACGAACTGGTAGTATATCTATGAGTTGCTTCACAGCTGCGACCCAAAGTGAGGATACAGATTCTGTGCGTGGAGGGAAAGTTACAATAACATCTGTTGATGATCTCAAGGCAACTACAAAGGTTTGAAAGTTTCAATCATTCATTTTTTTTGTTTCTTTCCTTAAAATGTTCATGCCATTTAATTTATATGCAGGCTGGGAAATATTGGTTGTTTGCCGAAATCGTTGAGATCGAAAATTATGCGGAGTGGTGTTATTTGGGCTGTTCAAAATGCAATCGGAAAGTAGTTCTTTTTGAGAGCGGGTTCAAGTGTAATGTGTGTGACAAAGAATATTCTGAGCCTCCTTACAAGTACAAAAATTTTCATTTAACGGTTTCTACTTTTACTTTACCGTGCATAAAATTTTATTGTACTAATTATAGGTATAAAATTTTATTGTACTAATTATAGGTACAAGGTAACCGTACAAGCACTGGATGTAAATGGTCATGGCAGTGTAACCTTAGTTCTGAGGGATAGGATATGTACTGAAATATTGGGTATTCCAGCATCTAGACTAAGAGAGGTTGTATCAAAGGTATGCCAAAAATATACTTAAACATTTTTCAACATTTAGGAGATAGTTTATTAAACATTTAGCTCCTACTATTTTACAGAGGTCAGGGAATCCTAATTCACTTCCCAAAGAAATTTGGAGGTTGCTTGGAGTTAAAGGACTCTTCAAAATTACTGTGAAGGAGAGTAGTGAATCTGATTTTTACAAGGGAAGTAAGTCTTATGGTGTTTACTATTTTACGGGAGACAAACGCACTCTTGCATTATATGAAAATAAAAGGGACCTAACCGATTGGGATAAGATTTGGAAAGACATAGACGATAATGCCGAATGTGATGAGATGGTAACTTTGCTATATATTTACGTTACTTATAATTTATTATCCTGATACTATAATTTTGATTTTCTACTTTTTTGAAATAATGCACAGATTGGATCAAGTGAGAAGGGAAGGATAGTTAGTCAATCAAACAGTCCAAGGACTGAATTGAGTATTGAAAATGGTGATCGAGTTAAAAGAAATCTTGACGATGAATTTAGTTCGAGCACCAGTGACAAAAAGATCAAAGCTGTGAAGTTGGAAGAGCCATGAATTAATATTCTCTTTTCTAATACTCCGTATTATATTTTGCTTTTTATTCATCTGTGGAACAAATTTTCCCATTATCCTAAGTATGGTTTTTTGGATATTGATGTTATATGTACGCATTAATTTTGGCGGCTGTTTTTTTAATTCTTATGACAATCCTCATGTGTTTTCAAAGCCATATTATCTCCTTAATGATGTTTTTGAATTAATATATTTAGCACAACCTAAGTATGTATATTATGTTGCATTTAGTTAATATATTTAGCACAACCTAATTACTTATACTATTTACATTTAGGGAGCATGTCATCTCTTCGCATTAAATTGTAAATTAAATTTACATTTTTTATCCCTTTTAAAATAGCGGAGTAAAATTCTTTTTCTTTTTCAAAAGAAAAATAATTTTGTTCAAAATGATGATATATAATGTGTGCTTTTTAAAATCTTTCTTTCCAAGCTAAATTAAATTCATACTTATTAATTTTAATCAATTTCATGGAGTCAAGATTAAAAAAATATATGAGTGTACTTTTTAAAATGTTTTTTTTGCAAGCTAAAAAAATCATGGTTATTAATTTATATTTATTTCTTGGAGTTAAAATAAATGAATGATATAAAAACCTTTTGATATATCTACATCTTAATATATAAATGCAAGTTAATTTTAATTTTCATTATGTTTTCCATATATCTACAAATTTTAAAATAATTAAAATAAACCCTTTGGTTGAATTAAAAAAAACCTTTGGAGTACCACTCTTATTATTACAACATTAAAGCATTCAATGTTTTAATCATTTCAAGGTCTATAAAAACCTTTGGAGTACCACTCTTCTTGGAGTAATTATAAAAAAACGTAATTAGTAATTTATACTCCCCGTTCCTAAATAGATTACAAATTGCAGATTACGAAGAAAAATTAATAAGTACGAATTTAACTTAGCTTGGAAAGAAAGATTTTAAAAAGCACACATTATATATCATCATTTTGAACAAAATTATTTTTCTTTTGAAAAAGAAAAAGAATTTTACTCCGCTATTTTAAAAGGGATAAAAATGTAAATTTAATTTACAATTTTTTTTTTTTTTTGAGGGAGCAGGTATGTAAAGTAGAAAGTGCCACCTTTGTTTTGTCAAGGAATATTAACTAATTAATAAGAGGACAAAGAAACAAAAACACAGAGCCCCATGGAAAGGACGGCCCACTATTGATTCACCCATAAATAAATAAATAAAACGCTAAACGCTAAGATATCACACACATAACAACGAATCTTGGAATTAAAGAATAAATTTATTTAAGAAATACATAAATGTATAAATATTTTTATTTTATATGTTTGTATGTTAGGTTATTATTATGATTCCTTTATGTGTTAGGAGTTCTCTATTATTCTTATCAAATACTTAATCAAATTGCGTAAACAAAAAGTTATCGAGAGGATAGAGAAAAAAAAATTATAATCTATTTAGAGACAAATGAAATATTCATTTCTTGGGTTAAAATGAATAAATGATATAAAAACATTTTATATATCTACAGCTTAATTTATTAATGCATATTATTATTAATTTTCTTTATGTTTTTCATATTTTTTACAAATTAATATTATTTTTAAAAAAAATTAAATAAACCCTTTGATTGAGTTAAAACATTTTCAACTATAAAGTAGTAAACAAACCTTTGGAGTACCTTTGTATTTATTCCAACCGGATGCATAAAAAAACTTTCATATGACTACACATTAATTAATACTACCAATGAGTCAAAGAACCTTTGGAATACCATTCTTATTATTACAGCCGTAAAAACATTCAATGCAAGGTCTAGAATTTTCTTTAAGTTTTTTTAATATAAATTCATACACTCTAAACCTCTTACTACTCCATTTCCCGGCGAAATCTTTAAAAAAATTTACACTTCTAACACTTACATTGAAGCTTGGAATCAATGGTAGACTGTGAGAAGATGTATATGGAGGTATATTAATTTTTATATTCGTTTAAATAAGTATTTATTTAGAGTATAACTTATTGTTTAGATAAATTCTATTGAAAATTTTCATTTTAACTCTGGGAAAATAGTAATTAAAGGTATAAAAACATACCTTCCTCTTTTATTCACAGATTAAATTTCCTTGGATATTGCTAATTGAAACCAATTCTGCATTGTCCTGTGACAAGATGAATGACTATGTCAAACAAAGATAAATGCGCATGTGTTGTAAAATTTGCTCTTTTAAATCCACTATAAATGCAGTTTTCTTATTCTGGATTGTTCTATACTTGAAATAAGAAGTATTTAATGACAACAATCACTTAATTTTTATATTCTCTTCTTTTACAGGTTTTTTGGGATAATAAGCAAGGAGGAATTTAATCGAAAACCAAAAATTGAGATAAACATGTTTTGAAAAATTCTGGATAGTAATAGTGATGAAGAAAGTGACAAAGTCTGGACAAATATGTGGAACCAAAAGAAACAACTCACAATTAAGTGAAGGTAGAGTATAATTATTCTTTGCTTCTTTTGGTAATTTTGATATCATATATGAAAAATAAATTTCCCAATTTTATTATGAAATAAGATTCATACATTGAATAGATGATTAAGATATACTCCGTATATAATACCTTACCGATAACATGGAGAATTTCATGAAATGTTCTTCGGCCAGAGTTTCACACTATTAGGTCTGCTTCTCAATGTAACTACAAAATAAAAAAAATAAAAAACCAAATATCAAAAAAAAAGTTTCCAAATACTGTGCCTTTTTGAAAAAAGAATAATATTTAAAATATAGAAAGTTCAAAAAAAATCATAAAGAGACCAAATGCAATCAATAATTTCAGCTTTGGAGTATAATAAAAATATTAAATAATAATATAAAAACAAAAAACCAGTGTAGAAAAAAAACAGACAACTGAATTTAGATCTTGAAAAAACGGAACCTCATGAATGTTCTGAAGAACCAGAAATTTTAGATCTTAAAAAATGAATACGACTTCCATCTAAGAGACCATAAGCAATAAATCAATATATTCTGATTTACACCTTAAAATAAAAAATGAAATCGCAAATGACATGAAAAAAATTGATTTCTCCCTTCGAACTTGGTTAGCAATTAGTACGGATCGGAGAATCTAGATCTGAAGATGAAGCAAATGATATAGAAAGAGAGAAAATAATGAAAATAAAAGAGAAAGAAATATGAGAATGTAAACGGAAGAGAGATGTTAGACAAAAATTTTGAGATGAGAAAAAGGAACAAATGAGAATGTGGTGAAAAGAAAAGGAAGGTTCTTGAAGAGCACAGCCTGTATACAAGTCCCACTGGCATTTCTTTGTTCATAATTGAGACCCATTCCTTTCAAAATACGGAGTATCCCAAAGGATTCATTTTCCAAGAATTACCCGAAAGCACGGTTAAATTTTGTGATACAGTAAATTGGTTTTATTTCCAAAAGTATATTTTTATTAAAAAATCAGGTCTTTTTCTTTTGATATCGAAAGTGCATCTTCCTTCCACCACCCACGGAAACACCGAATTTTAATAATTTTGTAAATTATTCTAGCAATGGAACAACATCACCCAATAATTGAGAAAGGTAAGTACTTATTTTAAATACATCTATCAACAATTTGAAAATCCATTCAGTTCTGAACAACTCTTTGGGGGAAAAACAATCGTCTTTGGTGGAGATTTTCGTCAAATATTACCAGTCATTCCTAAAGGAACAAGACAAGACATTGTTAATGCTACCATTAACTCTTCATACATATGGCATAACTGTATTGTTTTACGTTTGTCAAAAAATATGCGCTTGCAGTCAAAGAGCAAAGATCAAAATTACGAGAAGTATGTTGAATTTGCAAATTGGATTGCAAATATTGGTGATGGAACAATTGTGCAAGAGAATGATGGATATGCTGAGATCCAGATACCTGATGATTTGCTACTACTGGAGTCAGGAGATCCTATTGCTCAAATAGTGCATTCCACTTATCCTAATTATCACAACATTGCAAATGATCCAAGTTATTTGCAACAACGTGCTATTTTGGCTCCGACCATTGACAGTATTGATGCGATTAATGATTACATGATTAAAATGAATCCTAATAACGATTCTAGAACATATTTTAGTTCTGATAATGTTTGCAAATCAGATTGCAGTTCTGATTTCTTCAGTGACCTACATTCATCAGAATTCTTGAACAACATACGTGCTTCAGGCCTTCCAAATCATGAGATAACTTTAAAAGTTGGCACTCCTATAATGCTATTGCGGAATATTGATCATACAATGGGATTGTGCAATGGTACGAGATTGATAGTCACGCGTTTGGCAACTCATTCAATACAAGGAAGAATTCTGACAGGTACACATTCGGGCCAAGAGGTATTGATCCCAAGATTGTCATTAACTCCTTCAGATCCACGTATTCTTTCAAATTTCAAAGAAGACAGTTTCCTATAATGGTTTCCTATGCAATGACCATTAACAAAAGTCAGGGCCAGTCATTGTCTCACGTGGGACTTTTTCTTAAAAAACCTGTTTTCAGCCATGGACAATTATATGTTGCGGTTTCGAGAGTTACAGATCGTAGTGGTTTAAAAATACTAATATGTGATGAAAGTGGAGAACTTAGACGTTCCACAATAAATGTTGTTTATAAAGAAGTATTTCATAATCTGTAGATGTTTACGCAATGTACTTTGTAATGATTTCGCTTATAATTTTCAGATGTAAGAGAATTAATTATCCCCTAAATTTCAATTTATAATATTTGCCTATATTGATACATACTGAAGTATGAAATATACGAAAGTATGAAATCGAAAATATCTTATATTCTTATGGAGACCGTGAAAGTTTATATAATAGATTAATTTAAAGACAGAGAGAGTAACAAACTTTTGTCCGTGCAACGCACGGGTATGAATCTAGTAGGAACAAAAAAGGAAGAGTCTAGAAGAGATAAAAAATCTAAGCTACTCCAACAGGTACACGATTAACTTCATCAGCGGGGATGATTTCTTTGATAATTTCATTTTGTTTCCTGAAGCTGAGAAGCTAAAATAAGACATTATAGAAGCTAAAACAAGAAGTTATAGAAGCTAAAATTTTGTTTTTCAGAAGCTACAATTTTTTTATTCTGGAGCTAAAAACAAGTGGTTAGAGAAGCTAGAATTCTATTTTCAGAAGCTACACTTTTTCTTTCTAGAGCTAAAATAAGAAGTTTGCAGAAACTAAAATTTCGTTTTGCCTATAATATGATGTTCAAACAGTTTCCTGAGGCTAAACTAAAAAGCTAGGTCCCAACCACTTATTTTTTTCACATGTTCCATGATTAATTAAAATTTAGAAATGTAAAACAATACCGAGTATGAAGTAATAAAAGATAAATTAAGATTGGTGTCCATTAAAAGTTATTTTGTCTTTAGTTTTTACTTACCTTAATCTAGTTAATTAAGAACAAGAAAGTATGTGTTTCTCTTAAAATACCTCAAACCTGCTACCTCTCGTTGCTTTCATTTACTTACCTTAATCTACCTTTGTAACACCCCAACCCGCATAACCCGAATCAACGGGTTAGCGAACCGGATTGTTACTAAATTGGTATTCGCATGCATAATTTTTTTTTAAAAAAATAACCAACTGAATAAATTATAAATTCATCCGTGAGAGTTTAAAACCAAACCAAAAATTATCGGAGTAATAAAACAAGTCCAAAAGTCGCGGAAACATAATAAAACCAAAGTAACGTCTAACAATCCATATAATCAAATAAAATAATGTAGTTTAATTACTAAAGTAAACAAGAGCCATCCACGCCACCACCACTTCACTGCCCTCCGGGTTGCCCATCAAATTCTGTGTTCCTACCTGCGTGCAGTCAAACAACAACGACTACACGCTCAGCGAAACGCTGAGTGAAAATATACCTAAGCCAGCATTAACTCACAGAATAGCACCACATTAACATACAATCAACAACAGCATGTGATCACAGAGAAAAATAGCTTAAATAAACATATTTATATTAACACCTTCCATTTGAACATCATGTCCTTATTTTATTCCACATCAACTACTTTGAGTCATGGCACCCTAAGCGATGCTATAAAAGGGCCAGCTCAGAAACCCAAAGGAGATTCACTTTAGGCGGGTTGAAACCCCTGTCCCTACGATGCCAGGACAGGTCGCGGACTTCCGTACGTACGTTTTTAACCCAAGACCACCGGGGGTGCGACGACGCCCCGCAATGGCCAATTTCCTAACCATATCCTATTGGTGATTCAATCAGTCAATCCAATTCAGGTCCGCCTAATTATACTAGGTGGCCTATTTCTCTTACATTATTCATAATCCACAATATTCACCAATAAGATTAATTTAATTTAACATTGGTTCACAAATTCACAACAAATCACGTAGCGGCCTATCCGGTCTGAGGATCCACGATTACCGTCATGCATAATCAACAAACCCAAATTAGAATTAGTCCAACTTACCTGCGCGGAATCGAGCCCGAGGAATCGATCCTCAAGCTCGCTGCCCCCGCCGGAGCAGTCCCCATCGTCGCTGGAACAACCCTGGCACCCCGCCAGTAACCGCCCCGGCTGCCCAAACCCGAAGCCTGACCAAATTGCCCTATTGGGTGATTTGCAGCCACCCGGACAGCCATCAATTAGCCCAAACGGTCCAATCCAACCCAATTGTACCCAATTAAATCCAAACAACCCAATTGCACCCAATTGGATCCAATTGGTCCAAATCAAGAGGCTGCCCAGTTCCGGCCACCTCGCCGCCGCCTTTGCCGGCGGTCGCCAGAGGTGATGATGGAAAACAGCCCCCCAAACACCAATTTCATAATTTCAACACAACAATCACCAATTCCCAATCAAATCGCAAGATTATACGCCAAGGAAGTTCTAATCTTCGAATTAATGCTAACGGAAGGTATAGAAACCACAAATCACCTCGAAAAAACGACAAATTAAACTTGAATTGGAGTGAACTCGCCGCTGCAACTCTCCCCTGGTTTCCCCGGCCTGCCGCGCGCGACGGAGGGACGAGGCGGGAACGTCGGTCGGAAATCACTGGCGTCGACGGTGATGATAGCGGCGGAGTATCGCGGCGGTTGCTGCGGCTGCTCGCTCTCCCTGGCAGACAGATGACGAACAGGAACGGCGAACAGAGGTGAAACGGAGTAAACGTGCGTAAGTCTCGTAACTCCCCCCTCTTAATGTCCACTTTACATTTTCTAACCGTTTAGGATAAATTTAAGTCCAATTACCTTATTCGGAAGTCGTTTCTTGGGCCAAGTAAGTCCGATTCTCAATCCGTTTGCGCGGTCGGGTTCAGAACAGCGTGTCGTACAACGTAGGTCAACCCCCATATTAATTATGCAAATTAGAAAATAATCTTCGTATTGATCGACCTAATAATTAATTAATTCTATAAATTAATTAAAATACTAAGCCGGGTTTCGGGGCGTTACAACCTTTTCCCAATTTGTGATAGAATCAAAACCTATTTTTACTCCCAAATAAGTTTGTGTAGTCGTGTTTAGGAAACCACATACTACCTAAAGGATTAATTAATAATTTATATTATTTAGTTAATTATATAGTGTAATTATTTTTATTTACTTTTTATTGTTGAGTGGAGTTATAAGACTCTTTCGAGGGTTTCTTTTCGATTCTTTACCTCAACGATTTTATTGAACCGATAGGCTTAGGAACTAAATATTTGTTAGGGTTAGGGTTTACCATCTTCATCTATATATTGAGTTGTAACCTATTTTAGATTAATCATCAATAAAGAAATCAAAAACATTATTCTCTCAACCCTAATTCTCCTCCACCCCTCCTATCTAGCCGCACAACTTTCTTCCTCACCTCCTCTACTTTCTCTCATCTTCTCCCAAATTCTTCACTTTCTTTCCCCAATTTCTAAATCTCCCTTCTCTATTTGATACGTTACCGTATCAATTGGTGCTTTTATTGTTGAACTCACCCCCAACTTGTTAGTTATTCGGGTTAGTTACTAAGGGGGAGAACTAGTATTTATTTTGTTTATTCCTTGTTGGCCTTATCCTTGTGACAAAAACAAATAAGTAGGAATGTTTGTTCGTCCTTTTGAGCTGCTTGGATGTAGAGTCCTGCCGTGTCATGATTGGGTTTGAGTCTATCCCTACGAGCTGGAGAAGAAGACTTCCTCCTGAAAAGGGATTCGTGCGAAGCTGTCCAGAGTTCCATGCAGACCGGGAATAAGATTTGCTGGAGAGTTCAAGTATGATAATGACTAGGGTTTTTCACGTGCGCACACACATATATATACCCACATGATTTCATAGAGAGATGCAGTGAGATAGAATTGATATACGTCCAGCGAGAGTTTGTGAGAGTCATAAACCCTAGCTACAAAAGGAGATCAGAAGGGAATCATGTTTGAATCCTTCTGAAATACGGTGCTGTTCTTTCGTGTTCTTCAAGCACCCGACAAGAGTGATCATATTGCAGATCTATGATTGGTTTTGATGAAAATCACATCCGGCTGGTGAACTAAGAAGGGCTGGAGAAAGGGCTGTCATCTCGTCCAAATAACAGGAGTTATCAAGGTTGTTGTAATATGCCATTGGGAGAAACACTAACAGAGTTATGTGTTTAAGTCATCTGTAGTAGGTTAGTTCAATCCACTGATTGGTACCTACGGTGGTTGAAGTTGTAACCTTTGCAGTGATTTAGTGGACGGACTATTACACGGACGTGGGCCCCGTAGAGTAGGAGAATTGCTCCGAATTGCGTAAACAATTCTTGTGTCTGTTTTACTGCTTTTTATTTCTCTTGCTGCGTGTGATTGTGTGTGACAGAGAGAGTGTTTCAGCACTTTGTTTATCACAGCAATCTGAGCGTGTGTGTGGTTGACTAGATTTGTTCACAAAGAGTACTTCCTCCTGAGATTAGAATCACTATAACAATTTCATTTGGTGACATTTCCTGCTTCATCTGTTTTGTTTCGGTATATCCACTTCGTACCAATGACGTTAGTGTTCTCTAGTTTTGGAACCAGTTCCCATACCTTATTCCTTTCAAACTGCTCTAGCTCGTCATGCATGGCGTTTATCCATGCTTCTTCTGTCAGTGCCTCTTTGATGTTTTTAGGCTCCAGGGATGATGTATAGTATGCTTTTGTCATCTCTAGAAAATCAATCTTCTTCTTCCGTGTCTTCACTCCTTCATTGGGTGATCCTATGATGTTTTCCAGATGGTGGTTTTTCTGTATATGTGTGGGAACACTACTGGTTATGGGACACTCAGTTTGAGTATCTGCAGAATCATCTTTTCCACCTTCTTCAAGCTCAGTGTCTTCTTCAGGTATTTTTTCGATGTTATTCACCTCTAGTGAGTCATCTGCTGCCCTGGGCTGGAGCTAATCATCTACCACGACATTTATTGACTCCATTATAGTTCTTGTTCGTTTGTTGTATACTCGATAAGCCTTGCTATTCGGTGAGTATCTAACAAAAATGGCTTCGTCTCTTTTTGGCTCAAACTTCCCTTTCTGCTCCCTGTCTCTTAAGATGTAGCATGTTGCTCCGAAAATGTGAAAGTGAGCAACACTTGGTGTCCTCCCTTTCCACAGTTCATAGGGTGTAGCCATTGTTCCACTTTTAAAGTACACACGGTTGATTGTGTAGCATGCTGTATGAACTGCTTCAGCCCACAAATTTTGTGGCAATCCATATGAGCTGATCATCGTGCGTGCCATTTCTTGAACATGTCTATTTTTCCTTTCTTCCACCCCATTTTGTTGTGGAGTTTTTGGTGCTGAGAATTCATGCCAGATGCCATGCAGATCACAAAATTCTTCAAAAGGTCCATTGTCAAACTCCCCTCCATGATCACTACGTACTCTGATGACCTTTTTAATCTTCAGTTGTTTCTCATTATGGACTTTGTTGCACAGTGCTTCAAAGGCATTTAGTGCATCATCTTTGTGTTTTAAAAAACCAACCCAAGTATACCTTGTGAAGTCATCTACGACCATGAGAACAAATCTTTTTCCACCGAGGCTCTCAGTTTGCATTGGGCCAAATAGATCAATATGCATGAGCTCCAATGGACGATTTGTTGACCTAGTAGGTTTCTTAGGATGACTTGCTCGTGTTTGTTTTCCCATTTGACATGGTCCACATACTTGCTCATTGACTTGAGTGATTTTGGGCATTCCTCGAACTGCTCCAGATCCTGACAATGTCTTGAGATCCTTGTAGTTCATATGCCCTAGTCTGTAGTGCCATAATTTTGCATCCCTCTCACTGGCCGTGTAGCAAAGTATATTTGGAGTGACTTTGTAACAGTTGTCAGTGGTTCTGTCACCTTCCAAGACAACAAATTTGTTTCTGTCCTTGATGCGGCACTTTTGTTGAGTGAATACCACTTCGAGTCCTTGGTCACAGATTTGACTAATGCTTAACAGATTCACCTCCAGTCCTTGGACCAACCATACATTTTTGATAGGTGGTAGCCTTGAGACATGCAGTGTTCCATTCCCAATAATCTGTCCATGTGCACCGCCTTCAAACCGTACGTTTCCTCCTTCTATGGTTTGAATATTTGATAAGTTTTGTTTGTCTCCAGTCATGTGATGAGAACACCCACTATCGAGCAACCATTGATCGGGTGTGACTCGAAGACATGAGTTGGCGCTTGTGGCCAAGTGTTTTGGTACCCACTTCATTACGGTTCTGGTGAACCCTTTGGCCGTACCCTTCTTCCTTCTTTTGTATTTCAGTTGGTGACACTGTCTTTTAATGCGTTCCTTTTTCCTGCAATAGAAGCAAATATAATTCTAGTAATAATTAGAGAAAGGTTGTTTCCTTACATGAATGTGAGTAGACTGAACTGCTTCCTTCTTGTCTCTGTTGTATTCTTTCAATTCTTCAGCAGCAATCTTTGGTCTTGTTACAAACAAATCAAGGGGTGTTTTGCTGCTCTCTGGTAGAGTATGACCAATGCCAGTTCTGTCTCCATAAAACCTTGACTTGTCTACGAGGTCTTCAATGTGTTCAGCACTTGCACTCTTCATCCACTTTTGATAGCTTTTGAGTTGAGTGAGTTCATAATTTAGATTTGCCTTTTCACCTTCGACCTGTTCCAGTTGCTGCATGGTTTCATCAAGCTTTTTACGAAGGCTATTCAACTCTTCCTGCAGCATCACAAGTCGGTTAGTGAGGACGTCTGGTTCTTCATTCTGTGTTTGAGTAGTAAATGCACAGTTGCTTTTCCCTAGGACTTCTTCAGAGTCGTCTTCTTCATCGCTCCAGGTTGACACAAAAGCTTGCCGTTTCTTTTTTAGGTTATTTGCACATTCTGATTGTATGTGCCCAAATCCCCCACATTCAAAGCATTGAGGTCCTCTTCGTTTGGAGTCATCAGCTGGGGCCCTGCTCTCCTTTGGCCTTGGATTTCTAAATTGAAATCCCTTTGAAGATTCAGCTTGATAATTTGTTCTTCCTTTCTTCTGCATCCATTGCTTCTTGAACTGCTTGGTGATGAGGGATAACTGTTCTTGATAATCTCCATCTGATGGATCCTCATCATCATCTTCTTCTTCAGTATTGTGGCTGTGAAATGCAATCTGTTTGACACTGTTCTTCTGGTTAATTTCTTCGTTCATTTGAAGCTCAATGGTCTCAAGATTTCCCATCAGCTGATCAAGCGTCATGTTCTTTATGTCATGTGCTTGGCGAATAGCTTTGGCATCCATTGCATAACTCTCTGGTAAAGCTCTCAATACCTTCAACACTAGACTATCTTCTGTGAAGGGCCTTTTCAGGTTTTCAGCCTCATTCGCCAGTTCTCTTATGTCAAACAAGTCATCCATGAGTTCTACTGCAATTTGAGTGAAGATTTTGTGAATCGTGCTGCTGAGTCATTTGAAAAAGTGTTTGTCAGAGGAAAATTATACACTTTTTCATCTACTGCTGTTAACAAGTTTTTGGGATTAGATGATGTTCAGGATGCATTGGTAAGTGAGGTCATAATGTGGAAGGAACTCACTCACGGAACCCAGAAAAGCCAACACCCCTCCAACAAAGTTCCCTCATCAATCCTGAATAGCTCCTACTCTATTTTGCTCAGGGTTGCTGCATGTCACTGGCTAGCCACCTCCCATACCAACACAGTGACAAAAGCCATGGGCATGTTTTTGTACACGATCAAAAACAATGTTCCTGTCAACCTAGGAAAGCTGATAGTTGCTCAAATAGCTGAGTTTGGGAAACACAACTATAAGCACAATGATAATGGTCTGCCCTTTCCTGTGCTAATCTTTCAGATGCTTGTCTCACAGGGTTTTAACAAGAAGGATGGTGAACAAGAGGAGCCCTTGGAGCCACTACTGCAGGTTGACAACAGACACTTTGATGGAAAGCACTTCAATGACATGAAGGTAGCTGAGCAGGTAACACATGGAGTGCCAGGTATACTCAAGTATCTGCATCACAAACTGCAGCAAAACAAGGAAGCACTTCTCCTGGTGGACCAACAGAGGAAAGTTCTTGAAGAAGAGCGGCAAAGTCTCATATGGTTGCAAGAGAATGCTGCACAGAGTGCTCAAGCAGAAGGTTCATCATTTCAGGGGGAGAGTTCAGAGGAAGAAGACACTGCTACAGATTCCTCAGCCTGAGGGGATATCTTTTCTATAAACTCTTTACAAGCTTAAATTTGACATTCATTTTGGTTGGGTTGTTCTACCCTGTTTCTGGTTTGAAGACATATCGCACTGCTGGTTCTTTTGCTTTGACTGTTATTTTTGAATGGTTCAAACTTGGCTTTGTTTCTCTACGTATGTGCTTGCTCCTGGTCATCTACAAGTTTCATTCCGCTATTCTTGTGCATCTCTTTGACATGGTGTAGGTACATCCTTCAGCTTGAGAGATAGGTATTCCAGTGAGTTTTTTTGTAACCCTCTTGCTCCAGTGTTGAATATTACTCTTCTCTCTTCCCATTTACATTTTTAATAAACTTTGACTCCTTTTTTAACAAAAAAGGGGGAGAAGAGGTTCAACAGGCCAGAGAGTCTAGTGTATTTGTTTTTGTCCAAAAGGATGGCCAAAGGGGGAGATTGTTAGTTATTCGGGTTAGTTACTAAGGGGGAGAACTAGTGTTTATTTTGTTTATTCCTTGTTGGCCTTATCCTTGTGACAAAAACAAATAAGTAGGAATGTTTGTTCGTCCTTTTGAGCTGCTTGGATGTAGAGTCCTGCCGTGTCATGATTGGGTTTGAGTCTATCCCTACGAGCTGGAGAAGAAGACTTCCTCCTGAAAAGGGATTCGTGCGAAGCTGTCCAGAGTTCCATGCAGACCGGGAATAAGATTTGCTGGAGAGTTCAAGTATGATAATGACTAGGGTTTTTTCACGTGCGCACACACATATATATACCCACATGATTTCATAGAGAGATGCAGTGAGATAGAATTGATATACGTCCAGCGAGAGTTTGTGAGAGTCATAAACCCTAGCTACAAAAGGAGATCAGAAGGGAATCATGTTTGAATCCTTCTGAAATACGGTGCTGTTCTTTCGTGTTCTTCAAGCACCCGACAAGAGTGATCATATTGCAGATCTATGATTGGTTTTGATGAAAATCACATCCGGCTGGTGAACTAAGAAGGGCTGGAGAAAGGGCTGTCATCTCGTCCAAATAACAGGAGTTATCAAGGTTGTTGTAATATGCCATTGGGAGAAACACTAACAGAGTTATGTGTTTAAGTCATCTATAGTAGGTTAGTTCAATCCACTGATTGGTACCTACGGTGGTTGAAGTTGTAACCTTTGCAGTGATTTAGTGGACGGGCTATTACACGGACGTGGGCCCCGTAGAGTAGGAGAATTGCTCCGAATTGCGTAAACAATTCTTGTGTCTGTTTTACTGCTTTTTATTTCTCTTGCTGCGTGTGATTGTGTGTGACAGAGAGAGTGTTTCAGCACTTTGTTTATCACAGCAATCTGAGCGTGTGTGTGGTTGACTAGATTTGTTCACAAAGAGTTTCCTCCTGAGATTAGAATCACTATAACAATTTCACAACTTGTACAAGATCAGCCGCTGCATCAATCTCTCTCATGTCGCCAGCATTTTGCATCCACCACCTCAATCCACTAGCCTCAAATTTTGCGGTGCATAATCATTGCCACTAAAGCATAGTAATTCGTGTTTTGAATGCGTTGCTTTCTTCCTTAATTGATTTGCTGCCAAGGGATTCGATCACCACGTCGTCACCAAAATTGCTGCCAGCCTTCCAGCTATTCATTTGAATTGAACTGTAAGGTTGGCTTGATCGATCAAATTGAAGTGTACTACTGCAAACACGTTTACCAGTAAGTTTGCCACCCCAATTTCATTATCTTTGTTGGGTAAAAAAGAGAGAGAGTGAATACAGTAACAACACAAAGGCAGAGCTTCTTAAAAAAAGAGCAAAGGAATTTGATTGATACTGCTGTTGCGAACGAACTTTCCAAATACTTTCCAGCCCCAAATTGACTTTGCTGCAAAGATTCATATGGCAGGGAACTCGTGAACGACACCATTACAGTCCGCCACCTCGTCACTAAATGATGTTTGGTTAATCGTTCAGGAACTCGCCCTTGATATTCACACACTCCGTCAAGTACAAATCTACTTGTCACAACGCGTTGATAATGTATTCTCTATTTTGGGAACTCGGGAGACTTTGAGTGATTACAAAAGTGGGTTGTTTTGTTATAAGGTTTTTAAGCTGCGGTAATCCGATCTAGATTTTCCAACATGATTTTATAGCGTTACAGGTATTCGTCATAATGCTTGGATGTCAAACATTGAACAACCAAATGAAGAGCAATTGCATGAACTCATTGAAGAAATCATATTAGTCATGACAATAGAGAAAGATATTGTTGATCCTACAAGTGTTGTTCCCGATGAGGTTTCTGTTATCGTTTCTGATGATTGTGCTAAGAAATTCCAAGGTGACATAAGCTTGGCAAACCTGTGTGTGTTGCCCAATGATGTTTCGCCACCAAGGGCTTTTCCATTGTCTGGCATGTTCGAAGGAGTTAGGGGTCATGTTTTATTTGAGGGTGGTAGCGGGCTGCATTTTGTTGCTTTTGAGGCACCTTCCCGCTTCACATGGCTTGGAGTTCTTTCTTTGCCTTGCAAAAATTCTAGAGCTTGGTCCGAAGGTGGACAATTTCTTTTGTTTGTCGTTGCATCTCCTATTTTTAAGCATGAACGGGATCCTCCACCGGATATGGCATGGACGGGGTCATTGCACACTCTTTTCCCTACTTATATCTTGAGGACAAGGTGTGTCTCGATCGGGGTGGCAGTGATACGGAAGGATTAATTAATAATTTATATTATATAGTTAATTATATAGTCTAATTATTTTTATTTACTTTTTATTGTTAAGTGGAATTATAACACTCCTTCGAGAGTTCCTTTTCAGTTCTTTACCCCGACGCTTTTATTGAACCGATAGGCTTAGGAACTAAGTATTTGCTACGATTAGGGTTTACCATCTTCATCTATATATTGAGTTATAACCCCTTTTAGATGAATCATCAATAAAGAAATCAAAAACATTATTCTCCCAACCCTAATTATCCTCCACCTCTCCTCTCTAGTTGCACGAACCCTAATTATCCTCCACCTCTCCTCTCTAGTTGCACGATTTTCTTCCTCACCTCCTCTACTTTCTCTCATATTCTCCCAAATTCTTCACTTTCTTACCCCAATTTCTCAATCTCCCTTCTTTATTTGATACATTGCCGTATCATAGAACTTGGTCCCCAAAAAAAGATCTGAAAGGTTTTTTTTTTAAATGGAGACCCGAAAAAGCATGGGTTTTCTGCGCAAAATATTGAAGGTTCTACTCATCAGTGCTGGTGAAAAACATCATGTTATTACATCATTTTATTATTGTGGGGTACATAATTTATGTTTTCTATCCTCATTATCTCTTATTCATGCAAGAATCTACTAAATTTAGAAGCATAAATAAAGTTTACATCCATGGAGAATCATAAACTGGAGTAGCAACTGATTTAACTTGAAGATACTTGTAAAGGCCTTCCATCCCCATATCTCTATCCAAGCCGCTCATTTTGTACCCTCCAAACGGACAGTCTGGATCGAAACCAAAATAACAGTTGATCCAAATAGTGCCTGCTCTTATTGATCTTGAAACTGTGTTGGCTGTGTTGAAGTTGTTTGTCATAATTCCTGCTGCTAGTCCATACTTTGTGTCATTGGCTCTCTTTATAACTTCCTCTGTAGTCCTGCAGGATTTCAAAATATTCAAAGTGTCCTACACTTAGGTTTTAATGGGTGACTCATACTCAAGAACCTCACTACAATAAACTACAAAGTAAGGTTCAAAGTTCTACCCTACTACTCTAGTCGTAAACCTCTAGGCGTTCCAATCTAAACTCATATCTTTGGTAAAGTTGCAAGTGGTGTCGTGCCCGTCATTTTTTAAAAAGAACCTTTTACTCTTTTAGTATGAGAGTGAGCTTACTTGAATCTTAGTATAGACATAACAGGTCCGAAAATTTCGTCTTTCGCAATCAGCATATCATCCTGTAATATTCAAAAAAACTAGAGTGAATTTTACACACTATTATAGGTCTTAGCGGCACAATGTTTCGAGCATATTTTGAAAACAAGATTTACCGTGACATTTGTGAATATAGTTGGCTCTATGAAGTACCCTTTTCTGTGAATTGGATTGCCACCAGTTAGCAATGTAGCACCCTCCCTCTTTCCAATCTCAATGTATGACAGTATTTTCTCAAACTGATTCTTGTCCACCTTTACCAAATAGAAACATTACATCATAGTTCCAGATTTAAAGGATGTTTTACAATGGACAGGTCTTTAGTGTTTTGTTTTTAGGGAAGTCATACTTGGGGTCCCTGTTGCACATTTGGATCGAATGGGTCTCCAACCACCCTTTCTTTTGCCTTTTGCACCACTTTCTCAACAAACTTGTCATAAATTCCTTCTTGGACGAACACACGAGAGCCAGCCACACATATTTCACCCTGGCAAAGTGTCAAAACATCAGTACATCCTTTTTTTGAAGCTGTTAAAGGATTAATTGAGTGACCCAATTAAGAAAAAACCAACACTTAAAGGGATGGATTCCACATTACCTTGTTATATGTGACGCCGTATAGAGCAAGTTCTGAAACCTTATCAACGTCTACATCATCAAAGATTATGAAAGGGGATTTGCCACCCAACTCTAGGGCAACAGATTTCAGATTGCTAGTTGCTGCAGCCTGCATTATCAGGCGCCCTACCTCTGTCGACCCGGTGAAACTTACCTGAAGACAAAGTATATATATATAACAGATTCTTTCCATTCCGAATGGTTCCCGTCTCCCTCACCTTGCAAGAATTCCTCTGTATTGGTTACATAATGTTAATTTGCATAAGCATTACCTTATCAATGTCCATGTGAGAGCTAATGGCAGCACCAGCAGTCGGGCCAAATCCTGTAATGACATTGAGGACTCCATCTGGGACTCCTGCCTGTTTTCAGAACAATAAATACAACACTTTTTTAAGAGCCAAAAATGGGGGAAAATGAGGAAACCACTAAGACAGGGGACATGTAGCTTAATTACCAACTTAGCCAAATGAGCATAATAGAGAGCAGAGAGGGGAGTCTGTTCTGCAGGCTTTACAACCATGGTACAACCAGCTGCTAATGCCGGGGCAACCTTAATCGCAAACATCAGAGATGGGAAATTCCATGGAATAATGTGTCCAACGACGCCTATGGGTTCCCGTAAGGTATATCCTTGCAGGCCACGCGACATCTTGAGGGTCGTGCCGTGGATTTTGTCAGCTGCACCAGCATAGTAACGAAAAATCCCTGCAACGGAAGGTATTTCTATATGCTTCCCATCTGTAAACAGTTTTCCGGCATCCACCGTATCCAATGCTGCTAGTTGTTCTACATTTTCCTCTATCAAGTCGGCTAGTTTCAGCAATGCCTTTCCTCTCTCCTGTTAATCATCAATTCAACCATGATGACCTTTTATAGCATGTGTTGAAGCCATCTAATATTTGTAGTTTGATATAAAACTTTGTTTGATTGGGTTTTTTGGATCTAATTGTGACTTTATTTGTGGGATCTTGACTTACTGGGTTTTGTTGTTGTTGTACACCACATTCACACCAGATTTACACTACACAAATTTTGGAGTACACAAATGAATGTTGTTTTTTTATATGTACAATTTCCTATGTCACACATATAATCCTTTCCAAGTTCTTAAGAAGTAAACACCTTCTTTGACACTCAAATGTTAGTTGTTAGATATGTTTTCGTGTCATTTGTTTGAGTAGCTGTTTGAGTAGAAGTAGGAAAAAAGTTATAAATACAATCTTGATAATAATTATCAAGCCGAATTAGCAATCTTTTTTTTGCAAAAGCGATAATAGCTCCTCTTCCACAACGGTTTCTTAAATGTCTTTTTGTTCGTCCTTAAATCAACTTTTCACTAATTTTGTTTTTCTCTTTGAAAAGAAATATATCTTACAATATTTCTCTCTTTTAAACACATGGTAACTAAATATTTTTACTTTTCAATATTTTTCTTAATCTTTCTAAAGTCAAAAACAGTTAATATATTTGTGGACCAAACAGAGTATATAATATATAAGGTAATATTCACTCCATCCATTTTCTTTTCTTTTCTTTTATTTTTTTTGAAAAAAAGAATGGTACAATTTTCTTTTAGAACAATGTGATAAAATTTAGGATGGGTAGTAATAACTAGATTGAGCAATAAGACACTTGAACTGAACCACATTAAAAGATTGGATCCAATCGATTATTAGTTCAACTCAAGAGCTTATACCGATTATTTTGCTCTTGAACTTCCGATGTGGGATGACACTCTAACACTCTCCTTCAAGTGGACAACGTGGTCATTTTGAATCTAACCGGTTGACCACTTGCAAATAAACTCCCATTCCCTTGATGATTTTTTTTCGAGTGCCAACACCTAAAGGACCACGAGCCGCTGGGTATGGACTTCCAGACGAGCAATCGTGTTAAACGGGCCATAGGCCGTTGGGTACATACTCCATACGAACAACTAGACTAAAGACTAACGGGCCACTAGGAATGAAACTCTAGACGGCCACTTGACAAACAAGGTGGGCCAAAACCTGCTCCGATACCATGATAAAATTTAGGATGGGTATGAATAAGACACTTGAAGTGAACTACATTAAAAGATTGAATCCAATCGATTAGTTAGTTCAACTCAAGAGCTTATATACCGGTTATTTTGCTCTTGAACTTTCGATGTGGGATGACACTTTAACACAATGTGATAATATCATAAAATGTTCAAATATACTACTTTATTGGTCCAAATTTAGTTGACAATTTTTACATTTTGGACCGTCTACAACTAATTGTCTACTATTCATATTTAGTGATCTATTTAAGAATGATAAAAAACAAAATAATAATATTAACATCCTCACAAACTTCTTTCTTGGCTTGAGTGGTAGGAAGCCCACTCATTCATGAGAAAAATTTACCATTAGGTTGAAAATTTGAAAGATACTACATTAGATTGAAAAATATGAAAGATACTACATTATAATGAAGTCAATAGCACTAGAAAAAAACATCCTCACGAATTTTGAACCCCTTTTGAGTTTCATAATATAACACTTGGGACTTAAGGTGTTGCATTGGGTCTTTGAATGGCTCGATGTCATATACATTGGAGACTGTTGCCAAAAGAATTGGGCTCTACTTAGAGCTGGCAAATCAGCAGGTCAGGTCGGGTTCAGATTTAATTTAGTCACTTTGAGTTCGGATTATTTCGCGTTTGAGTCAATTCGGGTTCGGGTTGAGAAGTGTATGTTCATGACCCAGTGCCATCGGGTTCGGGTTGACCCAACGGGTTATGACTTTGGTTTTTTTAATTTTTAAATTAACATTAACACTTACATTTTCTATTAAGTAAATTTAAAATATCAAAATAAATGTATTAAATATATTAGATTATTTTATTTTAAATTCTGAAGTAATTTTTAGATATATAAATCAATATAAGAAATTTAAAAAATACTTAAGTTTTGGAAAAAGTAAGATAATTATGCAATATTATTAAAATTTTGTTTGAAAATGTAAATATATACACTAAAAATGAGTAGTAAAGTGTATGATTTTAAAAAATTCTTACTTTAACGGGTCGGTCAGGTCGGGTTCAGATTCGATCGGGTTTGGCCAATTTTTAGCGGGTCATTTCGGGTTCGATGATCAAAACCGTTGTTCAAAATCTAGTGTTTTCAGATCGGGTTTCGGGTCAAAAACAAATCGGGTCATGTTTTGTGAGGTCTCTTCTACTCACATCGTTGTTATTGATATGTTAGGTAGGTTTATTCCAAGAAGTTTTTGTCATTTCACCTACCCTCAATATAGTGGCATGTGTACATGCTCGAGCAAAACTCAATTGAGTTGACTTACATTCCTTGCTTAAGATGTCCTACTACTTGAGATCTTGAGTTTAAGGTATCGCAATGACCCTCTTGCTATTGGTCTTTAACTAGTTCAATTGCAGAAATCGTGTGAAGATTTGTCTTTTCTCTAAGGGACCATTTGGATGGATGAATACATATTCCATTTAAAGTCATGAATTGAGTTAGGGGTTGTTTGTTTTAGCTTCTTAATGGTTCAAATGTCTGAATGGTTCAGCATTTAATGATTCAGACTGTTTGTTTCAGCCTCTTAATGGTTCAGATGTCTGAATGGTTAAGAGATTTGCCTCTGAATGGTTAAGTATTATATAGAGTCTGAATGGTTAAGACCTCTTATCTGAATTGATCAGACATTTGCCTCTGAATAGTTAAGCAATATATACTAGCTCTTAATGGTTCAGACCTCTTACTGGTTCAGCACTTAATGGTTCAGACCTCTTACTGATTCAGCACTTACTTATTCAGAAATTGTCAAACAGCCCCTTAGTTGAATATTTAAAGTAATTGGCCATCACTTGAAGTTCCGGTTTTGCTCGTCGAGTGCTTCTAGGATTCATATAAGGTCCAAAAAAAATTGTAAACCTTTACTTTTCCATAACTTTTTTTTAAAAAAATAAAAATGATCATGCTAGTAAGCAAATGCTTATTAACTCTATTGGTGCATCAAAGGTCAAATAGCTCCAGTGCCTTCCATGGTTTGAAAAATGGGCACCAATACTTCTCTGTTTTCAAAACTTATTTCTAAAGTATCTATGGTTTCAAAATATTGCACCCAACACCTATTTTCTAAACCATAAGGGCACTCATGCTCATTTTTTATTCTTCTTTTATTATTTGATTTTTATTTTCCATTTTTTATCTCTTTTTTTAACTATTTGTTTCCTTTTGCTAGAATTTTTTTAATTTTCTTTTCAATTTTTTGTAATGTTTTAAACAAATTCCAGATTCTTTGTGTCAAAAAAATATACTCCATCTATCTCAAATTAAGTATTTTCACTTTTTATTTTATAGAATAAAAAATAAACAATAAAAATATGAAAAAACAAAATGAAAAAAATCGAAACATGCGAAAAGAGTCTTATACAAAAAGGAATTTTCCAGGACGCTTAAAAACTCTGCAGAATTAGAATGTCTAAAAAGGATATTCATTTTTATTTCTTACTCCCTCCGTCCCAATTTATTTGCAACACTTCGAACGACGTGCAAAATATCATCTCTTTTAAAATCACTTTAATTATAAATTGGTAGAGTAATAAAAAGTAAAAATTACACCATTTAAAAGTATATGAAAAGCTCTACAAAACAAGATGCGACAAGAATATTTTATTTTATCAAATGGTCAACCAAAACGAGTAAACATACAAAAGTTATTGAAAGGCCAGAATAGTAAACGTGACATTCTTTCTGGGACAGATGGAGTATTTCTTGAAGTTCTCAAAAACGTTTTTACTTTCGCATAACAAAAAATAAAAATTATTAATTTCAGATGTACAAATGTAGTATATGTTATCCTTTTTTAAACAAAAATAATTTTAAATTTCAAAAGAATTCGAATTTAATTTCTTTCATATAAAATGATTTCAAAATAATTTTAATCAAATAATATAAACCGAAAGAGATAATTTAAATTAGAACATGTAAAGTATTAATCATTGATGAGGCATGATGTGATGTAACCGATCACATGGATGACCCTCAACACTTGTCTCGAGATGGACACGGTTGTCTCCAATCAGCTTCCCATTATTGTACACTCCATCTAAAAGGCCTTTCTTTTTCTTTCTTCTAGAACTTCTCTTAGTGGTTGGGCAGGTGAGGGAGAACTTTCAAATTTGTCTTGGTAGCACAGAGTCCACTTATTTTTTCCCCATAAATTCTAGTTATTTACTACCTCCGTCCCAAAAAGATTTACACCTTTCAAAAAAATTGCGTCCCACAATCTCCTACCCATTTCTATTAAAAAACCACTTTTACCCCTTACTTTTTCAAACTCTATCTATCACATCATACCTTTTTACTAATAATCTACACATCATATCCTACTTTTACCCATCACATCAAGGGTATTTTTGGAAAGTCAACACAAAATTATCTCTCCCTTAATTTTAACTTTAGTCAAAACGTGTAAATCTTTTTGGGACGGAGGGAGTATTTATTAAAACTTTTGAGTCTGTGTGACAATGTAATGCACAATAGATAATATTTCCCCCGTCTCTAAAAATTGTCATAATTTGATTTTTTAAATCAAATTGTAGTATTTTTACCGTGAATTATAGAAAAAGTGTATTTAGTTATAATGTAAATTTAGTAAAACTAAGTTTATTTTAGAATATAATTTTGAAATATCAAGTTTTTTTACTACCCCGTCTCATAAAACTTTTCAAAAAGGATAAAAGGCGTGCCCAACAAATAAACATTTTTTATATTATTTTATATTTTCCTCTTACTTTATAATAAAGTAGGATAAAATGTACAGTATATGATAGATGAGTCATAAGTAAAAAAATAATATAAAAATAATCCATTTTTAGGGCGCACCTTTTTTTCGTTTTTGAAAAGTTTTATGGGACAGAAGAAGTAATTTTTAATTATTTTAAACTATATCTAATTCATGTTCAAAGGATGTCACAGTTTAACTAAAAAAGTCAAACTGTGACAATATTTTAAGAACAGAAGGAGTAACAAAACGTAGAGGGAAAGTCTGCGTACACTCACGACTCAAGATTATGTTCTATGAAAACTTGTTAGATTTGCTATTGTTGTCAAAGTTTAATTTTTTTTCTTTTTTCCCTCAAATTTCTTGAATCAAATATAGTGTTACATCTTGTCCATATAGAGTAAATGTATGGTTAAAATGTTTAATTGTAGATCATGAAAAATACTTGAAGAAAAATCTCATTTTGAGACAAATGGAGTACTTTTGGTCCGATACTATTTTTTTTACAGTTTGACTTTCTTGTTTAAATTCTACAAACTTTAAGCATAAATTATGGAAAAAATATATTTAGTTACAATGTAGTTTTAATATAATTTGATTAAAATTTTATAACATTTACTTTGTAATTATTTAAAGCCACATTTATTCAGAATCTAAATAGGCAACAGTTCAATTAAAAAGTCAAACTATAAAAAGAAAGGTGTACCTGAATTATAAAATGTACCTCTTGGTTCTTTCAATTTTGACATGAATATATTTTGACTATAAATTTTTTTGTTTATATATAAATATATATTATGAGAATATAATATTTCAAAATTATATTTAAAGATAAATCTATTGATATATGTTTTTGACACACACTATTGATATTAAATTTATATTATAATTTAATAAATCATTTCCATAATTTATGGTCAAAGTTTTAAAAAGTAATATTTATCTTTTTATATTCTCTTCACAGTTAAATTAGAACTAATACCGAGTATATAACACCCGTTAACGGAGCGTGAAGCATATTTTTCCAGCTAGGACTGTAGGAGCGTACCGTGCCAGAAAGTCGAGGCCATGGGCCATGATCAAACGCCCGGCGAGCGGCTTTGACGGCTAAGTTAACGTCTTCCTTGTCCCCTTCGGCTATTCTTCCCATCACTTCTCCATTTCTCGGGTCTATTGTATCAAATCTTCTTCCTATATACAATTATACATACATATTCTATCATATTCGCACATTTATCATGAACCTTTGGCCAACTGAAATTAAATGGTCTAAAATGTCTGATACTCACTATAATTAGAATTAAGCTAGGGGTACACCAACATGGGGTACCCCAAGTGTACACCAAAACCAACACAGACACACACAGACACAAAGTGTCTGTGTTGCACAGACATTTTGTGTCTGTGTTGGCTTGGTGTACACTTAGGTACCCCATGTTAGTGTACCCCTAGCATTGCCCCTATAATTATAGTGAAATTTCAGCAAGAGTCTGTTCTTTAAGATTGGAAATAAAGAGCTAGATGATAAAAGAATCTGGAAGAACTCGAAGAAAATAAAAAGAACTGGAAGAAATTAAAAAGAACTATTAAAAACTGGAAAAACTTTAAAAAATTAGAAAACCTAAAAACAAATTTAAATTTTTTATTTTAGTATATTTTTTATAATATTCTCATTCTAATTCTTGTTGTTATAAATTATTATTATTATTAATATCATCATCATCATCATTATCATATTATCTCAATGAATGTCTTTAATAAAAAAAGTATTAAGTTTTTTCATACACAAAAAAACTATTTTTCCAAAAAAATATAATATAAAGTTAGCATAAATATCAAAATATTAAATTTCAAAAACTTGTCGTGGATGGTTACGTTGCACCTCGATTTATTTATGCAGTATTTATTATAAATAATACTCCCTCCGTCCCAAAAAGTTTGTTACGTTTAAAAAAAACTGCGTCCCGTAAAGTTCGTTACATTTCTATTAAAAAACCACTTCTACCCCTTATTTTTTCATACCCTACCTATCACATCATACCTTTTTCCTAATAATCTACCCATCACATCCTACTTTTTATCCATCACATCAAGGGTATTTTTAGAAAGTCAATACCAAAATATCCCTCCCTTAATTTCCCAAAAAGTCAAACTGTCCCATTCTTTTTGGGACGGAGGGAGTATATTTTTAATTACACTTTATATATTACAAGATTTTGTTTTAAATATCAAACTTGTCACATAATGTAATCAAAACTATTTTTTCTTTCATGATTGATATTTTATTTTCATTGTAACTCCTATTTTTAGAATAGAGACAATTTTTTTAAACATGTTTTATGTTTTAGTCCTATTGTAGTCTTTTTCTCTAATCTATTTTGACTTTAAATTTTTTTATAAAAATTAAAAAAATGAGAAAAATTTGAGTAATAAAGGGAAAGGTAAGGGGTCTTATATAAAGCTAGATTAATAAAACATTCTATGTAACTATTTTATCCATAATTTTAAATGTAGTTTAAAATATTGATGTTTTCCTATTTTATCATATAGGTTAATATACAAAAAAATTATCTTATTCACAATAAAAAGTTGAAGAAAAAATAATGACTGTGAATCGTAAAAATAGTGAGATGAAAAAAATAATTTATAAACTATAGTTATTAACATAACAATTGTAATAATAATAATAATAATCACATTAAAAATATATCATTCTTAGAGTAATTAGTTGGGGGTAGAAATAGTTTGAAGAAAATGAGAATAGTTAGAAAGAACGGGAAGGAACTGGAAGGAACAGGAAAGAACTGAAAGAAACTGGAAAGAACTGGAAGAAACTGAAAGAAACTAAAAGTTAAGAGTTTAAGCTCTAAAAAACAAGCTCTAAATAGTACTAAAACATACTTTCTCCATTCCAAAAAGATGTTCCCATTTTGAATTTTAAGAAATTTAAGAGAAAGATTTATTTGTGTTGACTTTTCCAAAATATCCTTGATGTGATGGCTAAAAGTAAGATGTGGTGTGTAGATTATTAGTAAAAAGATATAATATGAGTGGTAGGTTATGAATTAGTAGGGATAAAAGTCGTTTTTTAATAGAAACGAAAAGGATTATATGGGACAGGTTAAAAAAGAAATGGGAAGGAAATTTTGGGATAGAGGGAGAATGTCTATTCCCAATATAGTACTTACACTTTTTTATTCTCTAAATAGTACTTGAATAATATCTAGTGGTGGGAACAATGTCCAATAATAATGGACATTTAGGTTGAACAATGTCCAGTTACGGTTGACATTTACTTGAACGATGACCAATAAACATTGAACATTAGTACTATATTGGGAAATAAAAACATGAGGCCGGTTCTAGAGCCACTGGAATCCAGTGGTTACGGAAGCCACTGCCCCACTACGGAGCTCCGTTCATGAAATTGATGATTCCTACCCCCCTAACCCCCGGTAAACCCCCTCGCCAAGTCTCGACCCAAACTACTACCCCCACCTACGTCAATTGCACCTCGCAAGTATAATTGTCTTTAAAGTCAAAATTTTTGACTTTATACTTGCGAGGTGCAATTGACGTAGGTGGGAAGAGTAGTTTGAGTCGAGACTTGACAGGAGGGTTTACCGGGGGGTTACGGGGGTTAGGGGGGTAGGAATCATCAATTTCATGAACGGAGCTCCGTAGGGGGGCAGTGGCTTCCGTAGCCACTGGATTCCAGTGGCTCTAGAACCGGCCTCTAAAAACATATGGTACTATGTTAGAAAAATTATACTCCTAATTTTTAGTACTATTTAGGTAAATACACCATAATTATAACTACATACGAGTTATTTCACTTTTTTTAAACATATAGGTGGTGGTGGAATTGAGCTCTTGACATAAAATTGAGCAAAGTTTTGATATTCTGTCAAATAATCAAATTAATTGACCATAAGCTTATGAAATAGTCCTAAAAACCTTTCCTGTTTTGAATTTTTTTATTAAGGTAATGAAAAATTTATTTTAGAATAAACCAAAAAGTATCTTCGCACTATACGTCATAAACGTATTTTTTTCATGGTCCTCTATTTGAAAACATTTTATTTAAATGTTCTTTAAATAATCCCCAAACATAGATGACCACGGAAATACAAGACAATATTGGAATATCTCTTTTGTTACTATAAAGACTATTTAGAGCCTATTTGGGAACAACGATAGATATTAACGTTAGCGTTTTGAAAAACTATCTACGAGTACGTAGCATATAACAACGTTAACATTTTCAAATTAATCTGTACCGTTGAAATTTTATCCAAAATGCTAACGCTAATAATTACTAATGTTTTTCTCAAACAGGCCCTTAGGAATTAATAAGAATTTTTTCGTCTAATTAAATGTTATACTTCCTACAAACTCCAATCCTTCCAATTAACCCACTAATTTTGGCGATTGAGGAGTGTTATTACATTAAGAAAGTAAGATTGTGTGATTGATATTGATATTAAAAAGTGAGATAAAGTAAAAAAATGAATTGAGCCACACATATATAGCTGAATATCATACTATACTCTCCGTCTCATAATAGATTACAAATTAAATTACATAAAATGAAGAAAACTTAAGTTTTTTCAATCTATTTTGTCTAAAGATTGATATAAAGTTAAAAAAAATAAAAGTTACAAAATAAATATAACACAAGAGCTTACAAGAATATTATTTTATTTTATCAAATAATCAATAAAAATGCATAAATAAATAAAACTTAGTGTAATTTTAAAATGGTATCTGACAAAGAATAGTGGGATGAACAAAAAGGGACAAAATAGTGAGACCGAGGCAGTGGCGGAAAATTTTTAAGGGTCTTTTAAATTACTTCTGTGTCCCAAAATATTTACAATATTTATTTTTTCAGCAGTCGCGGGAACTCTTGTTTATTTCTATGTTTTCATTGGTTATTTGATAAAAGAAAATATTTTTGATGCCTCTTATTTTGAAGAATTTTCATATAGTTTTTTGATATGTAAATTTTATTTTTTAGTTATATACCAATATGTAAATAAAATAAATTGAAAAAACTCGATATTTTATCTCGGGATTACAAGTGTGGCAAATATTTAGGAACGGAAGGAGTATGATCAAAAACATAAATTTTATATGAAACAAATTTAAAATAAGTAAACCAAAATATTTCATGAATAGATATTATATATATATATATATATATATATATATATATATATATATATATATATATATATATATATATATATATATATATATAGACACACACACACATACTCCCTCCGTCCCAGAAAACCTTTCTCATTTTTTTTCATCCGTCCCAAAAAACACTTCTCATTTATATTAAAAAGTCACTTTTACTCCTTACGTTTTCATACCATACCTATCACATCATACCTTTTTGGAAATTCAATACCAAAACACACTTCCCTTAAATCCCTCTCCAAAACCAAAACTCCCATGTTTTCCGGGACGGATGGAGTATGTGTGTGTGTTTGTGTAATTCACGGTCAGATTTTAAAAAATTTAGCCCAGAAAATTAAATTGGGAAGATTTTTTTTAAACAGATGGAGTAAATATAATAATCATGGACAAAAACTTGTAACGAACAAAAAAAAGACCTAATTTGCTGGGATGGACGTACAATTTTGTCCTAATGTTTTTTCTTCTTTGATATTGCCCAATGCTTGGTTCACAAACAAAACAGTCACAAATTTCACAAACTTATTATTTGTGAACAATGAAGTTTCCTAAAATAATTTTAAAATGAGAGTTTACATCTGAAATGATAAGTTTGTAAAGTTTGTGACAATTTTGTTTGTGAATCTAGCATTGCTCATAGAAAAAACACGATTGTCACAAATAATTAAGGAGTAAAATTCTATTGAGTATACTTCATCCCCAAAGTTGTTTACTAAAATAGGACTTTCATGTTTTTTTCTGAAACAAAAGTTAAAATGCATTTACATTACCAAACATGATCATGTACATTACCAAAAAGTATAGTAACGTGCACATGTACAATGTCATATTACAACCACATTATCACGGTGCGAAGTCCTATTTCGGGAATAAATATCATAATATAACATTGATTCATTTGGAGCACCTACAATATCTAAATGGGGACCGAAGGTGAAATAAATCTATTAATATTAAAATTACATGACAGATGAAGTAAATATAATCATGCACAAAAAATTCACGGTCAAATTTTAAAAATTTTAAAATTTTAAAAATTTTAAAAATTTTAAAGAAGAAAATCAAATTGGGAAGAATTTTTTTTAAACAGATGAAGTAAATATAATCATGCACAAAAAATTCTATGAGTATACTCCATGCACCCGGCCTGATACTTCAACCCGAAAAGAGTCGTCTGTTGTTGTTGTTTACGAGATTTGATTGAAGTTATTTGTAATTCAATTTTGAAAAAAAGACTAAAGTAAGAGTATAACATTGAAAATATACTAAAATAGAACTTCCATATTTTTATTCTCAAAATAAGAGTTAAAATGCATTTATATTACCAAACATGGTTATATACATTACCAAAAAGTATAGTAATGTGCACATGTACAGTGTCACACTACAACTACATAACCACAGTGCGAAGACATATTTCACGAATAAAAATATGGAACTCCAATATTGGTACTTTATTCTATGTATTAATCCTATTTAAGTTGATTTCTATTCAATTTATTCAAAAATTGGTAAATATTTAAAAAATAAAATTTTTATATTTAAAAACAAATCAAAAGTAAACATACAACTTAAATAGCTTAAATAGAGACAGAGGAAATAATATCATATTTGTTGTGGTTTATATATATAGAAGTTGCTGAAAATAACCAGCCACACTAAAAAAAGGAAAACTACGATTAAAATTTAGATTAAGTTACTCCGTAATTGTTAGGTTATAGAGCCTAAATAATACTCCCTCTGTCCCAAAAAATCCGACACGTTTCGAAAAAACTGCGTCCCGTAAAGTCCGATACATTTTTATTAAAAAACCACTTTTATCCTTTACTTTTTCATACCCTACCTATCACATCATACTCCCTCCGTTTTCAAAAACATTTCCTCTTTCATTTTTCTTTTCACTTCCAACAAAACACTTTCACTTTTTATTAAAAAACCACTTTTACCCTTACTTTTTCATACCCTACCTATCACATCATACTTTTCTCTAATAACCAATCCATCACATCTTACTTTTACCCATCACATCAGGGGCAAAATTGGAAGTCAACTACGGTATAATTTTATACTTCCTTATTTTGGCTCCAAGTCAAAATAGGAACCTTTTTTGCAAACGGAGGGAGTACTTTTTTCTTAATAATCTACCTATCACATCCTACTTTTACCAATCACATCAAGAGTATTTTTGGAAAATCAACGCCAAAATATCTCTCCTTTAATTTTCCAAAAAGTCAATATATACCAAACGGAGGGAGTATTTAATGTATCTTTAAATATTGTGTTTCGCGTGGTTCAATAATATTGAACTCTAATACATTCCTTAACAATCTAGAATCTTAAATTAAGATAAGATAATTAGCTCATACTTTTTCAAAAATTAAAGAGAGAGGGAAGAACCTGAAAGAGAATCAACAAACTCTCCATTGATGAATAACTTGGTGAACTTTATGATTGGAATCTTAGCATGAGGCTCCCCCTCCATATTCCCTTTGCACTGTGCCGGTGCCATTCTTTTCTATCTCTCTCTTTATTATATTTTTTTTGTTGCTGGCGCGCTTTGGAGTGTGTGTCTACACACACACACACACACACCCCATGTATGTATGATGTATGATGTATGTATGTATATAAAGACACACTCCCTCCGTCCCAGATTTCTTTTTTCATCCGTCGCAAAAAACTTTTCTTATTTTTATTAAAAACTCATTTTTATCCCTATTAATTTTAACGTAATTATCACATCACATCTATTTACTATTAATCCGTCCATCAAATCTTACTTCTACTCATCATGTCAAAGGATATTTTTGAAAATTAAACACTAAAATATACTCTCATTAAATTCTTAAAAATCAAAATTCCCAATATTTTTTGAAAGTGAAATTTGCAGTGAATGGGACTAAAACATAAGTCATTTCCCAATGTAGGACTTAAACTTTTTTATTTCTTAAATAGAATTTAATAATGACTAGTGAGAAGAATAATGTCTAAGCTATGCTGGACATTTAGTTGAATAATGACTCTTAGATAATGATCAGTGATCCTACATTGGAAAATAAAAACATATAATCTTATATTAAAAAAGTCATTATATTTTAGTCCTATTTAGGTAAATTATCTTTTTTGAAACGGGCAGCATATAGTTTCACTTCTTTCTTTTTCATGGTACGGAGTATTATTTTGGGCCCTTTCTTTTTCATGGTATTATTTAGGGGTACTAATATTTATTAGGTGTAGGCGTGGTGGGTGGGTGTGCATGAGAATAGTCTCCGAAAGAGATTATTGAAGATTTTAGAAACCGTTCGTTTGTTTGTTTCAGCCAGCTGCAAGCTCGCATGGCCCCTTTTCAATTTTACATCATATATAGTTGTTCCATTAAATTTTTTAATTTGAACTAAATGAAAATAATTGTTTTCGCTTCCCTTAAATCTAATTAAACATATCTCAACTACTCCTCCGTCCTGAAATGTTCTTCCCACTTACAATTCACACGGTCAAACTTTAATCACTTTCTTTACCTATTTTCATTAGGTATTTGATAAAATAATATAGTCTTGTCACCACTTGTTTTGTAAAACTTTTGATGTAGTTTTTAAATATATAAATTTTATTTTTTAATTTTACACCTACAATCAAATAAATTGAATTAAAAATAAAGTCGGTTAAACTTCGTAAACAGAACTGGGAAGAATATTATAGGACGGAGGGAGTATCTTCTATGCTCTATGATGTTTCCCAAGCCTTGTTCGTTTTAATTGTCTTTGTTACACCTTAGTCAAACTTTTACAATTTCCCTTTACCTTCCAAAATTCAAAATTGGAAATATTTTGCGAGACGTAAGAAGTATAATTTTGCCTCATGCCATTTGATCAAGGGTTTTCTTTTTAACCTAAATGAAACATTATATATATTGTGGCTGATGGGTATATCCTTATACCCGACCCGGATAGCTGAAAGGGACATGTCAAAACATGACCGGTCACTTTCTTCGATCACCAAATGAGGAGAAGTCTTCGATTGGGACGAGTCAAAAATTGACCGGTCACTTCCCTCAAAAAGTGACCGGTCACATTTTGGGCGATAGCCAAAACGTCACCTAATGTTACGAAGGATATTCCAGAAGACCGAAGAGACGGGTTGAGCTCAAGAAATGACCGGGTAACCTTTGAAAAAAGGTGACCGGTCATGTCACGTTACTTGGCTAACATTGGTCCAGTATCTTGAGGATGGCAATCAACATCAGAGGCCAAGGGACCACCCCGCCGTTCGTCCATCACGAGGCAAACAGTGAAAGGAATGTTTGTCATCTTGCAGGGTTGATTGGATTGAGAATATCCATGTTATAGTCATTGATTGAACAGTGCTTCTTGGTTGTATTAGTAGCAAGTCTATGATTGAACAGTGGTTAGATTATGTACACTGACCTTCCTCCGGGTTTCATATTTTGTCCATGGGTGAACAGGGGAAGGTCACAAATCCTCCTCTATAAATATGATGATATTGGATAGAGGAGGGGGGGCATTCTTTATCTCACTAAAAAAGTACACTCTTGAGATAGAGTAAGAAATATATTTCGGACTAAGGAGATTTACCCGGTCTAGGTCATACTTTGTGTTCTTGTTGTGTGTTACTCCCTCCGTCCCAAATTATAATGCATGTTTACTACTCATAGGGTCAAACTTCATTCACTTTCTTTCTCTATTTTCGTTAACAATTTGATAAAATAAAATATTATTGTCACTACTAGTTTTGTAGATCTTTTGATGTAGTTTTTTAATATGTAATTTTTATTTTTTAATTCTATACCATTTGTCATATAAAATGATTTGAAAATAATTTCAGTCAAACATCGTAAACCGAAACAGGCGTTATAAAATGGGACGGAGGTAGTACATATTACGGGTCGAGTGTGTCCAGGTCAGACCCGGTCAACCCACCCAGCTATATTTACACTTTCAGTGGCATGCACCAATAAACTCAATTGGCGATTGTATGGTGCTCTCATCCACAAATTGACGGATTTTACCTCCTCAGCCCAACATGTCCCTAACGCAACCATGCACCCCCTCAAATTATGCAAGCCTAATATAATTAAATTTTGGAATTGAAAATGATGGATTAGAGATTTTACCCAAGCCAATACTATTTGAACAGTACAAGAAAGCCCAATTTTATCCAGCCCAAGATATAAATCAGATAAATTATTCAAGGCAGAGCCAGAGATATGAAGACGAAGAAGATAATTTGATGAGATTGCTTAGGGCCAAAGGATATATTTAGTGGGACCCAAACATGATCTCTTGTCTCCACTAACTCATCCTCTCCCCCCTTAAATGTGGAGCTACGTAGAGGAGAAAGGGGGAGGCCAATTCCTAAGTTATTACTACTATTCTTCATTCTTCTTCTTCTTTGACCTTGGAGCTCTATTAATGGCTCCAAGCTCCTACAATGATGTATATGTAAATTCCACTGAGATTATTAAAAGTTCCTCCCTTTTGGCATGACATCGCCTAAAAAGGCCCGTGGTTTTCTCCCGATTTGGGTTTCCACGTATAAATACTTGCTCTCCACTTTATTTATTTTCCGGATTTTGCTATTTGGTGCGGTGCCGACCCGGTACCGAGTTTGTCAGGTCGACGCCCCGAAAAAACGGTTTCCATCACTAGCGCCGACCGTGGCACCCAGTCACGAAAAACTTGTGTGCTCGAGTTCGTAATAGAGAGAAAAAGTGAGGGTGAAAGTAAAAAACAAAACAAAAAAAGAGGAGGGATAGAGAAGAAAGGCACGAAGTGAGAAACAAGGATAAAAAAAGTAGAAAAGGAGAAAAGAATAGGGAAAAGGGAGGAGTGGTCTTCTTCACAGATCCGGCGACAACCAACTGCGAGCATCGACAGGCCTTTGGCGAGCTTTGACGAACACCGGCGAGCACCGGTGAGCCTCTCTTCCTTGAGGCGAGCCGATCCAGCACCCTAGTGAGCCACTCCTAGTCCTCTCTGACAAGCCACTCCTTCCGTCGGTCCACCACCAGGTCCAGCGAGTCTCCCAAACAAGCCACTAGAGCAGCGGTCCTCTCCGACGGTCCTCTCCGGTGGTCCACTCCGGCGGTCCTCTCTGCGGTCCTCTCCGGCGGTCCTCTCTGGCGGTCCTCTCTGCGGTCCTCTCCGGCGGTCCTCTCCGCGGTCCTCTTCGGCGGTCCTCTCCGGCGGTCCTCTCTAGCGAGCCTCCGGCGAGCTCTATCTTCCTCCAGCGAGCCAAGGACGGCGCCGACCTCAAATAGACCGTTCCAACTTTAGAGATCCATCCCGTGGACGGCCCTAGCCTCAAGTGGACCATTCTAACTTCTAGGATCCATCCAAGGGACGAGTCTAGTCTTAAGCGGTCCATTCCAGTTTCATGGGTCCCTCAAATGGACAGATCCAACCTTAAGTGGACCGTTCCAGCTTAATAGGTCCCTCAAATGGACAAATCCATCCTCAAGTGGACCGTTCTAGCTTCATAGGTCCCTCAAATGGACAGATTCGGCCTCAAGTGGACCGCTCCAGCTTCATGGGTACCTCAAATAGATGGCGCCGGCCTCAAGTGGACCGTTCGAACTTCTGGGATCCATCCAGTGGACGGATCTAGCCTCAAGAAGACCACTCTAGCTTCATAGGTCCCTCAAAGGGACGTCGCCGGCCTCAAGTGGTCCATTCCGAGTTGTACAAGTTGAGAAAAGTAATACTCCCTCCGTCCACCTAAGATGTTCTCATTTTGACTTTTGGTGGTTTTTAAGGAGAGTTGAAAAAAGGCAAAAGTTTATCATAATACCCTTAATGAAATTGGGTGGAGTGTATTAAATGAGATGGGTGAGGTGTAATAAATAAAGTAAGTGGGTGTAGTTGTGGTATTTTAATTGTTAAAAAATGAAATGAGAAGATCTATTGTGGACAAAGAAAAAGGGGTATTGGGAAGATCTATGGGGGACGGAGGGAGTACTATAAAAGAATAGAAAAAAGAGCTCAGTAATTCGATCGAGTTAGGTGATTGGATTACTGGAGATAGTCATAGACTCCCGTACCAATATAGAGAAAAGAGTTAGAAAGAGAGAGGTGGGCGGGGTTTGTCTATTATTCAATAAGAGTGGAGCGCCCAACCACTGTGAGATAGATATCAGGTGGCGGTTTAGAGGCTCCCAAAAAATATTGAAAAGTGAGCCTTGAGAAAAATCCTCTACCAAGAGGCAAAAAATCCTTGAGAGAAGTCCTGTTCTAAGAGGCATTAATCCTTGAGAAAAGTCCTCTTCTAAGAGGCAAAAAATCCTTGAGAAAAGCCCTCTTCTAAGAGGCAAAAAATCCTTGAGAAAAGCCCTCTTCTAAGAGGCACCGAGTCCCGAGATAGTCCTCTTCCAAAGAGGCACAAAGTACCGAGAAAGTCCTCTTCCTCTTCATTCATCTTCTTCTTTGAGCTTGGAGCACCATTAATGGCTCCAAGCTCCTAGAATGATATATGTAAATTCCCCCGAGATTAATAAAAGTTCCTCCCCTTTGGCATGGCACTGCCTAAAAAGGCCTGTGGTTTTCTCCCGATTTGGATTTCCACGTATAAATATTTTCTCTCCGCTTTATTTATTTATTTATTATTTTCCGGATTTTTCTATTCGGTGTGGTGCCGACCCGGTACCGAGTTTGTCGGGTCGATGCCCCGAAAAGGTTTCCATGAGAAAATGTAATTTGATGAACAACACAATTTAGGGCATGGAATTTGTGTATGGTAGACCTATCAATGGGTCGGGTCTAGACCCGAACCCGTATAATACCTGTTATGTTTTAGCGGTTTTAGGAATATAAAAAAATATCGTATACCCGAACACGAACCCGTACCTGTTATTTAAAAAAATAAAAGATCGGGTATATGATATGTAACACCCCAACCCGCGTAACCCGAAACCACGAGTTAGCGAATCGGGTTGTTACGAATTTGGTGTTCACATAATCACATGTATAATATTTTTAAACACTTAGAAGTAAAGCGAACATTTATAATTATTTAAAAACAATTCATCATTTAATCGGAGTAAATATCTGAAACGTTGCGGAAGCCTTTAAAAAACAATATTCAACATTCTAATAGTTTAAGTAAACAAATTCAACAGACTATATTTAATTTAAATAAAATAGCTTCGGTCATCCACCAGCGTCACGCTTCACTGTCCTCCAGGCTGCTCCTCATCAAATCCTTGATCCCTGCCTGTAAAAATAGGGAGAGTGGAAGTATCTAACGCTAAAACTAACTCATAGACTAGTACCTATTAGTATATGATCAAACAATATCAGAAGGATCAGCAAATATCGTTATCCAACTGTACCACTATTCACCCTTATAATTCAGATTAGTTCTTATAGACACTTACTTCATCTTCTTGCTCGATATAATCCAATTCATACTTACGGGAGTAATGGAATCCAGGCTCTCGCCCAAACCCACACTCATAACTCCAAAGTTGGCCCCCCTGGCTCTCGCCAGGGGTCAATGACCACCGTGCGCACGTTTTTAACCCTCGAGACCACCAAATGAACGACGTCACCCGCATGACCTTATTTCTACTTTAATCCAATTACCGATTTCCAATATGCAATTCAACTAAAACTTGACAAGATATAGTAGGTTGCCTGTTTCACAATTTGAATTCAACATATAGTATTAACACCAATTTATCATTTTAACAAACTTAGGTAATTTGTGGTTATTTAAGGTCGAAGTATAGTGAAGGGTCAATTTGCAAACTATTTTAGATTCAGGGCCAATTTGCAAATAATAAAACTATTTCTTTTAGTTCCTAAATAAAACAACAGAGGTGCGCTGCTCTTCCCGCACCAGGGGACCCGACGAAGCAACATGGCCGAAGCAGCAACCTTCAGCGACCAGTAGCAAATAGAACCCGAGCGGAGGAACAGCGTACAGAGCAGGGAGCCTCCCGCCGGTGTTCCCAGTTCCGGCGATCAACAGGGCAGGAAACAGAACAGAACAGAGAAAGGAAAGAACAGAACGGCAAGAACGAATTCGTAAATCTCATATTCCAAGCTTAATTCAATTCAACACATTCAAAAATTGAGATTGCGAATCCAACGACAATTGATTGAAAACATATTAACAAATACTAATCTACGAATCAATTTTAACGAGAGAAACCACCACTCACCTCAATTCGATCGACAAAGAATCTAAGTGACAACTAGATTCCGCCGAAGAACCCTGGCAATGTCAGGCGAAGGTCTCCTGCGATTCCTCTGCTCTGGAGTCTGGAAGGTAGTTGCGTGGGAAGAAGAAGAGGGAACGATTATATACGGAGTACATAAATTCCTATTCGTAACCGAAACACGTTTCTTTCCCCCCTTTGTATTTATTAGTGTTATTATTATATTATTAAATTTCTTTACATTAATTTATTGAACTCAATTCACTATTTTCCTCACCGCGGTTCACACGAAATTCCAAACTTGGCAAATAATATACCGTTGTTCACCTTTTCTCGAGACCTACCCAAAAACCTAATTTTTAATTAAAATAGTCAACTTTACAAATAATTCATATTTTGAAGTCAATTAATAATATATTCATTTTTATTAAAATAACGGCTAACTACTAATCCGGGTTTCAGTGCGTTGCAGGATAAATAGTCCCGACCCGTTTAAAACCTGTACCGATTAAAAAATAAATAATATTTAATATTATATTTTACCACAAGTCAACACTAGTACTCCAATTGTGGAGTTTAGCCCAAGACCGCCCAAGTACCCAACACTCCTTCCAATATACCCTAATTAGTAATAATAATAATTCACAAACACCACTTATCTCAATTTCTCTTCTCTGTCTGCTAGTAATTGACGGAATTGGATCGGAAACAGTAGAATTTCAATCGCAATATCCTTTTCCCTTCGTCCTTGATTTCACTGCTTCCCTTCTTTTGTGCAAATGAGTGCTTCTCTAAATCGCCCTATTCATAAGAATCATCATCCTCTTCCTCCTTAATTATTTTCTTTTTTTATGCATATTTTCTTTTTTTTGCTTTAACTTTTATCTCTAGTCTTGTCATTTTAGTTTTATTTTACATTATATATAATCAATTTGTCAAGCTTCTTCTCATAACTATTCAATTGTGATCCAGAGAATGAATTTAAGTGAGCAAACTCCATGCATCATTACTATAGAAATTGAAGTTGATGGTTCAAATTCTGAGAATGAAGATCTATCCAAGGTTTGGCTTGATATGAAGAGACTTAAAACTCCAGGAGGTTATGTTGCTGTATGTAACCATTGCAAAAAAAAATGGTAGGGGGTGGCAGTAGTGAGACCACTCACTTGAATAAACACATTTCCAGGTGCACATCTTGAAAAGAGAGGAGTGATGTGCATCAAGTTTTTCAATTTGAAAAAAGTGTTTTGAATGATGATGCTAAAATTGTCAATTTTAAGTTTGATCAGAAGAGGAGTCGAATGGACTATGGTATAGCTTTAATAAAACACAAATATCCATTTAACATGGCTGAGCATGAGTATTTCAAGGTTTTTGTCAATAATTTAAACCCAAAATTTAAGTTGGTTTCTCGAAATACTGTAAGGGTAGATGTGATTAATGTTTACAAAGAAGAAAAAGAAAAGATGTATAAGGTTTGGAAGATGTGGATGGAAAGATAAGTGTCACCACTGATTTATGGACTTCAGACCATCAGAATATTGTGTATGTTTGTTTGACAGCTCATTTTATTGATGAACATTGGGTGTTGAAAAAACGTATTCAATCGTTCAAGTCTATTCCATATCCCCATGATGGCGAATCTTTATTTAGATTTATTTCAGATATATTATTGGAGTGGAATATTGACAAGAGGTTGTCATCTATTGTTGTCGATGATGCAACATCTAATGATTCAATGGTTAAATCTTTAAAATCTTGGCTCTTGGATAAATCATTGCTCCATTTGAGAGGTGAATTATTTCATGTTAGATGTAGTGCACAAATTCAAAATTTGGTTGTGCAAGATGGATTAAGTGTTGTTGCAGGGTTGCTTCAGAAAATTAGAAATACCATCAAATACTTGAAAAAGTCTCCTTCTGCAAACCATAAGTTTGAGAGTGCAATTGTTCAATGTAAGTTGAAAAACAAGAAAAGAGCTTGTTTGGATGTTGCTAACAGATGGAATTCAACTTTTTTTGTTGTTGGAGGCATGTTTGCCTTTAAAGGAAGCTTATTGTCGTTTAGAGCAGTTAGACAAAAACTACAAGCATAATCCTTCAGAAGATGATTGGAAAGTTGCTAGCATTATTCATGGGTGTTTGAAAAAGTTCTATGATGCCACATGTCATTTTAGTGGCAGTAAGTTTCCTAGTGCAAATGTGTTCTTCCGAGATACATGCAGCCTTAGTTTAAAGTTGAGGCAATGGGAGAATAGTGAGTATGACTTCATTCAAAAAAGGGCAGTTCGTAGGTGAATTAAATATGAAAAATATTGGGACGAATGTTCCTTGGTGTTGGCAATTGCTGTCGTCCTTGATCCAAGGTATAAGTTGGCTTTAGTGGAATTTTACTACAATGCACTTCATGGGGCAGGTAAATGAAGTCACTTGGATAGGATTTTTGATGCAATAGAAGAGTTATTTGTTGAGTATGGGGTGATTTATATCCTTCTGATAGTATGGATGATGTATTTGTTGAAACATTGGGCAACAAATTAGTAGATGTGGTGGATGAAGATGACATGGCTTCATTTGACAATTGGTACAAAGAGTCTTCTCTAAATCCTATTGCTCCAAAAAAATCTGAGTTGAAAATATGTTTGGATGAGCCCGTAGTTTCTAGGAAAGAAGATTTTCAAATATTACTTTAGTGCAAAGCAAACAGTCATAAATTTCCAATTCTATCCAAAATTGCTCGTGATGTACTTGCAATTCCAGTGACAACTGTAGCATCCGAATCAACATTCAATGTGGGAGGAAGGGTGATTGATGAGACTCGGTTATCTTTGCTTCCGGAAGTTATAGAAACATTAGTAACAACAACAGATTGGTTACCATCAAAGAAGAAAAATGGTAAAATCACATTTAACTTTTTTTTTTTGACCATACATTTAACTTTTATTTTTTGTTAAAATATGACAATTGTGAGATTTCAAAGCTTATTTTTTTGTTTATTATCTTAGACTCAAAAGAACATGAAGAGTAGGGTGATGTACTGATGCATGAGATGGTATTTTGATAAGATTATTTTAATTTAAAACTTCTAGAAGGGCTCAAGTTTTGTATATTTCAGAATTGATGCATGCATGTTTGTCTTTTTCTAAATTTTGTGGCATCATTCTTGATTAGCTATGTTCAATGTCATATGAATCTAGATAAATTTAGATGTTGATAATATTTCAAAATTTATGTTTACAATTTTATTATTACTTTTTGTGTTTTTGTTGCAGGTTTTTGATAAAGAAGGTTGATTGTAGATTATAAGTCTTATAAATTTTTTGCTGCTGTTTCATGTGCATCTTTACTTAAAGCTTTCATTTAAAACATTGTGTAAAAACTTGAGAGCTCTGATAGTCTTTTGTTTTGTGCTCTCTTTCTGTTTCATAAAGTTGAAATGTTTTTATTCCAGTTATGTTGTTTTTTTACTTCTCATATTCTACATGAATTTCCTTCATATTTTGCTCCCATTCTCTCATTCGATGTGTTTCATATTTTTTTTTACACTAACTTGATTTTAAAATACGTTAACTTTTATCATGGGTATACCCGACCCGATACCGCGACCTATTGGGTCCAAATCTATGATTATACTCCAAGACCCGTCGGGTAAATGGGTACGGGTTAAGATCAATTTTTTTTAAACAGTACACGAAGAGACCACTATGGACCGACCCGAACCCGACCATTGACATGCCTAGTATGAGGTAATAAGAAATTCAAGATTAAAATGTTGAGTATGGAATAAATGTGTTATCTAAGAAAATTGTAAGTCTTTATTATATTTAAGGATAAATTTCAAAATAGAATTTTTTTGTAAGAATGACTTAAACTAAAAATATTTTACACCAATGAAAATCAAAAGTCATCTATATAGGGGTGAACGGTATGAACGCGGTAAAATCAAATTTCTACCAAAAGATGCTTATGTGGCACTTTGGCAAACAAGTAACACCATACCTTCCATTTTGGTATCAAAACAATTTGTGATGGTTCTTAACCACCAAAAATATTATATAAAGTTTAGAGAGAGAATGCAAAATAGGAGTATATTTTCAGATCCTTTACAATGAGGGGCCTTTGCCCTTTTATAGAGTACACAATACAATTGGTCAAAGCCCTCTGATCGAGGTTCGTCGCTTAGCGGACGTCACCTGTGTAACGCCCCAAAACATACTCTCGAATTATTAATGAATAATTATTCAATTAATCAAATTTGTTTTGATTAAAATAAATTGTTATTGGGCTTTGGGCCGCTACAAAAGATGTTTTGATATCCATTATCACAATCTGGATAAATCTCAAAGAGATAAATCCAATATGTTGACTATTTGTGTGGTCTTGATTGGGATCCTGAGTACAAACCCAAATTAAGAGTAAATAAAAGATTTGTTTATAATGTGAATATTGAAATGATTTATCAAAATAAATCATGACAATAAGTAATAAAAATTAAATGTGAGAACCTTTTATGATAAAGGTCAATAAAATCAATTTTGACTATGTCAAAGTCAAACACCCAAAAATATGTTAGAAAAAGTATTACAAATAATTATGAAAATTATATCGTTGGATTGAGTTTAACTATACGATCGCAATGGTGCAAACAGATTTCAATTCGGAGAAAGTTAGACCAAAAAGTCTTTCCCGACTGGTGCCAATTTAGTCCTAATCAAGGACTTACGTTGAAATCAGAAAGATCGGGCCGTCCGCTCCACTGAGAAGCCAAAACAGTGTTAGGGAGGTCATCTCCCATGGCTTCTTCCCACTCCTTCTTCCTATATAAACCCCCAATTGTTCACCATTTCACAGCATTCTTCCTCCAAAAGAGAGACTTGAGTGTAGAGAGTGAAGTTGTGCTGTCCAGAGAGCTTCCCGTCGCCGGAGCTAGCCACAATCCACACCAGAAGTTTTGCCGAAAAATTCTCAAAACCTTCGTTAAGGTTCGAGGTAAGCCCGTAGATATATCTAGTGACTAGAATGTTCGTAAAGATCGTTTCTACGTTCATAAACGGTCGTTTGGTTGAGTTTCGTGTTTAACATGCTTGAAGAACAAAGAATCATAAACAATGAAATTGATGTTAAAACTATGAATTAATGATTCCAAAATGATCTATGAACCTTGGAGAAAATCTCTATATAGTTTCGTTGAAGTTCGGTAACCAAAAATGGTATTTCCGAAAAATGGACCGAAGGTTGTAGAAGATGAACAGTAAGCTGAAAAATACTGCCTGGATCGATCCTAAGGCTGGGATCGATCCTCTGGAATGATTTTTACATATCATGGATCGATCCAGAGGGCTAGATCGATCCCCCAAAGTTTTGATCTGGAAATTTGTCCGAAAATGCTATTTTTGAGCTCTAAAATCTTATTTTTGATACCAATTGATTATGATCATTATAAAGACGATTTTTCACAATAAAAATGATGTTTTTAACAAATAAAAATGTTATGTGATGCATGACGGTAAGTTCAGGTATTAACACTCGAAGCTAGGCCGTTAATTGTTATCGATTGTTATGTTAATTGATGATTATTTTAAATAATTATTTTGGATGAATATGAATAATGAGCCTACTGATTAAAATGCTTATGGATGATTGAACCATGAGTAAAATGAATACATTGATAATTATGAAATGGTGTGTAATGTTAAGGGTGTCTAGAAGAACTCTAAGATATACTCATTTAGATAATTGATGTTAAGGCTATCTAGAAGACCTCCAGAATAGATCTCATATTAGTATGGATTTGTGAAACATGAATATTCAGTGTTTGGATAAAAATGTAATAACGGAATTCGTAGACCAAACTAGAGAATCACTCGTTTAGAAATACTTTGACTCAATGATGGTTAATCATTGTATTGTTGTTGCCTTAAACTAATTATAGTTTAAGCATCTGAGAATTTTTCTTGCCTTAAACTGATTATGGTTTAAGCGGCAGAGAACTGTTGCCTTAAACTGATTATGGTTTAAGCGTCGGAGAGCTATTGCCTTAAACTGATCATGGTTTAAGCGTCGGAGAATTGTTTGCCTTAAACTAATCATAGTTTAAACGTCTGAGAATGAATTTGTGATTTGGCCTTAGACTAAGAATAGCTAAGAGCGGTGTTATAATCTGGCCTTAGACTAAGAATAGCTAAGAGCGGTTTTATGATTTGGTCTTAGACTAAGAATAGCTAAGAGCATTGTTACTATTTGGCCTTAGATTAAGAATAATTTAAGAATACTATCGAAATAATATCTGAATTGAATAAAATGTGTTGAATTGAACTGAACAATATCAAAACTGTGAATGTCTGAAATGAACATTGTGTGCATGATATCAAATGATTTGATTATGAATTTAGATTCAGTTAATATGGATGTTCGACGCATTAGATATGCTTACTCAGCTTTATTGCTGAGTGTGTAGTGTGTTTTATTTACTACACGCAGAGAAACAGAAAGAGCTATGTGATCATGGTGGTAGATGGGGCGAGATTGTCGGGATGAATGTGACAAGTTTGAAATGATTTATGATATGTCAATACTCCCTCCGTCCGGTAATCTTCTTCTCGGGTTGACTCGGCACGCCTATTTAGGAATTAAAAAAAAGTAAAAAGGTTCCAAGAATGCCCTTGCTTTTATTCTTCAAAAAGTAGTATCCATTAAAGGCATAAAAGGGATGAAGGGGATGATTAATGTTTCATTTTCCCAAAAGCATTAATGCTATACGGAACATTGATTAAATTGGAATACAATTAAAGTTTCCCCCCATTACAAAAACAAATCCCCCCCTTAAGATTTTCATTTTCCCACCCTTTTTTCATTCTTAAAGCAAATAAATAGCCACCCTAAACTCTCATTTCTTTTCCAGTCTTCAATGGATTCTTCACATCCATTTTATAATTTTTTTCCTTTTTTGAATCACCTCTTCTCCAACACTCCCATGCCGTTTTTGTCCAAAACTCTCATGAGCAGAAACCTTCCTTTTCTGCCCAAAATTCTCATGAGCAGCAACATTCCATTTCGACTCAGCAGTGGCTTGATTTGCAGCAATCATATGTAACCCCTCATGTTGCCCAAGAGGCTTCTGGAGAACACCTGCAAAAAGAAAATACTTCCAATTTAGTCCACAAGCATCTTACTAACTCTGAGAGACAATCCATTGTCAATGAGTTAATGCTACATTCAACATAAAGAGCGGGCGGGGAACATGTGGCTAAGCAAGGCATGATAAACAAAATTGCATCTGCTTACAATATTTCACGTAAAACAGTTTCATCCATATGGAGCGTGGCTAAGAAACAAATTAAGGAAGGTTTGCCAGTCAATGTGAACAGTAGGGTGCAGGGTAATTCAGGTAGAAAATGAATTTTTAAGGATTTAAGCTCAATACCAGATATCCCTCTTCGTATGAGGACAAATATTCGATCGTTTGCCGCTGCAAAGGGCATCCCTAAGTCTACAATGCATGAAATGGTCAAAAAAGGTATGCTTCGAAGCTACTCAAATGCAATCAAACCATTTCTCATTAAGGATAATAAGAAACAAAGAATATAGTTTGTTGTAGATCAAATAAATCTTGAGACATTGGCCACACAGCCCACTATTAATAGTTTTTGTAATGTTATTCACATTGACGAGAAATGGTTTTATATGTCAAGTACTTCTCAAAAGTTTTACTTGGGCTTAGTTGAGATTGACCCTCATAGGACTTGTAAGTCTAAAAGGTTCATAACTAAGGTTATGTTCCTAGCTGCAGTTGGTAGTCCAATACTAGGAGAAAATGGACATGCTATTTGGGATGGAAAGATTGATATTTTTCCTTTTATTGAGATTGTGACAGCAAAAAGAAAAAGCAAAAACAGGGAAACAGGAGCTATGGAGACAAAGGCAGTATTAAGTGTAACTAAATCAGTTACGAAAGACATGCTACTCCACAAGGTTCTTCCTGCAATTAAAGCAAAATGGCCAATACACGTAAGTGAAGATATAGTAATCCAACAAGATAACGCAAGGCCACACATCTCAGGGTTGGATGAGGACTTCTTGGAAGCGGCCAACACCGATGGCTTTAATATTACACTGTCTAACCAACCCCCTAACTCCCCTGACTTGATCATTTTAGATTTGGGTTTTTTTGCAGCAATACAATCTGTGAAAAATACAAATGCTCCAACTAGTGTCATTGATTTAGTGGCAGCGGTAAACGAGAGCTTCAAACAACTATCCGCCCACACACTTAACAAGGTATGGGTGAGCTACCAATTGGTGATGCAAGAAGTTATAAAGGTCGGGGGAGGGAACAACTATAGACTTCCACATGCATCAAAGGATAAACTATCTAGAGAGGACCGATTGCCTTATTTTATACAACTATAAGACGGGCTCTATAATGCTGCTATGGAAAAATTGGCCCAAACCTCAACACTAAATGCAGAGCATATGGACACTAATGAAGATGATGTAGGAACATTTGGATTTTTCCTTTTTTGAAGTCAAATAGTGACTTTTTTTCATTTTTAAAGCACAAAAGATGATAGTGGGCATGGGCAGTGGTTTTTTTTGTTTTGTATCCATATTCATCACAGATTTTAAATACCCAAAATCAGTGCTCATAAAGAACAATAATCAGTGCATTTATCAGAAAATAATTTAAATACCCAAATCATACTAAGAATGCAATTAGTCAAAACAATGATTTCAATAGTGGGAATTGAAGTGAAAATTTAAAGAGGCAAAATAGTAAGAACAAAAGCTTACTCAGAAACTCCATGGAAGTAGATCCCCTAGGAGGAGGAAGAAGCAAATTCAATATCGTGTTGTCACACAGGTAGAGTGAGGTTGGAACAGGAAGTGTCTTACATAAGAGCTCTCAGTCCATTGTCTTGGGTCCGGAAAGCAAGGGAGTAGAGCCCCTTTGCGGAAGAATCGAGGCTGTTTTAGACTTAATCTCTTTTTCATCTTCTTGTTTGGGGTAGTCTACTCCGTTGTACGAAACAAACACCGCCACTTCACAATCTCCACACCACTCTCCTTACATGCACTTGGAAGCATCTTGAAGATATCGGGAGTTTCAGGAATAACAGAGAGAAGATGAAAATCCTCGAATTCCATTTAAAATTACCAATTGTGTAGTGTGAGGAAAAGTTGAAAGAGGATGATGAAAAAATGCAGAGGAGAAGATGAGAGATAAAGCATTATTGGGAGAATAAAGGAGTGGGTGTAATAAATAGGGGGTGATAGCAACGGAGAAAAAAGTGAAGTGGTGGAGTGATTTAATGTGGGTTGGTATTAAAGTAGAGGGTATTATAGATATTTCAAATTGAAAAGTAGGTTAAAAAAAGAAATGGGAAGAAGAGAAGGAACAAACTAGGACTAAACCATATGTTATATCTTTAAAATAGGATTTCAAACTTAAACTCCTCTAAATAGGAGTAAAACATAAATAATAAAACAAAAAAATACTCCCCACATACACATTTTTTAAGATGCATGCGATTATATCAGCGGTGGCTGCATGCGACTATACCAGTGATTACATTTTTTTTGTAAGGACAATGATCAGATTTTAACTTAAGGAGCACTATACTAAGTAACTGCATGGGACTATTTTTTTTTGCAGTCATGTTTTTTATTTTTTTATTTTTTTATTTTTTTATTTTTATAAAAAGTTAAAATAAAGATTTTAACTTAATTAATAAAACAAAAAAATGTTCCCCGCATGCACTGTATCTGCGGCCAATACCAGTGGTGGCCAAGTTCAAAACTAAAAAAATTTGGCCAATTTCACAACAGCATGCAACTGACAGCGACGCCCACTATCACAATCGCCGTCGACAGTGATGCCCACCGCCGCCATCGTTGCCGCCACATACTTGCCACTATCACTTGAATCTCCACCACCGCCGTCCTCTGCTCTGCCGCACCGCTACAAAGAAACCTGCCATTGACGCTTTTGATTTTTCGTCGTCATCGCTGACAATATCACTACTATATACCATTATCAACAATACTACCATCACAATCTGCACCATTGTCGCCACAGTGCCACATTAATAGTCAATATAGTGTCAAAAAAGACATAATAATGTCAAACATGGCACCATGTAATGTCACATATGACAATATATAATACCATAGATACCCATATATAATGCCACATATATGCTCATATATATTAATGTTACAATGTTAAATTCAATGACACTGTGTACCTTTTTTATTATTGCAAAAAACTAATCTTCGGCATCATTTCATATATATACGGCGGTGGCCATTGATAATGGTTAAATGTTCCTTATTAATAAAACAAAGACTGGATGGGCTATTGTAATAATACATAGAAATGCATAGCATGAGTGGCAATCGAATCTACAATGCCAAATGCGACAATCACAATGACAAACATATCACTACATAATGACAAACTTGTTCCTGTATAATGTCAAAAACAAAATACCAATTCAGTTCTATTATTTTAAAATCAAAATTTAATAAGAAGGAATAGAAATCAAAGTGCCCAGATCGTATATCTATCTTTTACTAATGTACTTCCTAACATTTTGCGGACCCCATGAAAAAGAACAATTGGAAGCTCTGATTCATTCTTAATATGTGAAAAAGACCAATTGGAGATATTAAGATGGACAGGCGAATCATGCAGCACAACTGGGACACATGTTAGAATGTGTAGAATAAGAGAGAAAAAGGAGCATGATAGTGTTTGATCTGAAAGCGGTGAAAGCCCGGTTTAGTAGAGATTAGAATAATTACTCCTATTTAGGAGAGTTTAAGTTTGAGATCCTATTTTGGGATATGACATATCTTTTACTCCTTTTTAGGGGGGTTTCACTATTTTTGGATGGATCAAAAAAGAAAATAGGAAGAATTTTTTTTGGACGGAGGGAGTATTAAATTCGCTTCCGCAATATTGTTGATTACTCCATAATGTATATGTTATGAAAAATATTATTGTGATAAATAAAGTATGTTTGAAAAGTTTTAGATTTTTATGATTACCAAGTTAAATACTTTAGTCTGAAAAGGGCTGCAGACCTGGACGGATTGGAGTGTTACAACCTGACCTTCCGTCTTGTCCCTCTCGATCATATCGCTATCGTCAGGTCCCTATCGCCGGTTGTTATCTTCTTGTTGCTGTCATGCAGTCCGAGCCAAGTTTGGGGGGCCGAGCCGAGCGCTCATTCCTATGGACGAGGGGCCCAGCCGACGTCAGACCTAAGCCGACGTGGGGTTATCCTCCGTCGATTTGGTAAAAGCATGTATGCACTTGCCTTTCATGATGGAGACTTAAGCATAACTCTTCCATGGTTTTACTAAAAAAATCTAGTACTTTTGTTTGTCAATTTATTTTTTTTATTAAAAAAATCTAGTAAATGACATAAAAATGGAAGCATTTTTATTCTTTTTTAAATTTTTTGATATAATTTTCTTTTATGTAGTTTTTGTGGTAAGTAATGTAGTTTTATTAGATCAAAGAAATATTAACTTGTTAATTAAATATTTACTCTTTATTTTAGAATTAATTATCTTTAAAGAGATTAATTTTATATTAAGTAGTATTAGTTAAAGGTAATAATTTAAAAACTATTTTCCAATTATAATTAGTGTAGTTACTTATTTGAAAATAGTTACGATAAGTTGGTGAATCGGCACTTGTATACCTTCACGTATAGCAAGAAAAGTATGAAAATCAAGAAATCTGATGTGACAAGGATTGTGGAAGAGAGAGATAACCCCGTAAGAAAAGTAAATAGGTTATGTATACCCGCCACCATAAAAATTATTATTATTGATGATTACCTTTGAATACAAGAGTTACATTTTACATATATAGTAAAAACACTACAAGGTAATAAATAACCCTTAATGCAAGGCTCATTGCCAGGAGATGTTACATGCCTTACATCTGTCAAACAAGAGTTACACACCATATTAGGCAAACAATAATATGAATTAATTATGAATTGGTTAGTATGAGTTATCCTTTACAGGCTCCCGCAAGATGGGGTATCCGTCGGAGACACCAATCTTGGAACGAAACTTTTGAAACATAGCATGACCCAGAGATTTTGTAAGAGTATCTGCATTTTGTTGAGCTGTTGGGACATGCTCGACACAAAACTTACCAGCGGATACCAAATCTCGGACAAAGAAATAATCAAGTGCAAGATGCTTCATTCAAGAGTGAAACACAAGGATTTTTACGGACATACACATCACTAAGATTATCTCAGAAAAGACGAGGAGCAGGCACCACGCACCAACCCTACACAAAACTCATGAAAGAGACTCTGAACCTAAGCAAGTTCAGTCACAACATTGGCCAGTGCACAATATTTAGCCTCAGTCAAAGATCGGGAAACAATTTTCTGACGAGATGATTTCCAGGAAATAATATTGGAGCCAAGATAAAGTACATAGTTGTTCGTAGAGTGGCCACCATCATTAACACCCCCAGTCTGCAATCCAAAAGGCAGAAACCTATAGAGATACTTTCTAAGGGAAAAACAACCCATGAAATTAAACAAAGTGAACTTGAGATAGCAAAGGAGGACACGTTTGAGTTCCTCCCAATGAGCTGTGGTGGGAACATGCATATACTGTGAGAGAGGATTGACTGCAAAGGAAATATTTTGTTGGGTAATTAAGGGAGAGATACTGTAACCATCCCAGCACTCAACGATAAGCCGCAACATCGGTAAGAGGGGCTGCCATGGTAGAAATAGGAACATGAGCCATCATGGGTGTAGAAGTGCCTTTCGAATTCGCCATGTTCGTGGTCTCAAGAATGTTTGAGACGTACTAGGTCTGAGATAGAAACATACCAGTAGGTGTAGGAATAACCTCAACACCGAGAAAATGACTGAGTTGACCTAGATCCTTCACAGAAAATCTGCATGACAATGTCTCAATAAAAAATAATGAACCGAGGAGAGTTCCACGTAAGAACAATGTCATCCACATAAACAAAAAATATGCCAACACAAAGTCTCTTTGCATACACGAATAGAGAGGAGTCAACCCTTGACTTACAAAACCTAATATAAGTAGATAAGGAGTCATACCACGCTAGTGGAGCCTATTTTAGACCATAAATAGCTTTGGATAAATGAGAAACACGCGAGGGTAGATCTAGATGAACATAGCCAGGTGGTTGCTCCATAAACCCTTGTTTAAACAGCTTGCCATTAAGAAATGCATTATTAATATCTAATTGCCTCAATGGTTAGTGGTGGAAAATGCATAATTTAAAACAAGTAAAATTGTAACAGGCTTCATAATTGGACTAAATGTTTCAAAATAATCACATCCAAGCTAATGTAAGTAACCCTTAGCCACGAGTTAGGCTTTGAAGCGATTGATAGAGCCATCCGGAAGCCATTTGATACAGAAGACCCACTTACACCCAATCCGGAGTTGTACCCCCGAGGCACTAATTCCCACGTCGTATTTTTAGTAAGGCCTACTACTCTGCTTGCATTGTCGTTTGCCAACATGGATCCTTGAGAGCCTTAGCAATTGTTTTTGGTTCAAAAGACTCGGGGAGTGGATGACGAGAGGTTACATTGGCGTGTGGGGATCCCATGACAAAAGTGGGATTAAAGATTTTGGATTTTGGGAAGACGTTGACAAACCAGAGGAGATACGATAGGAGAGGGGGTTGACACGGGTGTAGACTGGTCAGTAGACGAGATAAAAAAAAGTGGGGGTGGCTACTAGGAGGTCAGAAGTGGGGCTGGTGTACTGGTAATGGGGTGGGGACTTGTGGTAGATATCTACTGGAGGTGTGAAGCTAAAGACACCACTCCCAGATGCGCGACCATGACTATTGCAACGAGGGTCTGGGAAGGAACAAAGAGAGACTAAGATGAAAACAGATAAATGGTAGGAACAAACTTTACATGTCAAGAAACATATAGACGATTTGTATGGGAATCTAGGCATATATAGGCTGATTGAGTAGTGGAATAACCAACAACTACACACAGACGTGACTTTGTATGAAGTTTGGATGTGTTGTATGGATAGAGCCACGGATAACATAAACACCAAAACGGTGGAACTTTGAGTTTGTTCGGCCTAGTATGAAAAAGAAGATGATACGGACTCCAGTTTTGTAAGAGAGGAGTGATAATGTGATTTATGAGGTAAACGGTTATTTGAAACGCATAAGGACAATAATCAAGGCATAGACGCATGTATGGTGAGGTAAGGCCAAACCCGTTTCAACGACATGGCGATGATGCTGTTTAGATGTACCATTATGCTCAGGCGTGTATGGAGGAGTAGTAAAGTGAGACACACCTTGAGACTTAAGGAATGGATGAAGTTAGTTTAATATATTCACCATCATGGACCTGTGTTGTGACAAACCCGACCTAATTCCAGCGGATCATCACTCGGTGGCCCAAACCTTCTACATGCCAATTAGAACTGTGGGCTGCAGCGGTACCTTCGATTTGGGTCTCTCGATTGGTCCAACAGCCCATCACATATTACCGGTTAATTTTTTGGGATCAAAACCACCCAATTTAATTTATTTACTTTGAACTTCATGATATAAAAAAGAGTCTGAAAAATATTGAATGGTGAAAAGTGAGTAGTCAGAATTTTTTTAGAAGATAAAGAAGTAATTTGGAACAAATGTTCATTTTTTAAAGGGAGAGAGAAAAATAAGAAAACAATTTTTGAACTAATGAAAAAAACAGTAGAAAATCTTTATGGAAGAGAAGTACAATTGTAGAAAATAATAATGGAGAATAATTCTATATTGAATGACTTCGTTTATTGATACAATCTACATGTGTATATATACAACAATAGTTTCCAAAACATATTAGGAAACATATATGGAGTTCTACTTCTACAAGGAAACAAATTAAGATGAGATATATACAAACATATTCCAATACTCCCCCTCAAGTTGGAGCATGAAGATCAATAATGCCCAACTTGGATAGCAGAAATCGGAAGAGTGGGCCAGAAAGTGCCTTTGTAAAAATGTCAGCAATCTGAAGACGAGTAGGAACGTAGGCCGTAACGACCTGTTGACGGAGAAGACACTCACGAACAATATTGCAATCAATATCAATGTTTTTGGAGCGTTCATGAAATACGGGATTGGCAGCAATGAATAATGCAGATTTATTGTCACAGTAGAGCTTAGGGATGGCGACGCACGGCATGGATAGGGCTACAAGAAGGCCGCGGATCCAACGAAGCTCAGCACAAGTGTTTGCCATGGCTCGATATTCTGCTTCAGCCGATGAGCGTGACACGGTTGTTTGTTTCTTGGAACGCCATGAGATCTGCGAACCCGCAATGAGGATGAAGTAGCCAGTAACGGATCTCCGTGTAAGGGGACAACTTGCCCAATCAGAGTCGGAGTAAGCGGTAAGAGCCAGATTGCTGTCACTGCGGAGGAGAATGCCTTGACCCGGATGTCCTTTAAGATAACAAAGAACATGGAGAGCGGCATCGAGATTGTTAGAATAAGTGCCCTTCGCTATAGGGGGGTGAATAGTGAGGCACGAGAATGTTTATAAATTTTCTCGGAATAAAAATCGCAGGGATAAAGTAAAGAGCGGAATAAAAAGGAGTAAAGGGAGCACACCAAGATTTACCCTGGTTCACCACAACTTGTGGCTAATCCAGCCTCCCGAGAGACTCTCTCGAGCTACACTACTTCCGTTAAGCTTACGGGTGCTTAACAAACTGTTACAACCTGAGAACTCGAGTCCCACGAGCCTCAATACACTTGCTCGGAGATACCGCACTCCAAGACTTCAACCCGAAGGAAAATACCTTTCCTTCGTACAACCAAGGGAAACAAGCTTCCCTAAACGTGTTTACAACACTAAAAACACTCAAGAACAAGACTCTCTTTAAGAGGAGATGTTGAGTAAACTATATACGCTCAAGAACAACTCAAACTTCACAAATTGGCTCTAGAAAGCTATGGAAAATGATGTTGTTTGGATGCAATGATGATATGAATAAAGTGAAGTGAATTGATGAGAAAAGCAGACCCAAACACCCCTTTTTATAGTGCCAAAATAGGCTCCAACGGACCAATACATTAAAGGGGTGATTGGCTTGATTTATGGGATTGAATAAATTTGGGATCTGCAGGATATTGGCTTCCCATCGANTTGAGGGACTGCTTACCCATCGATGGGAAGATCTTCCCATCGCTGGGTGGCATGATTCTGGAATCCCGGGATCACTTACCCATGCATGGGTGAAATCTACCATCGCTGGGTAGATGGCTAGCCCAGAACCATGGCCTAGCTGACCGGCGCTGAAACCCGACCGAAATATGCAAAGTTCTCCAAAGTAAAAACTAAGTATATAAAACACTTATTTAATGTATTTTGATGTCAAAACAAGCTTTGTAAGTTGAAAACCACGTCGATAAGGTAAAAACCACGGTTGACCAAGTCAACACCGTACACGGGTGGTTTTCACCAAAAGACAAAACCAAAAGGTGGTTTTCATGATGTTTTGATTGGAGAACCATTTAAATGCATTAAAAAACAATTCCTACACAAAAAGACTTGAAAACCACTTCATTTAAGTAAAAACCACGGCTAGCCAAGTTTATGTCGTTTCGCATGGTTTTTATCAAACGACAAAAAGCGAAAGGTGGTTTTTGAAGTGTTTTTGTTGGAGAACCGTTTAAACATGCCAAAGAGTGAAAGCAGATCATAAAATGCTGAAAACCACTTGGTTGGTTCGGATGCCAAAAACCAAACCCGACAACCGAAAGCCGAACGCTGGTTTCTGAAAGCCGAACACTGGATGGCTTGGTTTTTGGTTTGGGCGAACACCAAGTGTTTTTAATGACTTAAATAAGTTTAAAACCATTTTTATGATGTAAGAAATGCAATGAGAGTTTTTTAGCCTAAAGAGCCAAAGTGTAAGGATTGGGTCGGTCTTGATCACAATAAAGACCGACTCAATAACACTAAGACTACGGTCTTCGTTCTTGGTCTTCTTTTGTCCCTTGTTCTCTTTCTTCTCATCTTTGGTTCTCGCCTTGTATATTCAATGACTTGTCTCGTTCACGGCGGTTTGGCATTATCAAAACCTGTCATAACAACGAACACGGCTTTAGTACGAAAACGTGATGAACCCGTGTTTCAACAGACCTCTTACTGGTTCAGCACTTAATGGTTCAAACCTCTTACTGGTTCAGCACTTACCGATTCAGAAGTTGCCAAACAGCCCCTAAGATTATGCCTAGCCATAATCTCAAAACATTTTTCCAGGTCTTGAGCATGCGTGCCTGCTGCCCTGCTCTTCACCAGCATATCATCGACATAGGCCTCCATGGTCCGTCCAAGCAAAGGCCTGAACAATTTGTTGACCATCCTCTAGTAAGTTTCCCCTGAGTTTTTCAACCCAAAGGCCATCACCTTGTAACAGTATGTCCCATCCGGGGTGAGGAATGCCGTCTTCTCCTCATCATCCTCCGCCATGAAGATTTGGTGATACCCCTTAAAGGCATCCATGAAGCTAAGCAGCTCACACCCGGGGGTTTCATCAACCATTTGGTCCGGGCTAGGGAGAGGGTAAGAGTCCATTGGACATGCCTTGTTGAGGTCTGTATAGTCCACGCACATCCTCCCGGTATCACCGTTTGGGGCCAGGACAACATTGGCCAGCCATTCAGGGTAGTTTACTTCCCTGATATGACCTACCTCAAGTAGGTCCTTTCTTTCTTCACAAAGTCTCTCCTTTCACTTGCCAAGAATCTCTTCTTCTGTCTTACAGGCCTAGACCCCTCAAGAATAGAGAGACGATGGCAAATGACTGACCGGTCAATTCCGGGCATATCAGCAACACTCCAGGCAAACAATGATTTATACCTGGTCAGCACCTGGACAATCTCAGTCCTTAGCTCCTCCTGAAGATCAGCCCCAATTTTGACCTTCCTTTCAGGATTGGAGGCATCAATCTGGATCTCCTCCGTGTTTGCATCCGGCTCGATCCTAGCCTTCTCCTCACCCTTGTCTACCTGCTGGGAGACCAGTTCAATTTGTTTGAACTGGCGGATCATCTTCTTGACTGCTTCCAGGTAGCAGGACCAGGCATTCTTTTGATCACCCCTTTCCTCCCCGATTCCATTGGGAGTGTAAAACTTCATGCATAAGTGTGCCATGGAAATAATGGCCCTGACCTGGTTGATTCCAGGCCTACCCAGAATGGCATTATGCACACATTTGATGTCGACCACAACAAATCTCATTTGTTTGGTCACTGTCCTGTTACCTGACCCCAAGGTAACCGGTAAGGTTATCTGACCTTCCGCTTCTATGCTAGCTCCAGTGAAGCCTGATAATGGAGTTTGCAATGGTCTCAACATGGACCTCTCTAGCTTCAATTTCTTGAAAGCGTCCAAGTATAAGACATTGACACTGCTCCCAGTGTCAACCAAGACTCTAGCAACATCAGCCCCGTTGATGTCCATTGTAATGACCAATGGGTCATTATGATCTCCCCCCGTCCTGGGCAGATCCCTATCGGTGAAAGTGATAGGTTCCCTCCTTGCATGCTTCCCTTGTGATTCTAGGGAAACCACCGCTACGTCCAAGATCCTGGCCCAGTTCTTCCGCTAGGAGGCAGTGTCCCCGCCTTCTGGGCCGCCGACAATCATCTCAATGAATTCTTTATCCGGCTTGTTGTTATCCTTCCCGGATTTTCTCCTTCCCTGGTCTTTTCCTTGAGGACGGGTCCAGGTGTTCGCTTTTGGGTCCTTTTTATTCCCCGTCGCGTAACCTTCCCCAAGTTCTCCCTTCAAGGCCATCTCCTTGAGCACATTCTAAATATTTCGGAAATCCGCCGTATTGTGGGAGTCGGATTGGTGGTAGGTACACCACTTCTCTGTCCAAGGTCGCTTGGGTTGCTCTCCCTTCTTCTCATCCCTTATTTGGTGGACGGACCCGTCATACGTGGCCTTTGGCTTGGACCCTCCCGTCTGGTCGTCCTTCTTTGGCTTATTGGCTTTCACCCTTGTGTAACCTTCCTCCAGTTCCCGCTTACTCTTGTTCAAGACTTCCGCCTCGGCATACTCCCATGCCGTATTGTAGGCTTCTTGATAAGAGGAGGGTGGCCTCCTACAAAATTCAGTGTAGAGGTCACGAGACCGGAAGGTATTCATCAACAAAGACATGGCTGTCTTATCATCCATCTCTTCTACTTTATCAACCTCGTCCCTCCAGCGGGTTAAGAATTGAGTCAAGGATTCCTTCTCCCTCTGCCCTACCGTGTTAAGGTAGGTGAACTTCTTCCTTTTGATGCAGTTGTCCTGGTACTTCTTGCGGAAAACTTCGGCAAGTTTCTCAAAGGACCCAATCCTGCCATGGGGAAGACCGTTAAACCATTTCACTGGTCTTCCTCTCAAGGATGAGAAGAAGAGCAAGCACTCCTCAGCATTAGTGCACCCGGCCATCTGTGCTGCATTGTGGAAGGTGTCAAGGTGGACGTTTGGATCCTCCTTTCCTGTGAACTTCTCCACGTCCAACTTGACCTTCCGCCTCAGTTTTTGTGCATGTACCCTGGCCGAAAAGGGAGATTTAGCCAGGGTGTGCTTCTTTGCTCCCGCCTTCTCTTCCACCTTTTCTTCCAGGGCACGTAGCTTTCTTGTTACGCTCCCTATCTTGTCTAAGTCATCCTCATCGTATGAGAGCTGGGTATATGTCGATGCCCTAGACTGGCTCTCAGCTTCCTCCTCGTCTAGGTTAATCGTTCCCTAGAACGACGAGATTGGACTGGACAACTCCCGCCAAGTCTTTCCATTGCGCTAGTTCGGCCCATCTCAGGACCAAGACGTAGCTTGGCAGACTTGCGGGGTCCATCCTCTTTGTCCCCTAGGCGTTTGAACGCCGAATCTCGAGTTTTGCTAGGCTTGGCTATAGCCTTACCCTTTCTTCTACGGGCCGCCTCTTGCTCCGCCTCATCGACCTCGTGGACATTTGAAGGTGCTGCTTTGTTCATGGTCCCCGTCAAATTCACCGGGCGTATAGGGACCATCCTAGGGACAAATGTCGATGGGGTCGACACCGGGGGTGGCATAATTGGTGGCGTCATGCCAGGATAGGCAAATGGCATGAAGCCCCCTGCTTGTTGCATCATGGCCATCACCTGTTGATAACCCTGTAGAGCCTGAGCAATTGCCGGGTCAGCAGCAAATTGAGCCCAGGTTGAGGGGTATGGTGTGAATGCTCCCCCAGGCGTTGTTATCGAGCCTGGGAACATTGTTGTCGTTGGCGTAGGGGTAGGGGTTGACATGATTGGGATCATGCCAATCGATCCTACCGTGGTGATCGGGGCAAAGGTCATCCCCATGCTCGTCATCACCAGTGGGATGGTAGGAGTGCTTTCACTCGCAACCTGGCTCGAAACAACGTTGTGGTTGCTTGAAGAAATGATTGTGGATATTTAGTGGGGATAAAGTTTTGACCTGGTCGAAAAAACTTTAAAAATCGCCCCCACGGTGGGCGCCAAAAATGATGGTGTAAATATAGATGGACGGGTTAACCGGGTTTGACCTGGACACAATCGATCCGTAATATAAAACACACAACAAGAACACAAAGTATGACCTAGACTGGGTAAATCTCCTCAGTCCGAATTATATTTCTTACTATGTCTCAAAAGTGTACTATTTTTAGTGAGATAAAGAATGGATCCCCTCCTCTATCCAATATCATCATATTTATAGATGAGGATTTGTGACCTTCCCTTGTTCATCCATGGACAAAATAGGAAGCTCGTGGGAAGGTCACTGTAGTTAATGGAAGCACTGCACAATCATAGACTTGCTACTAATACAACCAAAAAGCACTGTTCAATCAAAGACTAAAATGGATATTCTCAATCTAATCAACCCTGCAAAATGAGAAACATCTCTTTCACTGTGTGCCTCGTGATGGATGAGCGACGGGGTGTTCCCTTGACCTTTGACGTGGTTCGCCATGTCTGAGAGACTAGACCAATGTTTGCAAAGTAAAGTGACATGACCGGTCGCCTTCTCTCAGAGGTTACCCGGTCATTTCTTGCGCTCAACCCGTCCCTCTGGTCCTCTATAATGTCCTTCGAAACATGAGGTGACATTTTGGCTATCGCCCAAAACGTGACCGGTCACTTTCTTGAAGGAAGTGACCGGTCAACTTTTGACTCGTCTCAATCGAAGAGTTAACCTGATTTGGTGATTGATAAAAGTGACCGGTCATACTTTGACCTGTCCCTTTTGGTTCTCCGGGTCGGGTATAAGGCCATGCCTATCGTATTCAATCCTTTAACGAATTTTTGTTTATTTTAAATGACAGATCCGTTGAACTTTGTATATAATTTTACTTTTGAATCTAGCGTTGTTTGTGCTGGAGTGGAAAAGTTACTTTTTTTATGTACTAAAATGAAGTCATTTAAAAAAAAGAACTACTTGCTTTGATCCTAAAATTTCTTTACAATTTGATTTCTTTTTATAGTTTACAAACTTTTAGTGCAAATTTTAGAAAAATATATTTAATCACATAGTATGATTATGGACTATAATCCAATTAAGAGTTGCTAAAGTCATTCTAAAAATGATTATATCTAATATTTTCGATTAAATTTGTTAAAAGTGTGGAAATATGGTCATCTTTTGGGTGAATTTAGTGATACCTTCAATTAATTTAAAATGCATTTCTTATACTCCTTTTGTCCCAAAAGGTAGAGTGCTTCTATAGTGCACCTTGAGTGCATACCATTTTTGTATATAATCTCATATAAAAATTTATTTTTTTAATTTTCTTTATTTAAAAAAGTGATGCTTCTATCATAGAATTTGTTCGGAATGTAAGCAACAGTTATTATTTTGGTCTCTCGATAATTTTTGTTTGTTTCTTCATTCTAGATTTCTAGTTGACCATTTCATAAAATAAAGTATTTTTTCGCATATTATTTTGTAGAAGTTTTGATCTATTTTCAAATAGTGTAGTTTTTACTTTTTATTTTTCTACAAATTTATAAATAGAATGATTTTAAAAATAGATGATATTTTGCACATTTTACGAAATGTTAATTACATTTTGGGATAGATGGAGTATATAAAAGTTTTATACTCCGTAATTCGTAGTATTAAGTATTTATTTATTTATATAAAAATATATTTATTTTTGAAGAATATTTAAAATTATACTCCATATTTTTTTTTGATAAGATTATACTCCGTATTTAATTACTTAAAGATTGTAAAAGAAAGAAAAAAAATTGGAGTGTAAAACCTAACATAATCGCCGCTAAGAATCATGTGACCAGGAATTCTTCTCCCTCTAATGATCTCATCTACCTACCAGTCCTTCGACTGTGACTCTTCACACCTCCACCCCATCGCTGCCGGCCTGTCCTCCGGTGACTTTCCCTGCCCCTGTCGGCTCCCCTTGGAGAATGGTAAGCATTTTTATTCTTTAATGAATTTGTTTTTAAATTTGTTCTCCGTAATGGATATTGTAAATTTTTGTAAATTTTTATAGTGGAGATAAGAAATCGATTTTGTGGGGAGATTTTCAAGGAAGAAGGGACAGCTCATAAAGGATTAGAACTCTCGAATATGAAGATAATATAATACTCGTAGTTTAATATTGTAACTTCTGTAAGTTAAGTACTGATGAGGTTAGTGACCTTTTTGATAATTTTACTCCATATTGATTTTGTTCCAAGTAGGATACTCTTTTAATTGATTTTGTGAATGTTTTGTGAAACTGTTAATTATTCTTTTTCATTTTTCCAGTTATGATAATTTGACAATTCGATTTTTTTCGTACTTGGTGTTTTTTAATCATTTTTTTTTGCATTAAATTTAATGTGAGGATTATGCTCTATTAACATTTTTGATGAAGAAATTAAATTATTTGAAACTTTCTTATTTTTATTATTTGAATGTTAGATTGCCATAAAATTCATTTTGTTATTTACATTGTCTTTAACAAACATTAGGGGCTCTCCCATTGGAACCCATTAGAAATGTATAATTCATAGTTTACTTTTTATTTTTTATATTGTAATGTTTGACATGCCCTCAATGTAATTTTATAAGCTTTTCTCATTGATTCGCATTTGGAAAAGCCAATGCTTGGGTTGGGTTGCATCTCATTTTTATTATTTGTTGTAGGTTGATATCAACATGATATGTTCGGGTAATTCTGTTAAGGTAAATTGTACTTAAGTTTTTCTTATATATCCACTGTACCTTTATATTCTATCACCATGTTCCTTCAGCACCAATGTGAAAGGTGGTATGAAATCAACTGCCCTATTTAAAAAAATTATTAAGAAAGTAAAGGGTAGTGGTACCTGAAGTCTATGAAAGAAGAGTGTAAGGGGTAAATTTCACAAATAGTACCTGAACTTTAGCTGGAATTTCGAAGTAGTACCTGAACTTCAAATCCTTTCACAAAAATCCCTAAACTTACACAATCCTTTCACTAATGAGCCATTAGCCCGTTTCTAGGTTAACTTCCGGTCATTAGGGCCAAATTCGAATTTTATATATTTTAAAATTTTCAATTTGACCCCATTTCTTCTTTTCTTTTCTTCCACGCCCGCCGCCGCCGCCCGCCGGTCAAAGTCGCCGGAAAATGAACTTTTTCCGATTCCGGCGGGACCAATGTCATTCTCTTCGTCTTGAGACGAGGATCAATAATATCCAAACCATTTTGTCTAATTTGGTCTGTAACTTCTCGAATCTGAATTTTTCTACTCGAAAAAATCCTAAAATTCGAAATTGGATCCAATATTGGGGGTTTTGCAAATCTTCATCAAATCTTGCAATTGAGGGGTCCTCGGAGGTCGCCCGGATGCCACGACCACATTGGCGTTGGTGCCCGCCGTCAATTTCGCCGGAGGTGGCCGGAAAAAGCTCCGACCCGCCGGCGGTTTCCGGCGGGTCGGAGCGTTTTCCGGCGAAATACGGCGAAATTGACGGCGGGAACCAACTCCAATGCAGTCGTGGAATCCGGGCGACCTCCAAGGACCCCTCAATTGCAAGATTTGATGAAGATTTGCACAACCCCCAATTTTGGATCCAATTTCGAATTT